TTTTTATGTGTTGTTGTGGCCGAGAGGTTAAGGCGATGGACTAGAAATTCATTCGGGGTCTCCCCGCGCAGGTTCGAGTCCTGCCAGCAACGAAGTTGACTGTAGAGCTTTCTGGTCCCACCGCAGAGTCATTTTTTGATATTCATACCTTAACGTGTGCAGTCCCACTTTGAAACTCCAAATTCACAAGGATTTTTATTTAAAGTGATGCATTCAGTCTTCCCAAGTTAGCTTTTCTTAGGTTTTCTTAGTTAGGTTTTCCCTTGGAAACGTCTCCATTCATTGTTTTTTACTCACACTTCTTCCTTTATATACGCGAAAACAAAGTAATTTTTGGAATTTGTGCAGGGGATGTAGCTCAGTGGTAGAGCGCATGCTTTGCATGTATGAGGTCCTGGGTTCAATCCCCGGCATCTCCATTAGATATTATGCGCAAATTTAAAAGGTTTTCAGGTAAGTCGTGGGGAAATGTCATGATAAGAGGAGCCATCAAATATACCGTCCAACAAGGGAAAAAAGCACCAACGGTAATTTACCAAGTAAAAACCACACCCTTACCTTATTATGTGTGTTCCAGAATTATTCACATGGCAGTCTTTATATACGCCACTTCAAGAATTATTCACATGGCAGTCTTTATATAAGCCACTTAGCCAGTGTCTGATATTGGCAAAAGTCAATTTATCCAGTTTTTATACGTGTTGTGGCCGAGAGGTTAAGGCGATGGACTAGAAATCCATTGGGGTCTCCCCGCGCAGGTTCGAGTCCTGCCAGCAACGAAGTTGACTGTAGAGCTTTCTGGTCCCACCGCAGAGTCATTTTTTGATATTCATACCTTAACGTGTGCAGTCCCACTTTGAAGCTCCAAATTCACAAGGATTTTTATTTAAAGTGATGCATTCAGTCTTCCCAAGTTAGCTTTTTGCTAGTCATAGTAGGTTTTCCCTGGGAAACGTCTCCATTCATTGTTTTTTTCTCACACTTCTTCCTTTATATACGCAAAAACAAAGTAATTTTTGGAATTTGTGCAGGGGATGTAGCTCAGTGGTAGAGCGCATGCTTAGCATGTATGAGGTCCTGGGTTCAATCCCCAGCATCTCCATTAGATATTATGCGCAAATTTAATAAGTGTTTCAGGTAAGTCGTGGGGAAATGTCATGATAAGAGGAGCCATCAAATATACCGTCCAACAAGGAAAAAAAGCACCAACGGTAATTTACCAAGTAAAAACCACACCCTTACCTTATTATGTGTGTTCCAGAATTATTCACATGGCAGTCTTTATATACGCCACTTCCAGAATTATTCACATGGCAGTCTTTGTATAAGCCACTTAGCCAGTGTCTGATATTAGTAAAATTCAATTTATTTTCAGTTTTTATGTGTTGTTGTGGCCGAGAGGTTAAGGCGATGGACTAGAAATCCATTGGGGTCTCCCCGCGCAGGTTCGAGTCCTGCCAGCAACGAAGTTGACTGTAGAGCTTTCTGGTCCCACCGCATAGTCATTTTTTGATATTCATACCTTAACGTGTGCAGTCCCACTTTGAAACTCCAAATTCACAAGGATTTTTATTTAAAGTGATGCATTCAGTCTTCCCAAGTTAGCTTTTCTTAGGTTTTCTATTGTAGGTTTTCCCTTGGAAACGTCTCCATTCATTGTTTTTTACTCACACTTTCATCCTTTATATACGCGAAAACAAAGTAATTTTTGGCAGTTGTGCAGGGGATGTAGCTCAGTGGTAGAGCGCATGCTTTGCATGTATGAGGTCCTGGGTTCAATCCCCAGCATCTCCATTAGATATTATGCGCAAATTTAATAAGTGTTTCAGGTAAGTCGTGGGGAAATGTCATGATAAGAGGAGCCATCAAATATACCGTCCAACAAGGGAAAAAAGCACCAACGGTAATTTACCAAGTAAAAACCACACCCTTACCTTATTATGTGTGTTCCAGAATTATTCACATGGCAGTCTTTATATACGCCACTTCCAGAATTATTCACATGGCAGTCTTTGTATAAGCCACTTAGCCAGTGTCTGATATTAGCAAAATTCAATTTATTTTTAGTTTTTATGTGTTGTTGTGGCCGAGAGGTTAAGGCGATGGACTAGAAATCCATTGGGGTCTCCACGCGTAGGTTCGAGTCCTGCCAGCAACGAAGTTGACTGTAGAGCTTTCTGGTCCCACCGCAGAGTCATTTTTTGATATTCATACCTTAACGTGTGCAGTCCCACTTTGAAACTCCAAATTCACAAGGATTTTTATTTAAAGTGATGCATTCAGTCTTCCCAAGTTAGCTTTTTGCCAGTCATAGTAGGTTTTCCCTTGGAAACGTCTCCATTCATTGTTTTTTTCTCACACTTCTTCCTTTATATACGCAAAAACAAAGTAATTTTTGGAATTTGTGCAGGGGATGTAGCTCAGTGGTAGAGCGCATGCTTTGCATGTATGAGGTCCTGGGTTCAATCCCCAGCATCTCCATTAGATATTATGCGCAAATTTAATAAGTGTTTCAGGTAAGTCGTGGGGAAATGTCATGATAAGATGAGCCGTCAAATATACCGTCCAACAAGGGAAAAAAAAACAACGGTAATTTACCAAGTGAAAACCACACCCGTACCTTATTATGTGTGTTCCAGAATTATTCACATGGCAGTCTTTATATACGCCACTTCCAGAATTATTCACATGGCAGTCTTTATATACGCCACTTAGCCAGTGTCTGATATTAGCAAAATTCTATTTACTTTTAGTTTTTATGTGTTGTTGTGGCCGAGAGGTTAAGGCGATGGACTAGAAATCCATTGGGGTCTCCCCGCGCAGGTTCGAGTCCTGCCAGCAACGAAGTTGACTGTAGAGCTTTCTGGTCCCACCGCAGAGTCATTTTTTGATATTCATACCTTAACGTGTGCAGTCCCACTTTGAAACTCCAAATTCACAAGGATTTTTATTTAAAGTGATGCACTCAGTCTTCCCAAGTTAGCTTTTTGCAGGTCATAGTAGGTTTTCCCTTGGAAACGTCTCCATTCATTGTTTTTTTCTCACACTTCTTCCTTTATATACGCAAAAACCAAGTAATTTTTGGCAGTTGTGTAGTGGATGTAGCTCAGTGGTAGAGCGCATGCTTTGCATGTATGAGGTCCTGGGTTCAATCCCCAGCATCTCCATTAGATATTATGCGCAAATTTAGAAGGTGTTCAGTAAGTCGTGGGGAAATGTCATGATAAGATGAGCCGCTCAATATACCGTCCCACAAGGGGAAAAAAAACACCGGTGATTTATCACGTGAAAACCACACCCGTATCTTATTATGTGTGTTCCAGAAATATTCACATGGCAGTCTTTATATACGCCACTTCCAGAATTATTCACATGGCAGTCTTTATATAAGCCACTTAGCCAGTGTCTGATATTAGCAAAATTCAATTTACTTTTAGTTTTTATGTGTTGTTGTGGCCGAGAGGTTAAGGCGATGGACTAGAAATCCATTGGGGTCTCCCCGCGCAGGTTCGAGTCCTGCCAGCAACGAAGTAGACTGTAGAGCTTTCTGGTCCCACCGCAGAGTCATTTTTTCATATTCATACCTTAACGTGTGCAGTCCCACTTTGAAACTCCAAATTCACAAGGATTTTTATTTAAAGTGATGCATTCAGTCTTCCCAAGTTAGCTTTTTGCCAGTCATAGTAGGTTTTCCCTTGGAAACGTCTCCATTTTTTTTTTTTCACACTTCTTCCTTTATATACGCAAAAACAAAGTAATTTTTGGAATTTGTGCAGGGGATGTAGCTCAGTGGTAGAGCGCATGCTTTGCATGTATGAGGTCCTGGGTTCAATCCCCGCCATCTCCATTAGATATTATGCGCAAATTTAAAAGGTTTTCAGGTAAGTCGTGGGGAAATGTCATGATAAGAGGAGCCATCAAATATACCGTCCAACAAGGGAAAAAAGCACCAACGGTAATTTACCAAGTAAAAACCACACCCTTACCTTATTATGTGTGTTCCAGAATTATTCACATGGCAATTATTCACACGTGTGAACTTGGCGCGTAGGTTTTCTCCGACGCGGCACGTTTGGTTGGATATTGATGCGGCCCGAACGGACCCGGCCGCTGGCATCGGCGCCCGGTCGATGTCTGCGCGGTCTAAAGGGACTTGCATCTATTATTTGACTCGAGCCCGTACGCGCGCGCAGCCGTCCACGCGGCGGACCAGCCGCCGTACTACGGCTTGTAAACTAAGCGACTGCGCGTAAAGACGCAGACGGTGAAGCATGCGCAGCACGGAAGCCCCGGCGGCGGGGATCCGTGCGGGGAACCGGATCCCCGCAGTAGTAACATTACACCTGGGTACACAATTTTAACCAGACACAACAACTTTCTTCATGTTCACTTCATTTTAGACGTTTTGAAAAAAAAGTATTGAACTGCATTCCAATTAATTTCCCTCAGGCTTTATTCATGTATTTATATTATTAAGACAAAAGACAACAGTGAATACTGTCAAGCTGTGTCAATGACGTATCGTTTGGTTACTGACAAAAAATACATTTATTGTATTAATTTCCAAAACAGACAGACTAAATGTTTTTAATAAGGTTACAGTGGGTCAAAAAATCAGGAAAAGTATCTAAAAAAGAAGTCCTACTGTACTGTAACAAAAAATATCAAGACAAAACGTACAGCAATGTTTGTAGAAACTGTGTGATATATTATCGTGACATAATGTTGGTATTGTTCAGGTATCCAAAAAAGAAATGTACTGAAAAAGGCTTCCGAATCCCCTCCTCTAAATCACTGCGCCGCCTTTTACATCCCTCCACCCGTCTGCGTGTCAGCCCGCGGTGCAACCGAGCTCTGGTTTATACGGCTATTTTTATTATTGTTGTCATTGGTAAGCGCCACACATCTGCCTACCCAGGCCGGCTCCCCATTGGTTCAGCGGACTGTCCGTCACGGCACTTCCGTCCGTTTGGCCGCTTTTGATTGGCCGCCGTGCCTCTCTTTTTCCTCTTCTTCGCGGCGGTGGGTCGGAGCCGCTGTGTCCCCGGTCTGGCACGTTCCTAGCCAAATTCTCCACGGTGTAAAATTTGATACCCCCCTTTTTTTACGAAACCAAAATTACCCCCCCTTTAATTCCCCGCAACGGCTTCTACGTTTCCCGCTCAGCACGCGCCTCCGAATCTCCACCGGTCACATCCGAAGATGGCGGTGGCGAGCGGGATGTCGGGGTCGGCTGTAGCCCGGCTGGAGGGCCGAGAATTCGAGTATCTGATGAAGAAAAGGTCGGTGACCATCGGCCGGAACTCCTCGCAGGGTTCGGTGGACGTCAGCATGGGCCACTCCAGCTTCATCTCCCGGCGGCACCTGGAAATATTCACCGCGGGGGACGACGGCACCGGCACGGGGGAATTCTACCTCCGCTGCCTCGGTAAAAACGGGGTGTTCGTCGACGGGGTGTTCCAGAGAAGAGGGGCGCCCCCCCTCCAGCTGCCCCGCATGTAAGACCCATTCGGCCGGTTCGACTGAGCGTTTCCGAGCTGTGTTGTTGTTGTTGTTGTTGTTTTGTTGTGCACGTGCTGTCAGGTCGGCGGAGTGCCGTTTGGATGTCATGTTGTCAGCTGCGCTTCTCACAATTCCCCGCGCGATGGAAAATGCCTTTTTATGTTTCGTTAGCCGGTGATGGCGAGGTGCAGAGCACATGTCTCACTGAGGGCAAAGCCAACGTCACACTGGAAGGACTCGTTATAGAATTTGGTGCAAACCTGTAGACGTCACTGTATTTCTGGCCATCACTGCTTCTCCCCCAGCCAACACGCCAGCAACACGTGCTTTTATTTGGACTCTGTGTGACAATAACACGCAGCACAAGTTGCATACTGGGCTCAAGACATTTCCCCAGTTCAGCTTGGCCTCGCTACCCTCTGGTGTGTTCACACTGCTCGGCTTGTTTATCAGTCCTTCTTCTCTCACTTGGTAATCTTCCTGAATTGTTGTTGTTGTTGTTGTTCTGGTGGTAACTCACATTTCCCCTTTTTTTTTGAATACATATTTGGATGTGATCAAGCACTGTGGTCCCCAGGTGTCAGGATTCAATCATTGGAAAGTGTAAGCAACTGGTCCAAATATACCCTATTAATAATAAATGCGACCCGTTGGACACCGTGTTACATAATGGTGATGGTGGACGTCCATATATAAACCGAGACTCGGTGCTCCTCACTTGGACCTGTGTTGCCTGGCAGAACGCTCCTTCTGTCCGTCCGTTCCGTTAGCATTATGGAAAGCATTGTGTTGCCTGCTCACGTCACTCGTCTTCAAACGACCAGGTGGAAACCGCCATCGTCATTAAAACACGCGTTTGGTCTCCAGGTGTTGTTTCCGGTTCCCCAGCACAAGCATAAAGATCACGTTCACTGCCCTGTCCAACGACAAGAAGGAGCCAAGGAACGTGCCGGAATCACCGGTCAAGCCCGTCCAACCTCAAATTTCCCCTCTGACCATCAACATTCCTGACAACATTGCCCACCTCATGAGCCCACTGCCTTCTCCCACCGGCACCCTCAGGTGAGCGCTGGTGTAACCTGTGCAATGACGACGCTGCCTTCAAAGGCTCATTCAAGTGGCTGTTTTCGTCACATGGGTTCAGAATTCCACGCGCTTTTTTTTTTTATTTTTCTCAGTGCGGCAAACTCCTGTCCGTCAAGTCCGCGGGGGGCTGGACTCTCCAGCTACAGGACAGGCCGCGTCCTGGCCTCGGACCTAATGGGGGACAACTCCCACTCCGAAAACGACAAAGAGGCCTCCGGGGAAGACAGCCCGAAGGTGAGCAGCCGGATAGAAACTGTTTAGTGTAATCATTCATTGAAAGAGGCCCTTTTCAAACTGCGTGGTTCTCCGCTCCATCCCTGGTTACTCATTGAAGTCTACAAATTGCCCAACGCTCACAATAACATAGACTTTGGAGCACTGGACCCGTTGATCGGTGGCTGTTTGTGATCCAACCAGAGGGAGAAGCGGCAACCTTTTTATTATTTCATTAATGAAAAACCCATTTCCTTCCTCTTTCCTTCCATTGTGCACAGGATGACTCCAAACCTCCGTACTCGTATGCGCAGCTGATAGTCCAGGCGATCACCATGGCCCCGGATAAGCAGCTAACGCTCAATGAGATCTACACACACATCACCAAGAACTACCCGTACTACAGAACAGTGGATAAAGGCTGGCAGGTCAGAGTCCTCACCGTTTACACTCGTCTGCATTCACCCTCTCAATCAGGCCGGTCACATGAAGTGCGTATAGCAGAAGACAACTCCAAGAATTTAAAGGTGATTTTTATTTTATTTTTCCCCAGAACTCCATTCGCCACAACCTGTCCCTCAACCGGTACTTCATCAAAGTGGCCCGCTCCCAGGAGGAGCCGGGCAAAGGCTCCTTCTGGAGGATCGACCCCGCGTCGGAGGGCAAGCTGATCGAGCAGGCCTTCAGGAAGCGCCGGCCGAGGGGGGTGCCCTGCTTCAGGACCCCCGTGGGGCCGCTCTCCTCTAGGTATAAAGCACTTTAAGCACTTGTTTTGGGTTCCTCATCATGTCTCTCTGAATGGACCCGTATTCCCCGTCAGTCAGAAAACGCTCCGTTTGAGCTCTGGTAGCAGCGACCTGTCAATCACAATGAGCTCCCCTTCAAGAATACTCAACACTTGTTGTCTATTTCCCTTTTATCATTTACTATGGGAACATGCTGTACTTTTTATTGCTGAGGGAATAAATCAAGAAATGTCCTCATAGACGTCTATGAGGAGTCGCTCCATGAGTAGAGACAATGACGGGTTCCCGTGAAGACATGAAGCGTCGGCTTCACTCTGCAGAACCTCAGGTGGCCTTCTGGTGCAGCTCTCAAGCCGCAGCTTGGTAGCTGCTCAGGCTGGCGTTGTATTCAAATGAGCCTGCAGGTGACATAGTAAGCGCAGCCACATCTGATGGGCTTGTTGAATTGCATGCTTTCCCATTTTTGGAGCCCCCCCCAAAACTGACCAGGTTGCCTTATTTCCCAATTTGTGGGTTAGTAGACACTCAAATTAACCAAATGTTCATCCAGAAGCACCAGACTTTTCCTTATGTGTCCCCCTTTTAATTTAGACACGTGTGTCTTACAGGCACTTACTTGTCAATAATAATGGAGCTTACTTCTTCATCTGTCCCAGGAGTGCTCCAGCTTCTCCCAGCCACACGGGGGGACTGTCGGCCCACTCCAGCGGGGTCCAGACTCCAGACAGCCTGTCCAGAGAGGGGTCCCCTGTCCCCGTAGAGCCGGAGCCGACCCCGCCGCCTGCCCCCAGCCACGCCGCTGTGGTCCAGCCCAAGCTCGCCGTCATCCAAGAGGCCCGCTTTGCGCAGAGCTCCCCCGGTAAGCCGCAACCTTCCTGACGGGAGACATTTGAAGCAGTGAGACAAAAAAATTAAAAACGTACACCCCCCCCTTCCCTCCCGGACAGGCTCTCCCCTCAGCAACCAGCCGGTATTGATCGCCGTGCAGCGCCAGATGCCTCAAACGACCATGAAGCCTGTGACCTACACCATGGCGTCGCCAGCCATCGTAACCACGTCGGGTAACTCCGCCCCCGTCATGCAGACGGTGCACGTTGTCCACCAGATCCCGGCCGTCGCCATGGCGACTGTCAGCGGACAGGCCGCTGCCGTAGTGAGCCCCAAGCCTCAGGAGAACGGCAGTGGGGAGCACCGGGAGATCAAGCGTGAGTTGCTGGTTCGCCGCGTCTCGCGCCAAGCTTTGTGTTTCCAGACTGAAAGTGTGGACGTCTTTTTCTTTTCTCCACACGCGTAGTCACTGTAGAGTCGCTCCCATCCATCACAGCCTCGTCAATCGGCGGAATCAGCCGCATCATCCAGACCTCTCAGGGGGCGCCTCTGAGGACGGTAACCATCATGCAACAGGCCCCGCTCGGTCAGCACCAGCTCCCGATAAAGGCCATCACACAAAACGGGACCCATCTGGTCCCCATCGGTGCGGCTGCCGGCACGGGTGAGAGACGCACGCATCCACCGAGACATCCTCGTCTTCATCCTCCTCCGCCTCCTCTTCTTCCTTATGTTTCTGTGCTTCTCTGCAAGTTAAAACACAGCGCTTGTCGCTCGGGGGAACAGCAGGATGTATGAAGCCGTATGACACCCTGTTTGCGCTGAGAGCTGCCGCGTGTCTCAGCGTGTGCAGCCCGTCCGTATGCTCCACTACCATTTAAACATATCAACACAAAGTGTGTATTGGCTGAAGGATGTTTCGGTCTTGACTCCCATGTGAGCACATATGAAACGCGTCGTGTACGGTTCATAGGAAGGTTAGTCAAGTGAGAGCATTATGGTCACAAGAGATCACAGATCACTTGGTAATCTTTGGCTGTTCTTCCTTCCAGCTGTTGCTAACCCTCTTCACCTCCTGGCGGCCCACGCCTCCGCCTCGGCGTCCCTCCCCACCAAGAGGCACAACGGAGAACTGCAGGGCCAGCCGCAAGCAAAGAGGGCTAAAGCAGAGGAGGAGAAGGAGGGCGGAGCAGCCGCCGCCGCTAACAACAACAAAAACGGCACCACGGACAGAGCCGGAGAAGCAGGGGTCAGTGAAAAGATCGGTGACAAGTAGCCCCCCACACACACGCCGGTCTGCACGCTGGCCCCTTGCTCTCCTTTACACATTGAGCCTCACACCTCCACACGCTCACCCTTCCATCATGTACTCCAAGGTGCCAAATAATCACAACTAGATGAGACTCGTAAAACACCCGCGGGACTACGGAATGTTCCTGTCCCCCCCCGCCAAATTCTCCATATATTTAACACCACGAAATACAGTACGATCCAAAACTGAAACCAAATTTGAAGATCAAAGAGTTGCTGATGAAGCTTGAGACCCAGACGGCAAGAAGAAGCACAGAGGGGCATTTTCACTATTAAGATTAAACACCAGATAATAAAAAATAAAAATAAAAACCGTAAATGAATAAAAAGAGACTTTTCAGCGAGGAGTCCTAACGCTCCCCCACAGACGGGACGGAGCCTCATCCTGGTAGCATTACAAGCGAGCACGTTTGCTGTAAACTGTCGGATTGCGAGTCCCCAGTAGTAGCGGGAAGCGTGGACGCTCCCGTGTCCGGCAGCTAGCCTCCGTGTCCTACGTAACCCGTCGTGAGTAGATATGCAGTATTCCGTTGTGTATCTTTGGATCTTTTTGAGTGTTTCTCTGTTTCCCAAGGCTCCGACACTATCTAGTAATAATGAACTAAAAGCTGTAGGTGGGGTCTTTAAGAACATTCAAACATCACGAGATATTTTGGGAATCCTTTTGTTTCTTTCTTTTTATATATATATATATATATATATATATATATATATATATATATATATATGTGGACCCTTTTTTGTTCAGTGAAATGAATGTAGTAAAGAAAACACTATCTATGGAGTGGATGTTCATTTTTTTTCTGCTGATTCATGCAAATGAAATTTCTTTATAACTATACACTCGTGAATAATTTTTTTTTCAGATTTTACAAATATCCTGTGAGTCTCTTCCCATGCGTATTTGACCATATGCTTCATCAAGCTTGCATGTTACGGATCTAGACACAATGTACTTGATTATCTGAATATGGAACTGAAGAACATTTTGACTGAATCTACGCTAATGATTCTGACCAGTGCTGCACTTAACCCTCTTAGTTTGGTTATTTTTGTACTCCCACTCTCATTTGCTCCCCCGTCACCTTGCGTTGTGTTTGTTACATTTTGTGTTGAAGTTGGCAACTCCTTGATCAATAATTTTATTCTGTTTTAGGCTTCCAACCGAGCCTGTTCAGAATGTATTTTATGTTACGCAAGGAAAAACAAGTGATAGGTGTTTGTTCTGCTTCAGTGGGTAAATGCATTTTTTTTTTATATATATATATATATATATAATATAAAATATATATATAAATTTATTTAAAACACATAATCCTTTTAGTTTGTATTTCTTTGAGTAAAAGCATTTTTCTGCTGGGCAAATGCGAATGTACAATCTGTTGAACGTGAAAAGGTGATTGGACTGGATGAGCGGTGAGATTTAGCGACTTCTAGTGGTGAGGTTGCAGATTGAGAGCAGCGACGAATCCCCCGACTCACCCGTCTCAGGTAAGGACATTTAATACCACACAGATCAATAATTGCTTTTCAAGTACAAATCTGTTCAGAACTGGCACGATACATTTATTTATAATTCAGATATTACTAATTATTGTTGCTATTGAATCATTACTGATGACAAAAGCAAAGTTGCAATATAAAGTTCCTTGTTATTCAGCATTTAGTAACACAGACATCGGTCATTCCGCCCAGGATTTTCCTTCTCAGCCAGCAGAGGAAAAGACTGGAGACAAACTGCTCCGGCACGCCGCAAAAAGCGTCTCTTTTGCGCCGTGCTTGTTGATGCTGTTTTTTACTCTTGAATGCGTTAATGCGCGTGCAGTGAAGAGCGTAGCTGTGGTCAATCCAAGCGATCCTCACGTCGCCTGGTTCGCTCAGCTGTGTCCACGGCAACCGCGGCAATGTGGTGTTGGACGTGGCAGCCTCCGTGGAAACGGACCCTCAGCTACGAACCATTCAAGGTCCAGGGCCCTGTTCCTCGTACGGGGCTCAACGAAGTCGATCAAATGTCCCATTATCCAGCTCAAATTACAGAGTCTCATGTCAATCATCTATCTGGGTTCCTCGAAGGCGGATCGGCGCTCAAACCGTCTCGTTAGTCTGAACCAGATGTCATCGGGATAATCGTCTTACGTTTAGACGGCGGAGTCGATCACCAAAACCGGGATTTTTTTAACAGTATAACGGCAAATAAACTTAAAGGAAGCGCGTCTTTCTTCTCCGCTGACGAGCAGGAAATGATCATGAGCACATATGAGGAAATAATATGTGTATTTGAATCATTTCTGTCAGATGAATTTAACTTATTATACATATTTTACGTTGTTCATTGTGTACGTCCATCAGTCTGTCCGTCCGTTTCTTCCCTTTATTCTCCCCATCAAATACGTTTTCATTGTTTGGGGAGTTTTTCCTGTGATGATGTGAAGGTTTCTGGACAGAGGACGTCACATGTGTACAGGACGGCGCCCCCTGGAGGCTACAAGCCCGACCAAGTATCACACGCACGTTGACATTAAATGATTGAGTGTAAAATGTAACGGCTCATTTAAGGCCTCGTCACTTTAATCAATCAGATTATATTTAAATGTGTCTGCTGGCAGGAGGCTTCATGATGATCATCATCCAATGAGAAGAAAGATCTCAACTCCTTCAGAGTATGTAGATGAAAACAAGCCCAAAGCATCAGATTGATATGAATGACTAGGATCTATGTATCATATGTGTGTAGAACTAGGACTTTATTATGTGTGTGTGCATGAGAATCATTATAGATCCATCGTTCATCATCAGACATTTGAAGCAGTGAAATGTGGAACCGTTTCTATAATAAAAATAATTGATGAAATGTGTAAAGCCAACGTTATCAAAGTGAATAATAATAACAAAGTGGTCATGTCAATACCAGACCTAAGCAAATATGTTCATGCCGCTGAAATTTAACCAGTAATTGGAGAAAATGCGCGTATATGTGGAGCCTTAATGGAAGCAGAAGAATGGAAGATGGATTTGAATAGACTGCGGACCTGCGTGAGGGAAGAGCTCGGGCTGCTTTGAAGGATCATACATGAGCGACACTTTATCCCGGGTGCTCTCCATCTGTGGTTCAAACTGGACTTTGTATGAAATAACAGAAATGTGCAGTTATTAAAGATGAGCTGAAAGAAAAGGCTTAACCAAGACCACCATCTGACATCAAGCTGAAGAAAGCTACTTTAGACAAAAATGGAAAGATTGGACCCATAATGGAGTTTACAATTCAAAGAGTAGAATCACGCTGCTGTTATCAGTGTCTGAATTAAGTATTAGGAAATACACAATTTTATGTTTTATGTAAAACCGAAATGAAAAAAAGGAACTTTGAATATTAGAGAATTAATGGTTGTATCCTTGAAGGACACGTAAGTCATCCTACTGGAAAGTGTTGTTTGAAGACTACTCAGATTATTACCCCCCAAATTACATGCAAACTCTTTGGGAGGCAATGAGGGGGTGTAAACGTACTCCCACAACTAAAAGTGTGAAAAAATGTTTTGGGCCTTTCATCCCCCCCCCGATGGTAATGTTGAAACGTTTCTAAGATCGGGGAAATACGTGTGTAACCGCACCTTGAGAACCCGCCCCCTCAGCCCCTGAATGTAGTTCAACAAGTTGGTCGAGCCCTGCTGATTGACAGCTGCTGATAGATGTGCTCTGCATTTCCAATTCAGCACCATTAACAATGATTCAAATGTTGAGGCAAACAAACAATACCGATAAAGACCATTTATTGAAAGCCAAGCGTATGTTCACAAGCACTTTATTGATGATGTGAGGAATTGAAATTACTAATCAAAGAAGAACTTTTCGGGGCGGTGTAAAAATCTATCTTTAATGAAACTTCTTTGCATGAGCTTTAACAAGCTCAGGCCGACAAAATGCCGTTTCGCAAGCTGGACATTTATGAGGCTTCTCCCCCGTGTGCGTCCTCAAGTTCTCCGTTGTGCCTCTTGGTGGGGAGGGACGCCGAGGCGGAGGCGTGGGCCGCCAGGAGGTGAAGAGGGTTAGCAACAGCTGGAAGGAAGAACAGCCAAAGATTACCAAGTGATCTGTGATCTCTTGTGACCATGAGGTAGTAGGACGGCACAAATCCCCTCGCCACAGCCGCCGCACTTGAACGGCCTCTCCCCGGCGTGGTAGCGAGTGTGGGTCTTCAACTCCGCCACTGACCTGAAGCTCTTGCCGCACTCCGAGCACGAGTACGCCCTTTCCTCCGTGTGGGTCCGATCGTGTCTCGTCAGCAAACTTCGGAACAACTTGCCACAGCGGGCACGCCTGCATGCAGTTTGGCCACGTGGAGGTTCAGGCTCCTTTTGATCGCGTACGCCTGGCCGCAATGTCCGCAGCAGAAGCACTTCTCCGTGGAGAAGCCTGTGGAGCCTCAGGGCGCCGGTAGACCTGCAGCCCTTCCCGCGATCCCAGCAGAGGGACGCGGCCTCTTTCGTGTGAGTCCAGTCGTGCAGCGTCAGAGCAGATTGGTAACCGGACGCCTTGGGACACTTGAAAGGGAGGTTGCCCGTGTGGAACCTTTGGTGCCGGATGAGACCTCTCAGATCTGTGTAGGTACGTTGGCATGAGGTGCAGGGAAAAGGTCCTCTGAAGTTGTGCGCGTCAACATAATGCCGGCTGAGGTCTACGAGGCCTTTGAAACTCTCCCCGCACTTGCTGCAGGAACAGGCCTTGTGTCTCAGATTATGCGTTTTAAGTCTCTGCGTGTCCGGGAAAGTACAGTGAGGTATCTGTATTGAAACCCTTTGATTTCCTGCTGGTCGGGTTACCCCGACGAGGTCCCTGTCCCGCCTCCTCCTTGTCCCCTAACTGGACTTTGCTACTGCCTTGCTGGGTGAGAAGAACAGGCACTCCCTCTCCTGAAGGAGCTCCCACGTGTTTCAGGTGGTTCCGACAGTCCTCTTCAGAAGTCCCGACATCCATAGGCGGACTGGGGCCGCGTCAGTGACTGCGGTCACAAAGTCGCCCAGCAGCCCATAGTTGGCCACAATTTCCTGCTGGACAGTCCTCCAGACGGCTGCAGAGACCAGCCGAAGCGGTGGGACCAGGAGACGCAGACAGGACAAGGGCAGAGGGGGGCTGGATCAGGAGAGGAAAAAATGATTTAGTGATTATAGAACAAACATGTCATGTCATATCGTGATAAATACAGGCATCATACAACTATGCAATTTTCCTTCATGCAAAGAATTCAAAATTTTGATATTTTTACAGCAGAATTTGGTTATAATTTGTTGTTTTGCGTGTTCATTTGAAAACGTCTCAACACACTGCTTCAGCCCTCACAGGTATACTTCACTGGAACCAATACATATCGAAATGACAGGCACGTCGAAAAGAAAAGTTAAACTTTTCTCATGAAGGCTCTTGTTCAAAAGAAGGAAGGAGGCTCAGAAAGCCTCTGAGTTCCATTTGCGAGGGCAGCGTCTGTCTTGGGGCTTTGATGGCTTCACTTGACTGCTTCATTTCGACGTTACTATAGTTAACTCATACAATAAACCCTATAAGAAAGACAATGAAATATGCGTAATGTGGTATATTGGATCGAGCACTCGGTGCTCGATTGTGTTTGACTACTACGGAGTTCTGTGATAGTTTGTTCATGCCTGGGAGTGTAACAGTAATTATACATATAGCATACAGCCACAACAAATACACATATATTTATTTCTAAAGTTAACTTTTTCAGTTGAAGACGTTAAATGACGTTCATCGAAGAAACACACGTTGCAAAACCGAACAGTTATACAGCGGGATACTTTTATGTGTATATGTATTAATGGAACGAGGCCACGGCGATAATGTCACACACACTATAAAATTCTTTAAAACAAGTATGGCGACATACTGCTGCTACCGGTCTTGTCCGACATGTGAGGCATAATTTGCCATTGAAGGTTTCGTGCTCCTCTTAGAAATGGCAACAGACGACGACGTTAAGCTAAGCTAGTCAGAGCTAAAGAGGAGCCCGGGGACGTATTTAGCGGTGACTCCGGAAGTGCACGCTACGCGGAAGTGGACGTCTGTTGTCACAGTGGGCAGAGACCGCACAGGTGAAAGAGTTGCTGCCTGTGAGATAAACAACAGGACAATGGGATGTCACGACTAAGACGGCGAGTAAACAGCAGGAGGCTTTCGTAAGACCCGCCGCGCCCGCAGGTTTGTTTGTTTGTCGTCTTGTAACGAGAGCGGCGTGTCGGCTCGCAATTGGTGGCCATTGAGCGCGAGCATCGTTTCCTTCATCACCGCCGGCCGGTCTGTTCACATCGTCACGACTGCAGCCGCTGTCTGTCCGCTGTCCTCCTCAGGCCCGTTGTCCGTTATGTGTCATCTACAGCTGAGGACCCTGGTCTTCGTCGCCTGGCTGCTGGCTTACGTCGCCTTCCTGCTCTCCGTCAGGAAGATGTGGACGGGGAAGTACGTCCGCAGCCCGCTCGCGCGCTCGCTCTTCATGAACATGGCGGGCGCGCGCGACGCCGCCGCCATCGAGACGCAGGAGGTAGGACTTCGTCTCGGTCCCGCCCGCCAGGCCCGCCGGCACCGGCCTGCGGCCCGCGTGCGAGGGGACCACCTGCGGCCCGTTCGCGCGTGACGACCTGTGAGCCGTTGAGCAGAACGGGGGAGCTGCGGCCCTTTTCAAAGCATCACTCGCTTTGTTTTAATGTCGGTGCCCTCGGAGTGTGCTGATCTTTAGCCTCAGGATTTTCTTCTTAAATATTACACTGGTGTGTTCATGAGTCCTGGGTGAAGCACGTCAGTGTGTTGGATGAGGTACCCGTCATGGGGAGAGATCACGTACACCATCAACGGAACATTCGTTTCAACGTTTTTCTACGCTTTTATTCTTGTTAATGTGAAAATCTCAAATAGCTAAATTGCGCAAAACACCGAAGGATCTGATAACATAACATGTATGCAGTTTTAAGAAGGTTAAAGTATAGTAAATGAAGTTTCCTGCTGTCCTGCTTCATTTTTCCTTAATCCGTCTTCTTGTCCCTCTAGTGGTACCAGTGCGGACCGGACCTGCTCGGAGAATCGGTGCGACCCCTCTTTGTCCAGAGCCACCTGGACGAGGACACCAAGGCTTTCCTCAAGGGCAGCGTGGAGAAGTCTGGCTGGCTGTTCACGCAGCTGTATCACTCGTTCATATCCACGGTCCTCGGCCCACTGGTGTCACGCACCTCTATTAACGGGTGAGTGACCCGCACACGCACACACACGCACAAGGGTCCCTGTTTTAACAGTCGTCCCCTGACTTGCTTCTCCGTGTCTCCAGGTTTCTGGGTCGCGGCTCCATGTTTGTGTTTTCGGCAGAGCAGTTCCGGCGGCTGCTCCGGATTGACGCCGAGTGGAGGGCCGACAGGCTGCTGGACCTCGGGGCCGGAGACGGGGGGGTCACCGAGGTGATGGGGGTCCATTTCAGGGAGGTCTACGCAACCGAGGTCTCGCCACCCATGAAATGGCTTCTCCAGAGGAAGAACTACAAGTGAGTAGTAGAGCCCGAGTGCCAAACCAACGTTATATATCTCATCTCTCCTAATAAATTCAAGCTGCTTCCCCTTTATTCATTTATTTATTTAAGCAATAAGGATCGGCAACCCTCTGCTGCGCGTCGGGCGTAACATCGCCCTCAAATTGTTACATTATTGGACAATAAAGTAAATCTTCTTGTACCGTATTGCTTAATTAACACATTGTGTTATTGTGGAATATTAAAATCAGAGTCTCTGAATCAAAGAGATGAATGCTGTACATGTTTAAATGAAGTTCCATTAAAATATTTGTCCAAAGTCAATTTTTAAAAAAGTTTTGACATAGTTTATTATCTCACAAAAAGGCTTGTGAACGTTTCATTGGTAAATTAAAGCCGAGGTGCTGCTATTTGGGCGGAACCAGAGGGCGGGAGCCGTGCAGAGGATCATTTTCCACCGTAACTAACATTTTACCGTAGTCTTAGAAGTAACCTGTCCCCATCTTTTCTTTTTAACTTTCCGTCGAGCTTAGACTGCTGGGCATCAACGAGTGGCACCAGACCGGTTTCCAGTATGACGTCATCAGCTGTCTGAACCTGCTGGACCGCTGCGACGACCCTCTGCGCCTCCTGCGGGACATCCGCCTGTCGCTGGTCCCCGACACGGGGAGGCTGGTCCTGGCCGCGGTGCTTCCCTTCCAGCCCTACGTGGAAGTCGGTCAGTCGATCAGAGCGCATGCCAATGTCATAAGCCTCCCTCTGCAGCGATTAAAACCTCCTTCTGCATCTGCTCTCAGGAGGGAAATGGCAGCGTCCCAAAGAGCACGTCAGAGTGAAAGGGAAGACGTGGGAGGAGCAGGTAACCAACCTGTCCAATGAGGTGTTCCGGAGGGCGGGCTTCGAGGTGGAGGCCGTGACGCGGCTGCCGTACCTCTGCGAGGGGGACATGTACAACGACTACTACGTCCTCGACGATGCGGTTTTTGTTCTCAAGTCCTCGGGGGAGAGCTCGGGTCTGCCCGAATACTAAATGCAACGTGGAGCCGCAGGAGGCTGCGCGGCCGCACACGGGCACCAGCGGGTTGCTGCTCCAGGGTTTCTACTGAAATGTTTCTACGCTTCCTTCATCAATCCCCAGTATTACTGATGGTATTTCTTTATAAGCAGCAAGGCAGCTGTGAAGCTCAGGTACTGTAGTGCCGACATTTACCAGCCTTCAACTCAACAAAGCAACAACATTTGAGCTGAGGAGTCTCCATCACTCTCAAAGGAAAATATTCATGGACAAACGTTTCAATTGGTGACAGAGGATCAATACACATACTTGATTTAACCAATGTGAATTGGACTTTTTGTGTTTTAATGCAATTTTTTTTTATCTCGTTCTCTTTTTACTTTTACTGGTGTTTAGTATTCAAAAATAATGAGGCCTTTTTGACGCAAGCCTGTGTAACATAGGTTATCGTTGTTTTAAGCTGCATTTATTGATTGTCATTTTGAGCACTAAAAAAAGTACAATACTATCAAGAATGAAGGGTACTGGAACGTACACTTTACGTTGAGAAACAGTTTACGTGAATTACAGTAGTGACACTGTAGAAAAAAGTAAAATAACCACAGCGTCCGTTAGTTTACTGTGAGTAAACGGGGAATTAGTTTTATAGGGATCTCTAGCTGCCGCTGGCACCACCGGAAACTCATTAACGACACCGCTCGCCTGTTACAACAGAAATGAGTCATTAGTTACACTAAATACCAAACAGCGTAATGTTGGCTGCGCTGCTCGTCAGCTGACTGAGGATTCTGTGACCAATCAGCTGTGTTTTAACTTTACGTGTCCTCGATTAAAGGGTCCAATGGAAACAAACGGTTCCAAGCAAGTTGAGTCGAGCAGCACCACACGCTGCGAATCAGGCAATCGTTTGTCAGCTAGTTGCCAAATCGACCAGTCTGCCTTTTTTCAATGGTCAAAAAAGATAATATCCTATCTGGTGGAAACTGAGAAATGGTGATGGTGAATACTTTAAGGCCTCGTAGAGCTCAGGGAGCACTACACGCGACCCCTGTCATGATTAGGGCGGCTTTAATGCTAAAATAGTGTTGCTGTGAAACACAAGTAGTCCAAATAAATAGCGGTCAAGCTAACGTGTCACAGCGATATGGGTTCTCCAACATTAGCCACCGCAAGCTACAGGTTGCAGGGAAAGCGTTTTCTGTGGGTTTTTTGCTTTTTTATTCAATCGGTTCTGTCTGATTTTGTATGATTTGTTACATGGTTTTCTTTTAATCAGTGCTTCACTAATGTACTATTAAATGTCCCACAATGAATGCAACATTTATACCGAGTATCGTATGGATTTGCAAATAAAAATTCAGCGTTAATTTCAGACCTTTCTCACCTGTCATGTATCCATGCCACTGTGTAATGGTTCATACTATCTTAGAGACTGGTTTGTGGCAGAGTTGAGGGGTCTCTAGGGACCCCACCGGAACCGGGTTCCCCCACTCCCCTTGAAGTACACAACTGAACGCTTCCCCGTTGACTCGGTGCTGAATGAAGGGCGCTCATGCTCATCAAAGCACCTGCAGTGAACTGGCGAAAGACGTTGGAAGAGGACTAAAGGCTTCCCGTTGTAACCTGTTGGCACTTCTGTGACAAACTACGTTTCCTTTTAGTTTAAATTGTAACCTGAGTGTGTCGTGTATTTTATGCACACAGCCGGAGGGAGTTTCCTCGTCGCATTTCCTTGTACGTGTTCACCGTAGAGCCGAAAGATGAAGCTCGTATCTCCTGCGTTTCACGCGGAGCGTGGACGCAGCACTCGTGTAGCATAACTTATGCAAATGAGGCGTCCCTCTCTCCTGATTGGCTGAGCGCAGCGCGGGGCCCGTCTACCATTGGCTACCGTCGTCTTGGACACGTCCCCGAGCCACGTCGCGCATAGCTCGCCATTTTCCCATCTTCTGAAGCCAGTCTATTTTGGTGTCGCGGTGTCATTCAGCGCCGTCGGATCGTTAATTGATCGTCATCACAGACAAACTGAGCTCTTTGTAGACTCTTTCATCGGGTCACCTCTGCTGGAGCTCCGCAAACATGAACATTTTCAGGCTAACCGGCGATCTCTCCCACCTGGCAGCCATCATCATCCTGCTGCTGAAAATATGGAAAACCAGGTCTTGTGCCGGTAAGTGAGATTAGTCGTCCATCTCTGCAGTTTGCGCGAGCTTCCGTTTAGCACAGACGTAAGTCTCTTCGTCTCGACTACACGTGACAAAAGTCTAGTGTGCAACTTCTTCGGTCAGCTCATTAGCTATTAGCGTTAGCCGGCTGGCAAGTATCCCTGACGCTACCTTAAACAAGACAGCCTCCCTTTGTGACACCCGCGGTCACTCCCACTCACAGGCCAGCGGGTTAACGCGGGTCAACGCGGCGGTGAACTTGACGAATGCTCGAGTCGGGAAGACGAGACACCCGTGAAGTCCAGCTAGCAGCCGCTAACCTTCTTGCTAGCTGACGTTAGCCTTCACTGCGCAGCGGGCCCAGCAACGGCGTCGGTCAGGGGCAAAGGTCAAAGGGCACCCGGAGGGCCAAGGCGGATGTTAGTTTGACATGTGGGGCCTCGTCCTTTTCAACTCTGTGTGTGTGTGTGTGTGTGTGTGTGTGTGTGTGTGTATACGTACGCCGCGTTAGCCCAGCGTGTCCCCTCTGACGTGGCAGCACCGGGAGCTCACGCGCTGTCAGTGGGAAATGCAAAGTCCGTGATGGAGTCTGATGGAGTCCGGTTGCATCCGTTTGGATTATGACCCGCACGGTCCCGAGAGGTCGCTCAGACCGCCTCACGCTGCGTTATCGCGGGGACGCTTTGCTGCGTTGTCCCGCTGCTCAGCCGACGGTCAAAGGTCATGAAACCAGATTACTCAGTGGCTTCTGACGATGCACTGGCCGAGGACAGGAACCGGGATAAGTTGTTAGGAGGCACTAGAGAACAGCGAGGCAGTTTGTGTGAGTCCGGCTGCACTCAATCACTATTTATGTTGGCAAGTGGGTGTTTTAAGTTTGACATCAATGGGGCGGCTCAGTGGACGCCGCGTCGTCCTTTTAACCACAGAGGAAATACCGATATGAAAAATGTGATCTGGTATCTTCTCACAGGTATTTCCGGAAAGAGTCAAGTCCTGTTTGCCTTGGTGTTCACCACTCGCTACCTGGACCTGCTCACCGCCTTCATCTCGCTCTACAACACCAGCATGAAGGTGAACGCGCTCGCACTCATTTCCTGTATTTGAACCGTGGGCTCCACTCCGACACGCCTGTTTGCCAAAGGGTGGCCACGCGAGATTGTCATTCAAGAAGGCCGGTGCCCGCTGCGGCAAGTGAGTATCCAACCGGTAACGTTGTCTGGGTCTTTCAGGTCATCTACATTGGGTGCGCGTACGCAACCGTCTACCTGATCTACCTCAAGTTCAAGGCCACATATGACGGGAATCACGACACGTTCCGAGTGGAGTTCCTGGTTGTCCCGGTCGGGGGCCTGGCTTTCCTGGTGAACCACGACTTCTCTCCCCTGGAGGTCAGCAACACTGCACAGGCACACTGGGTTTTATAAGAAAGCTTCTAGGTGGCTCTTCATTATTCCTCCATTCCTTCTCTCCGCTCAAAAGCACCGCCACTCTTTCCTAAGGGAGCGAGATTTAACTGGTCCACAGTAATCTAAGCAGCATGCTCTGCACTCCACCATTCGTAGGCACTCTCTCTCTCACTGACTCACTTCATTTACTAACTTATGTCCAGGAGTTGGATTAATGACAATAAAACATGACGCATAGACGTGTCTGTGATGTTGCATCTCCAGGCAAGTTTAGGTCCATTTCTACCTCCTGTGGTCTGACGTCATTCACGTAAACGTAAAGGAAAGGACACATATTCAATGTTTACGCTTGCAGCTGTTAAATGCTGCACACACACACACACACACACTCATACACACGTTGATGCACGGATCCTTTTAGTTCAGTTGAGGATGATGCAGCTCCTCTGGAATAAGTAAATGTAAAAGTATTTGAATTGAGTCCGCGCACATCAGCCCTGTTTCCCTCTCACACATCAGCCTCCCATTATCTCTCCCACCAACCCTCTGCTCCCTCTTCTGTTCGGCCCAGATCCTGTGGACTTTCTCCATCTACTTGGAGTCGGTGGCCATCCTGCCGCAGCTTTTCATGATCAGCAAGACCGGTGAGGCCGAGACCATCACCACCCACTACCTGTTCTTCCTGGGACTCTACAGAGCCCTTTACCTCTTCAACTGGATATGGAGGTTCTACTTCGAGGGATTCTTCGACATGATTGCCATCGTTGCCGGGGTCGTACAGACAATCCTCTACTGCGACTTCTTCTATTTGTATGTCACGAAAGGTGAGTGCTGCTGCGTTCTCCTCGGAGACTCTCTTTGGGGGGCGGCGTTGGCGTTTGGGCTTTTCGTTTCATATCGCACTGTTGCGCACATCTGTCTTTCTGTCTGAGCTACTTCACACAGACTGACACATGTGGCGACATTGGACACAGTTCAGTGAACCAAACTACTTTCTGTATGCCTAATAATAATAATAAAATATTTAGAAGTAAAAAGCCTGTACCTTATCAAAACACGTGTTCGACAAGCAGAGTTCAACTTCAGCTTCAACGGAGGCCGTTTGTCTTTGTTCTTGTAAACTGCTCTGCTGTCCAAGACGAACAGGGCAGAGGTCAGATGGAGTTACTGATACCATCTAATCTTCACACCAACGTTACTTTCCATTGAGATATTATTAACTTTATGTAGTGACTCTGCTGCTCTGGGAACATCTTCGTTAATCCTGTTTTTGATTTTATCTGTAAATGATCTGAGTAGCTCCTTGTAGAAACACAATCCTGAAGATGCCTCTCTGCTTGAGGGCCACCCTCGTTTAGAAAGACCGGGGTGGGCCGAGGGGTTCAACGCTCCATTAAAACTCACCACTAAGTGTCGCTAAATCTCAGTGTTCCTGCTGAATCAATCAAGTATCAACAATAACATTTCAATTCCTTGAATTATAATATGAAATATTGACAACAGCCCTTCTACAAGATGTTGATTTCTTCATGAAACGCTGGACTTTTATCCCTTGATATTAAAAGTGTGAGAAACAAACACCCTTAGTAGAATCGCTCCTAGACGATTTAAGCCAGTGGTATGAAACGTCAGCTGGATCAGTCTGTTTTCTGGCTGTTGTGCATGCTGACGTCCATCATGATGTCGCTTCTCGTTTCAGTGCTGAAAGGAAAGAAGCTGAGTCTGCCGGCTTAAGTGCCAAAGAGGAGTGCTTTGGGAGACTCATAGAGGGGGACGGGACGGGAGGAGGTGAGGTATTGCTCGCCTCTGAAGCCCCCCCTCCACCCCCACTGCTTCGTCCTCGTCCCAAGTGTAAGATGCCTGAGACAGAGAGCGACCGGCTGCACCTTCTTCCCATCCGCAATCAGCGGGATCAGAACCCTGCAGCGGCCGGTCCGTGGCCTTTTAGGATTTCTGTTTGATGCATCTTGCCTTAACTTTTTTTTAATACTCTGTATAAAGGATGAAAAAAGAAAAAAACACAATTTCTTTTCTACAGAAAAATGTGGACAAAAATGTACTACATTTGTGTACATTGGTGAAAAAGAGATGAAGATGTAAAATTGCCTTGATCTGGCATTGTATGATATTGAAGCGGACTTCTTGTGGTGGGATATTGATGCAAGCGTATGTAATAGCGTTTCAATCAGAATAAATGTGCTTTGTTTTTCATTCCTGACTCAATTGGGGAGGAATTTAACTAATCCGAATCGAATGATGTTCTGCTTTGTTTTTGACCACTCTGGGTTTCCATGTATAAAGACTGTCTGTTTTAGTTTCCCGTGCATTTGGTAGAGTAGAAATTCATTGTAGATGCCACAATTTAACTCTTCTTCCAGAAATGAAAATATTCTTTTTTTTTTTTTTCTAAAGCCTTCCAAATTGGCTGATATGAGTTGCTTTTGTGTGATTGACAGTAAATGGTTGGGAAGGATGCACGTCGTTGTAAATGGCTTTCTTCATTTGAACATTGCGTTTATTACCCGGTGAGGACATCACACACACGTTACCTGTAAATATACATCTTTGCCCAGCTCATCCATCTCAGCCCTGTAAAGGTCAGAGAGAATTCTCTGGTGATGTTTGAATCATCTCAAGATAAAATTCTTTGGCTTTTCTTTCAGACGCAGATGTATGTTAACGTTTATATCTTCCTCCTGGCTTCCAATGAATAGAGCAACTAGTTGTGCATACTTTCTACGGCAGGATGAAAGCTCACCTTTTGCGCAGGAGCGAGGTCCTGCTTAACGTAGTTTTAATCAAATAGTTCTCGAGACACATTTGCTTCACTCCAAGTTTCCTTTTTCATTTATTGCCAGAGCTTTTGCATGATCTTGCTACCACGAATAAAGCTGTTATGGGAAACATTTGTGTCACTGCTGTGGTTACAATGAGGGTTAAAGAGCGTCTGTGCTTGTTAGGGCTCAGCCATGTTGAGAGCCGTTTGGAGGCAATCGATCCTCGGCCCAAGTTTAAAAAGAAAAGGCTGTTTAGTGTTTACTCATTTTATTCTTTTTTTTTTTTTTTATATTTACAATAAAAAAACTAATAACGCGGTGGTGTCCATATAATTTGGCAGCAGGAAAACCAGAAAGACGTCTCCTTCCCCCTTTCCGACAGCCTCCCCGGCGGAAGTGAGGCGGACGGGGAGAAGGAGTCGGGACGGTTCCTGAGTGAAATTACCCGAGTGTGTAGAAGTACTGTACGTGGCCGCCATGATGACAGCTGTTCGAATTATCTAAATGCCAAGGAATGGAGCTTCAACGCTTCCTTAATTAGCTCCTTTGGCATAGGAACCACTGGACTTTCCTGTACCAAAGGAAAGGAGATCATTCCATCCCACAATCTCTTGCGGTGGCAATGTTTATATCTCGCCGCTGCAGACTGACGTCACTAACACGCGTCTCCCGTCTCATCCTAACCACGTAGCTTAGTGGAAGCGCAGCGGCATTCTCTAAACACCGCGGTTGTCTCCTCGTGAATTCCGCAGAGGTGAAGTGGTGAGGAATCGGTGTCCCGAGGTGACATGTTTCACTATTCGAATCCAGCGGGGGATTTCTCCAGTGACCCCTGACCTCAGCCTGTCTGAGTGCGCTGCGTAAACAGGATGGAGTATAGAACAGCACAGGGTAATTAAGACCAGTTATTCACCATGTCATCGCTGTCACTGGCTTAAGTTCGGCTTGTAGCTAACGCGGGCTAACTCACCTGAGGGAATGCTAAACGGCGACCCGCGTGTGCACAGAGACGGTGCTCTCCCTCCCTTAAGCGTGTTACTAAAAGACGTTGAATACGTGACAGTATTCTGTGTAAGCGCTGTGTGGTTTTTGTTCTTTAAGCATCGTAACACGCGTCAACGAGGTTTCCACCCTGCTGGAACAGAATCCGGGTATTCCGCTTTCATTCCATTGCATATGTTCGCCTGTGGGCACACCAGCAGCGTGTGGAGGAAAGATGAATACACGGTGATGACGATGACTGGTGTTTGCACGCAGGCCCTCCTCTTCCCCTCGCTGCCCTGCGCCTCCTGGTGCCGCCGATTCGACTGGTCTCTGCAGCCATCTGGCAGAGCGTCCAGCAGGGAGCCGTGTCCGACTACGGGATGCTGGAGGAGTTTGTTTCCATGGTTACGGACGTGGTTCCAGAGCTGCTCACCCGGCGCCAGAGGGCTCAGCTCATCCTGGGCCTGAGAGCACGGGTGAGGAGCAGCAGAGGTCGATCATTAACAACCAGTATTTGTTACCGGGGTCGTGGGTTTTAGTTCTTTCTCTTTGCCCCGCGGGTTTAGCTGATCCTGGAGCTTTGTCAGGCCCAATCTCCTGCCGACGTTGGGCTTGTTCAGCCACACCTGGAGAGGGTGCAGGTGCTCATGGAGGCGTTGGCAATAGACGTGAGTTGGCTTTGTGGCGTTGCTTTGTTTAATTATAATGTAATTGACTTTTTCCCCCTTTTTCCTAATGTCCGTGTCATTTTCCACAGGGCAGTGCCACAACTCTGAACGTTCAACACTCCAAATTTCTGGATCTAGTCAACAACTTGCTGAAAAATCGTGACGAAAGGGAAAACTTTTATCAGGTCTGTGTTAATGTTGCTCCTCGGACTCTGTTTAATAAATAACACAAGGCGAGGAGCTGACAGCCCCTCCAGTTTTAATTTATTTGAAACCATCAAACCTTCCTCTGACGGCGCTATTGTTCATGTGTAACCACAATGTCTATATATCATTACTGTGTAATACATTATCGCATGACTGGCTCTCTATACAATGACTCTCCGTGGATGTTGTGTCTTTCTCTTAAATCGTATTTATTCTCGTACTGGCCTGTTTTCCTCAATGTGAGACCCTCGGTATGTTTCAGAAGGTTTTCCCTCAAGCGTTCGGTCCCACCTACGATGACGCACTCCGCTCCTTGATGCGGATGTTTCTGTGCAGACTGGAACAGTTTCTTCCTCTTCAAACGTTCCAGCAGGTACAACATGAAAACGCGTGAAATGTTTCCAACACAACCTCCTGTTGATGAAGGTCCGTAGTCCTTTTTCACCCCTTTCCTTCTCTTCAGGTTTCCTCCGTGTTCGCTGAGGGCTCGTCGGTTCTTGAGGAATGTATGCAGTCTGTGTCCCGGCACCAGGAGCTCAGAACCCTGCTGCAGTATCACAGAGACCTGAGCCCCCCGGATCATAATGGCAAGCCTCTAGTTCCCTCTTCCTCTCTATGACCTCTGTAGCCAGCTCAGCCGTCGCCAGTGCTTCAATCAAAGAAATGCCCATTACTCCTTAATGAATTACCCTCTTTGAAGAACTTGTATATCCTTGAGGCAATGACCCATTGAGGTCGCTCTAGTCCTCATGTTTTATATTAGTGGAGCACATGGCTGTGATGTGAAAGGTTTGACTTGCAGTGATGTGGCTATTATCACGCATCACAGGGGCCTAATTCCCATTAGCAGTTACTGTCTGGAGACCAAACCAGGACTAGAATAATATTGGATTTATGTGGATGAAGAAGAAGCCATTTTATGGGGAATTGTTGGTGCATTTAAGCCGTCGCTCACAGGGAGCAGGTGGGGTTGTGTGTTGCTCAGGGACGTGGAGGAGCCGGGTCAGAGACCGATAACGGTCGCTTGTGACATTTTCCAACAGCTTTATACTCCCAGCAGGTAACGGTAAAAGCACATTTGGGAAAATGAAATGATTCAAAGTGATTAGACTGTATTTGGGGGGCCTCCAGCCCGCGCTCGGGATGCTTCGGCTCGCTCCGTGTACTTCGCTTCTTATGCCAGAGGTAAAAAAAACACACATCAAACAAAATAAATGAGCACTGTTTCAAATATCTTTGACGAGTCGAAGCTTTCTGTGAATGATGGACACAGACTTACTATTTGTAAAACGTTTGTACTTTGTACAGTTTGACTCGTGAAGGACCTTTAATAGTGAGCTTCGACTTTTAGTCACCATTCCTTTTTTTCCTCCTTTCAGATGGTTCCTTGGATGGCGCCTGTATTATTTCAGCTCTCGAACTCACCATTGAAGAAGGAACCCTGACCGATAAGCCACCAGCCAAAGTGTGGGACGCCACTTTGGAGAAAGGACCTTTGACCTTGTCTCGCGACACAACCGCCGAACATCAGTCAAGCCGGATAAATGTTGACAGATCTGCTGTGGCTCCCGGGCAGAAGGGATCAGAGGGGCCTTTGGGAGATGTTACAAGCCATCAAGAAGACACAGACCGCGTTCACGGTCAAGCCGACAAGACTTCTCAGCTTCTGAAACAATGCCACGTCCCGCTGAGAAGGCTGGACGTGGCGCCGCCGACTCGCCCTGCCAGAGCCAACAGAGGCCTGAGGATGAAAAGGATTCTGATGGAGGAGAAAAGAGGTCTTTGTGAAGAGGTCCCGCCTGTCTGCAGGAAAACGAAAGCCTCCGGTCGGGCTCTTCCACACGTGTCTGACGAGGAGGAGGAGGAGGAGGAGTCCTACATGGCTCCTATCAACGACTGCAGTGACGACTCGTGGTCGTACTACTCCGACCGCGAGGCCGCCGGCAGTGTCAGCGCGGCCGATTCGTGGTCCAACTACTCGGGTGACGAGTCTCCGCCTGGGACTCCCGGCGGTAGCTCTGCCGAAGGGGATTCCAACGAGGAGCCTAAGGAGGTGCCGGCTGCCAGCAGCGGCGCCCCCAAGAAGACTCGGAAAGTCCAGTGTTTCATCTGCAACGAGCCGGTGAGCACGAGCCTGAGGGCCCACATGAAGAGCCACTTCCCCGCCGGCGACTACGCCTGCCCCTGCTGCGACAGCCGCTTCAAGCTCCTGTCCTCGCTGAGGCTGCACCTGAACCGGACCTGCTTCGAGTACGGCCGGCAGCGGGCGGGCGAGTCCGCGAACCTCTTCCCGTGCGGCCAGTGCGGCGAGACGTTCGGCCACAAAGTGTCCCTGGAGCGCCACGGACGGACGCACAGCGAGCTCTACTGCCCCGCGTGTCGGAAGGTGTTGCGGGACGCGGCGACGCTGGCGAGGCACAAGGCCTCTCACGCCCGCTTTGCGTGCAACCGCTGCGAGGAGACCTTCGCCCTGTTCAAGCCGCTGCTTCGCCACTGCGAGAACATCCACAAGCTCAGGAAGCCGTTCCAGTGCAGCCACTGTCCCGCGGCGGTGGCCGAGCTGCGCGCTTTGATCGCCCACGAGTGGAAGCACACGGGCCGCCTGCCGTTCCGGTGCGCCCTGTGCCCCTCGGGGTTCAAAAGCGACGCGGACCTCGCGTCCCACCAGAGGGTCCACACGAGGGAGAGGCCCTACCTGTGCGCGCAGTGCGGAAAGACGTTCTCCCAGAGGTCCAACCTGCTGCGGCACCTGACTTTCATCCACGGAGACTCTCGCGACGAGAAGAAGTATTCTTGCAGTGAGTGCGAGAAGTCCTTCAAGGAGAAAGGGTCCCTGAAGAAACACCAGAAGACCAAACACCTGCGCGAGTTGTTCCGCCACCCGTGTCCGTACTGCGGGAAGATGGTCTCGGCGTCGACGATGACGAGGCATAAACTGATCCACACGGGCGAGAAGCCTTTCAGATGCACGGCGCCCGACTGCGACAAGGGCTTCAGGTCGGCGTCTGAAGTGAAGAGGCACGTGTTGGTGCACCACAGCACGGAGAGGCCCCATAGATGTGACGTCTGCGGCAAAGGCTTCATAAAGGTGTGTCATCTGGAGGCGCACGCTAAGATACACTCGGGGGAGAAGCCTTTCGTCTGTCATTTCTGCAACAAGGCTTTCCCCAAGCGCTACAGCATGGAGAGACACAAGAAACTTGTCCACTCATTCGCAGCGCGTTGACCCGCGTTGGGCGGCGGGTTGACGTACGAAGTTCCAACCATTGAAATCGTATCATCATTTTCTGCACGGATTGTGAACTTCGAGGAAACCTTATGAATGCCATTTTTATCTATAGGATTATATCTGCATAGTATATAATATACATATGTTTATATTAAATATGTGTGTGTGTGTGTGTATATATAACACTTATTATCATTTGAAATTTAAATAGAAAAATAAAACGATTATAAAAAGCCATCATCGATGGAGCCCCGATACCACGAGTCACCATGACAACAGTAAATAAAAGAGCTATTTCACTGCGATGGAGTTGGAGGTCCTTCTGCAGGCCTACGGTGAGTATGAGCACGTATTTCGCCGCAAATGCAACACAGCTGCAGCAGCGAAGGAGAGAGAGACTGCGTGGGGAAAAATCGCTGCCCGAGTCAACGTGTCAAGTTTGAATGTACTGTTCCATTGACATAACATTTTACCGTAAGATCGTCACAGTCTATAGTTAATATAAGTAGGAATGTAATCTGATTTCATATTGGGTGCAATCCAACAGGGGAAAAAAGGACCTGGAAGCAGCTAAAAATGAAAATATAAAAATACAGTTAAAAAAGGTATGACATATATTGCTATGATTGCATCTCACTTTAATTTTAATTCATTGTCTTTAATGGACTTCGGCTATTAAACAAAGTAAATATTAATTCAGTGGCTACTTGAAATAGTAAATTAAACCCCTAATAAAATGTTGTTTTTACACGTCTTTTCACTTAATATCCCACTAAGGAGACACTTACAGACACATTTTTTGAAATGTAGACAATTAGCAAACACAATGTACCATTAGAAGACCGGAGTGATAGTTGCTGGAAATGGGCCTCTATACACCGATGTAGATATTTCATTCAAAACCAGAAGTTTCCACCTAGAATAGCCATTTACCACATTAACAATGTATAGAGTGTATTTGTGTGTATATATATATATATAGCCTACTTTTTAATTAATACATATCCACCCACCCAACAGTTGTAGATGGTGTCATCTGCACAGTTGTAAACCCTGCAGATACTCAGATCTTGCCTCAGATGGTAGTTAAAAGTAATGTGTCTTAATATTATCTACTGGCAGTGCTCTGCCCATTCACATTCTAGAGTGGAGTTTGGAGTTTGACATGTAGACTAAAGTGATGAGCGTAGATAATGGCTAACTAGCACATTCTTGTCCTTGAACAGAACATGGTTGGGCATCACCAACCCACAGCACATCTTGAAACAGTGAGATTTTCGGTTAATACCATGTTAAATCTGTATGTGGAACTGTAGGAATTACATGTCGTCCATATGTTTCCTAGTTACCAGTAAAGCGGTAGCGTGCTAACAGAAATTCCTCTGGAAATGATAAAACGTCTAATCTGGGTAGGAAGACTCTCTCGCGACGTAAAGCATTTCGAATCACGAAGGCTTCGATGTCAATTGGATTCAGTAGGAACAGGCAATCCATGTCTACAGCTTTCTTCATGTGGGAGGAGACAGGTAGAAACTCTGTTTCTTAGTAAACCTGCCAGCGAGCAGGTGATGTTCACAGAGTCTGTTACCATGGTGATGGACTCAGAGTCTGTTATCATGGTGATTGACTCAGAGTCTGTTACCATGGTGATTGACTCAGAGTCTGTTACCATGGTGATTGACTCAGAGTTTCAGTTACCTCTCTATCTGGAACGGATAACTCAGAGTTTCCCTGATCTCAGGGTTAACTTACTCTGAGTTTTCACATAACCCGCTTTCTGGAATACCCCCCTGGTCCCACCGGACTCCTTATGTATCAACAAACACTCAGGATGTGATTATTCAACTATTAAATTAGTTACATTACACGTCATTTAGCTGACGCTTTCATCCAAAGCGACGTGCAATAAGAGCATTTCAACCATAAGTTAGTGAAACTCACGCTAAGTGTAGGAGGATCATTTTTATCTTTATTTAAATATAGTAGATGCACTTGATATACAGCGATTATTAGCATGTGCAACGAGGAGGTAAAAAAGGAAGAAGCGGAACTCATCAAAGGTCGCTGGTTCTTGTCGGATTGTTGTTCCGGACGGAACGCAACTCTAGCGTCGACGCACAAAGATCCCTGTGTGATATCGGTCTCCTGAACGCAACTGTCTTGAAAATATTTGGTTTGGCCTCGGTCAAGAGACGCACATTGTTCCCTCGGACGGTAATGTAACCGCAGCGAACACGCACAATGGACGGAGATACTGCTGGTGAGTTTACGGTTAGCTCGGCTTTTTGTTTGGCTAGGCCGCAGCGGAGCCCGCGCGCGGGAAGGCGTTTGCTAACTTTGTTACGGTCTAACAGTTCACTTTTCCAGATAACGCTCCCCGTGGCGCCTTTAAGTGTCACTCGGGCTTCCACGCTTCAGCTCAGCGGGGCTGAGTTAGTGTCGTTACGTCCATGAAGTGTCACTTTCGTGCTATCGGGCTGACTGTGCTATCTGAGCTAAAGCTAGCTAAGCTAGCTTCGAGGAACTCTGTGTCTCGTTGACGCGGAGGGTCTCTGCTGGTTACACACGTTACCAAGTGCGTGTGGGGGGGTGGGTGATCTTTTTGCCCTGTGTGAGGGCCACTGCTTTATGATGACATGTTATATGATGTGAATTGTTATATCCCGGAAATGGACGGGTTTGCATCCTGTCTCAGGAGATGACACCGGGTTTTGACTTAGAATGCCGCAGTCCTGGTTTTAACACGGAGGTAATCTGAGGCCGCAGTATTGCAGTCAGGCCGAAGGACGATCCGTGCGACAAAGGTTGGCGAGTCAAAACAAGGTCCGGGAATGAAGGCGGTTGACTCCAAGAACAAATGTTCTCCACGCCGGCTCCACTCGAAGCAACAACGTGAGTCACGTGGCGTCCGTGCAGGCAGACGGCTCCCCTCGCGAACCCCTTCCAGCTGTGGAAAGGCGACATTCTGGGAAGCATTCATGTCCAGTGACAGCGCGGTGAACTCGTGCGGTCTTATAAGATCGCATCTTCTCAGTGTGACGTTGATCTAACATTTCTCCGTGTGTCCCGCCTGCAGGTCCGTCCCTTCCCCTCTCCGCACTGCGCCTCCTCGTCCCGCCCATCCGGCTGGTCTCCGCGGCCATCTGGCAGACGGTGGAGCAGAAGATCGTGTCGGACTATGGGCTGCTGGAGGAGTTTGTGTACATGGTCACAGAGATGGTACCTCAACTCCTCTCCACGAGGCAGCGAGCCGAACTCATTTTGGGTCTACGGGCGCGGGTGAGGAAGAGCTGAGATTGTTTTTGCAGAAGAAGTTGCCGTAGCCTGTACGATCTGTATATTCAATGTGAGGGACCACGTGGAGGATGGAACAGCAGTTTTCAAGTTGACAGCGTGTCATTGTTGTGGATCATTTATCGGCCCCCTTCCATACCACCAGTATGTTGAACAAACAAAACCATCTCCTCATTCGCGCCACTGACTTTTGCAGCTGGAGTGTATAACTAAAGAAGTCCGTGGGACGTGTTCATCAATCTCGGTAACGGTGGTTGTTCTTGACCCATCAGTCACTGGTTCGTTCTATTGGTGCTCTGATTGCAGCTGATCCTGGAGCTGTGTCGCTCCGAGGAGACTGCTGAGCCCCACATCATCCAGCCACATCTGGACCGAATGCAGAACCTCAAGTCTCTGTGGAATGTGGAGGTGATGGCTAGAAGTGGTTTGGTTTTATATTTGTAATGTAGAAGTCTGTAATTTGGGTTGTAATGATCTGTAATTCTGAATGCTTTCTTTTTTTTGTAGACCGATAATGCAGAACAAGACGTTTCAGACTCCCAATTCATGGGCCTTGTCCAAAGTCTGCTGAGAGATCCTGAGGAGAGAAGAAACTTCTTCCAGGTAATGTTCTGACTATCGGCCCTTTGTTAAGGGAGATTGACTAAGTTTACATTAACAGGAGAAAACGTATGTTGTGTTTCATGACACACTGCTGTTTGCCCAAAGCCTGAGGAGTGTGTTGTTGTTGTTTTCCCCCGTGTCCCAGGATGTTTTCCCTGGAGACTTTGGCCCCACATACGACAAAGCAATCCAGACACTGATGTGGCTGTTTCTGTCCAGACTGGAGAAGCTTCTTCCCACCCAAACTCTCCAACAGGTAGACTTCAATATCCAATCGTACTTCTATTTCTCTGCTTTATTTAAGCAATGAGGTCCAATAGTACCTCATTGCTTTTTACGGTTCCCAACGAAGTAAATCGCTGCCTTTCAGCACAAAATAGTTGTAGCCACAAAACGTTGTGTATCGCATTTCAGTAGTCTGGAGGCAAATAGTCCCGTACCTGCACGTAAACCCATCGGGTCCCGCACCGTCTCATTCATTCACATCGCTCATGACGTCCACCTGAATTGTTCGGTCGCAAAAGTTCGCCTTGCCCCAAATCGTTCATCGCTGCTGTTTCTGGTCTTTTTTCGGCGATCGCCACTGAGCTAAAATGTCAACTAACGGTCGCGCAAAATCTAACCTGTTACTTTAAGTGAGCAACACTTGGATCAGTGTGAACAGAACTGTACATTATCGCTCAATAATGCACCCATGACTCACTCTCAACCAATCAGAACGCTGGATTTCATCTACCTGTATTAGACATTCAAATACGCCACAGACGGGCATTTTGTATGTTTTTCCTTTTGGAAATCCCAGCGCCGTGTCCCTCATCCTGGTTCTTGTCTTTGGCAGATTGCCTCTCTGCTCAGCGACGCCTCATCGGTTCTCAGCGACTGCATGAAGACGTTTGCTCGACCTCAGGAGCTCAAAGCCCTGCTGGACACTCAGAAGGACCTCGGCCAATTGGAAGACATTGGTGAGCTGCTCGGGACTTTTATGAGCTTTTATTGTCCTGAATATGTGTTGCTTTTTATTTTCTGTTAATGACCGATTCAACCGAATCCCTTTTGATCTCCTCTCTTCAGAATCGTACATTGTGGACAGCGGCATCTTGTCGGCCCTGTGCCTCCCCCCCGTAGAACGAGTCCTGATCGTCAGCGACCAGGCGGAGAGCGGCCTCATGTACACGGTGTGCACAGAGATGGAGGTGGAGTCCGAGAACAAGGGGGCGTACCCGGAGGGAGCCGAGCACTCCGGAGAGGGTGCGCAAGCCAAGTGGCGCGGGGTGAAGGCGGAAACCGACGCGGTGGTGGTCACGGACCCCGCGGAGGGCGTCGAGGGCGACGCGGCAGACGACCACAACTACGACCAGTCCGGCACGCTGATGATCGGCGAGGACGGCCAGGTGACGGTGCTCGACGGCGCCGAGAAGAAGCCGAACAAACGCGGCAGGAAGAAGAAGCGGCCCGACGATGAGGACTACGAGGTGCAGGGCAAGCAGGAGGACCCGGACTTCGACGTGGCGTGGGAGAGGCCCGTGCGAAAGAACCGCGGGCTCAAGATGAAGCGGTACCTGTCGCAGTGGAGGCGGTCGGGAAAGACGCAGGGCGCCGACGGCAGCCCCGAAAAGTGTGCCGACTCCCCGGCCAAAAGCAACGACCTGGACGAGAGGACGTGCAAGGTGTGCGGCGCGGTGGTGAGCCGCGCCAAGTTCCTGGAGCGCCACATGATCCGCCACTCGGGGGAGCTGCCGTACTCGTGTCCCGCGTGCAAGAGGTTTTACAAGAGCCTGCGTTGCTTGCAGCAGCACAGGTGCCCCAATCAGGCGAAGGCGAAGCCCGGCAGGAAGGCGAAGGAGCAAGAGGCTGCGGCGGACGAGGGCGAACAGTCGTCCGGCGAGGCCGCCGCTGGGGGGCGGCGGCCCGACGCAGACGGAGACCCCGACGGCGAGGCCTCTTTAGAGGGCTCCTCCAAGGAGTCGGGACAGAAGAGCCCCGAGGAGAAGAGCCTGCTGGAGGGCCCGTTCTACTGTCCCCACTGCAGCGTCGAGTTCAAGTGCAAACAGACTTTCCGCTTCCACCTGCGGAACATCTGCTACAACGAGCAGCAGGTGGACCCGGAGCAGCCGGAGGACGTGAAGCACTGCTTCCGCTGCGACGAGTGCGACAAGGCGTTCAAGTACAAGTCGACGCTGGAGTCCCACAAGCAGACGCACAACCCGCTGTACTGCGAGGTGTGCACGAAGCTGGTGCGCGACCCCGAGGCGCTCGCCATGCACAAGGAGTCGCACACGCCGTTCCAGTGCAACCGCTGCGAGGAGAACTTCCCCGTGTTCAAGGCCCTGCACAAGCACTACATCGACGTGCACGACCCCGTGGAGCCGTTCACCTGCACGCACTGCCTGACCACGTTCGCCAGCCTGAAGCGCTTCATCCGGCACGAGTGGAAGCACACGGGCTACCAGCCCTTCCAGTGCCCCCACTGCAGCAAGCGCTTCCGCTCGTACTCGGACCTCGTGGAGCACCAGAAGAAGCACACCAAGGCGTACCCGTTCCTCTGCTGGGAGTGCGGCAAGAAGTTCCGTCACGGCGTCACGCTGACGCGGCACGTGGAGCGCGTGCACCACTCGGGCGAGCCGGTGTCGGAGAAGCCCGTGCCGACGTTCACGTGCGCGCAGTGCGGCAAGACCTTCACGTCCCGGAGGTGCCTGCTGAAGCACGACAACTTCCACCACAAGGGGCTGCGCTTCCCGTGCGAGTTCTGCGGGAAGGGCTTCTTCGGCAAGGACGCGCTGGTGCGCCACACGCTCATCCACACGGGCGAGCGGCCCTTCAAGTGCGACGACTGCGACAAGTCCTTCCGCTCCGCCGCCGAGCTGAAGATCCACCGCCGGTACCACACGGGGGAGCGGCCCTTCAAGTGCAACGTCTGCCAGAAGGGCTTCGTCCAGTCGTGCTTCCTCACCTTGCACATGCGCACGCACACCGGGGAGAGACCGTACGTGTGCACGGTGTGCAGCAAAGGCTTCTCCAGCCTGCACGGCCTGAAGCGACACAGGAGACTCGTTCACGCGTAGTAGGCGCAGGGGGCGTCGGCCTGCAGACGCCCCCCCCCCCCCGCCCCGAGGTGGCGGGTTGAAGGCCAGGCGTTCCAGTAGAGCGCCGCCGTCCTCCACACGTCGCTGTCGCAGCGTGTGTTGTTGGGAACTGTGTAATTGTATAGTGCATTATGAAGAATATAATGTAACTTTGTATTTTTTACAGAAATGTTTGCTGTAGTTCTACATAATATTTGTATGTATAAACAATATAACCCTTCATTCCTTTGGGAATTGACTTCTTTTCTTGAATAAATTGAACATTTGATTCCATTAGGCATTCAATTTGCTCCATCGTGAGGTTATTCATGTGGTCTTAGGGGCATTGAGTTGCTCTGCGTTGTTTCTGTGTATCTACATTTTTTGGCTTGATGCAGGGAATGCAGCTCTCCAGAACACGTTTCCATGCCATATTTCAACCAAATGGATACTTTGTAACATAAAATATAATGGGATTTGGTCAAAAATGATAAACAATGTATGTATTGGTAATCATGCATTTGTTTGTTAATATTTCGGTTACCTAATGACATCGACAATCCTCAACAACTAGATGGCCTTTAATTTGGTTCCTGCCAGATGCACCAGTAGTCTTCAGCTGTTTCCTTTCCAACTTCATGCATTTTTACGCCACGGAAGTAACTACATAACATAACTGCTGATGTGCAGGAGCTCAACACACGTCTGTTTTACAGAGCACAAGGAGATGGATACATTAATCTGTGATCTGGGCTTAATGTGTTTCACTGGTCACCGGTGTAAAGTGGAATGTTTGCAAACAGGAAACCACACATACGAGTCATGTGCCGAGCTGACTCATCTTTTTTCATCTTCGGAGCAGGATCATGTAGTTGGAAGATAAACATGCGTAACATGTTCAAAACCCAAGTGCTGGTAGTTGACCTCGGATGTAGATGATGAGCTTCACAAGATTATAAACATCGAAGAGCACAGACTGGTTCTAAGGTGGAACATTATTGCAGTTTGTTACAGACATGGCTGGCAGGAGTACACAGGCACTAAAAATGTGCCTTTTTCTCCAAGTAGTAAATTACTTTTATTCAACTAACAATGCAATCATTTTCCAAACATACCTTTTTATAAATTAATTTCATCCAATAATTTAGCTGACTTGTGACGAATAATTGCTATTATTTAACTATATTATTTATATTAAACGATATCAAAAAATCATCAGCTCAATTAATACTCATTTCAATCAATTCAAAAATAAAATCATGAAAATAAGATGTATCGCAACGGCAAAAACACGGTGTTTTGGTGATGGTGCTAAAATATTTCACCCCAGATGGGACTCGAACCCACAATCCCTGGCTTAGGAGGCCAGTGCCTTATCCATTAGGCCACTGGGGCTGCTTGTCTGTCGTAGTGCACCAATTCTATTAATACCATAAATAAATTGGCCGGTCCACAAAGTTAAATTGTGTGTGTTCAGGTGACATGCCACGTCGCTAAGCACAAAAGGCTCACTTTCTTTTTTAAAACCCTGGCAAAAAATGTAATAGTTTCCGGTCACTTAACCGTCTCTGCAGTAAGGATTCATTTACGACAGAACAACGGTCTACCGGAAGCGTCAATCCAATCATCGATAACGGGAAGTTTGGCTGATTACAGCCCTTCTCCAACCAGTGCTTGTCGCAAAACATTCGCTCTATTTCAAACACATTAGTGAAGATTGAACAGTCTCCGCGATAAGCATCAGATCAAATAACGGTGCACGGACGTTTCCCCCGGGGGACGAAGGACCGGGATCCAGCCTCCAGCCTCAGTGCTTTTCCTGCTCGCTCCGGAGGGATGGTAGCGTTAGCCGGTTAGCTCTCCAGCAAGCCGCTGTAGGATTTACGTTATTTGGCTTTCGTTTGTTGAAATAATGAATCTACTACCGTCTAATCCTCACGGGAATGGGCTCCTTTATGCTGGCTTCAACCAGGATAACGGTAAGAAATGGAGCCGTCGGTTGTTTTTGTTTTTAGCTGAATTGTCATCGTCGTTAATGCGAAGCTAACATTGCCAAACGGACGCCTCCCCAAAGGACAAATTAAGCACAACCGTATATACCAATAGTTTGACGTGTTCTAGGATTGTTGTAGTCTAACTCTAAAGACGCTATGCAGTACATTGGTAACTCTTCACGAGTACCAACAGCCACTTTAACCGAAAGTACCGATTGTTAAGTTGGCTTTAGCGTTAGCCGGCCAACTACGTCAGCTAACGTAACGATAGCATGTTCTGTTTCAACCAACTGACAACTCCGCTAACGTCACACACGTGTCATGTCGTTAAGACATACGCGTGTAGGTGCTCACTAAACCGTGTGTTGGTAACGTGGTTACTGACGTAACGTTAGCCGGGGGAAATAACTCCATCTATCTGACGTTACCGGACAGCGGTACCGATGGCTAAGCTAGCTAGATAACCGCTTGCTAGGCTAAGTTTGAACTCTGCTACTGGGCTAACACGGTGTTTGCTGCTGGCCATTGTCTGCGTTAGTATTCAGTGTCCGACGTAAATGTAGTTTTCATAGTTATCTTTTCTCCCAAACCTACATTACATTTTACCGGCTGTGTAACGTTAGTTACACGCAAACTATTTGTCGGCTAGCCTCCCGTTAGCTCCGTCTCAACTACGGCGGTAGTTTGACGTACACGTGACCAGAGAGCTCGTCTGGTCCGCTGAAGAAGGGACGTGATGTGGCAGCCGCCGTCCCGTGTGACCGTGCGGTTATTTGTCATTGTAAACAGTTGTGTGTGTGATCGTTTGTCTCCTCAGGGTGCTTCGCCTGTGGGATGGAGAACGGCTTCCGTGTGTACAACACGGATCCTCTCAAGGAGAAGGAGAAACAAGGTAACGACGTCACTCGCGTTGGGGGCCATCGATCGTGGGAGTACTTGAGATTTCAACCTCTGCAAAACGAAGAGAATGCACCGAAGTACAGAAGAAAGTCTGTGTGATTGACGCCTTCAGCAAAGAGGCAGCTTGTTGTTTTTTCATATTCACCGTCGATGATGTTGACTTTCAGAGTTCCTGGAGGGTGGGGTCGGCCACGTGGAGATGCTCTTCAGGTGTAACTATTTAGCACTAGTGGGAGGAGGAAAGAAGCCAAAGTACCCAACCAACAAAGGTATGTTTGGTTTTTTTACCCCACACTATCAGCGGTAATGTTTGTGTTGAGTCGGGATTCTTTCCTGACAAACGACGCCTTGTATTCCCTGTTTTCAGCGTGTCTGCAGACCTGTAACATCCTAATTTTAAAAGTCGGACACAGTTTAGTTTCTCTTGCCTTCAGTAGGTAGTTAGTTTGACGGGGGAAAAATGATTGTCTGCAACTTCAAGTTGACAGGATGCTTCACACACCTCAAAACAGTAGACTGTGTGGCAAACAAGGTCATTATGTTCATCGTTAAAAGCAATACCTTCAATGATCTACAGGCCGAGATCACTGCGCAGGTCAAAATAATTATATTATTATGTTGTCATGGTCGGGGACTGGATTGTATTCTCCAAGTTATTATTTAACTTGGCCAATGTTTAACTGATGAATATCACACTGTGTTTGATTATGCTCATGTTGCTGTTTCTTTTTCTAGTGATGATCTGGGACGACCTGAAGAAGAAGACGGTGATCGAGATTGAGTTCTCAACAGAAGTCAAAGCCGTGAAGCTTCGGCGTGACAGGTGAAAAGAGAATGTCGCCATCACAACCGTTAAACAAGTGTGTAATAATGCGTGTAGCTGGAGACGCTAACGTCTCTGCCGAACCACCCAGCTGTGCTGATGAGACCCTTCTGTTCTCAGGATCGTGGTGGTCCTGGACTCGATGATCAAAGTCTTTACCTTTACCCACAACCCCCATCAGCTGCATGTGTTTGAGACCTGCTACAACCCCAAAGGTCAGTGTGCCGTGCGATCCCCGGCCCAGCTGGTGTCCTTGTGCAAGACACTTGACCCCAGATTGCTCCTGTAGCTGGTTAGTTAAGACAGGATGTTGATGTGTGAACGATGATGTCCATTCACCATGAGCATTGCTATTAGTGAGTCTGCATGAATGTGCCTAAGCAGACCCCTCCTCTCCTCAGGTCTGTGCGTGCTGTGTCCCAACAGCAACAACTCCCTGCTGGCGTTCCCTGCGACTCATTCGGGCCACGTGCAGATAGTGGACCTGGCCAACACGGAGAAGCCCCCGGTGGATATCCCCGCCCACGAGGGGGCGCTGTGCTGCATCGCGCTCAACCTGCAGGGCACGAGAATAGCTACGGCGTCGGAGAAAGTGAGCCGGGCCGAGGCCAACGGGATGGTTTTGTTTTTTTGTTGTTGCTTTCCATCGTCTCGGGGTCTGATCCATGTTGTGTTTTTTTTCTGCAGGGTACTCTGATCCGAATTTTCGACACGTCTGCGGGTCAGCTCATACAGGAGCTGAGACGAGGCTCTCAGGCTGCCAACATTTACTGGTGAGCATCGTGTGCCAGCACCGGCTACATCTCTAACAACAGCGTTGCCTGGAGCATGACTGCTCAAGTGGACGCGCTCAGGCTGCACGTCCATGATGCACGTCCATGATGCACGTTGCTTCCTTTCACTCCAAACCCGTGTTGCCAACCTGGCGGCTTTCTCGCTAAATCTTTCCAAACACCCTGGGCAACTTTTTTTTCCCTGTCAAAAGCGACTGGCCACAAATCGAGCTGACGTGAATGCACGTGTCGCTCAGCAGCTGCTGACCTCAGCGCGTCGGCGCCTCGTGCTGTGGTTCCTGCTGCATTTAGAGCAGAGTGGAGACCCCACCTCTCCGTGCCCAGACTGAAAATGAATTTAGTAAATTAGGCAATGATGTCATGAGTCTGCAGGTGTGGCCCAGGAAAGCTCCTGGTTGTCATTGTTTCGTTCTGTTGTTCGCAGCATTAACTTCAACCAGGACGCGTCCCTCATCTGCGTGTCCAGTGACCACGGCACGGTGCACATCTTCGCCGCAGAGGACCCCAAAAGGAACAAACAGTCAAGGTCAGTCTACACCGACGTTTTGTTTTCCCAAACGCGTCGGATCAAATCTAGTCTGCCGCATGATAATGAGTCGTGTTCCTCCCCAGTTTGGCGTCGGCCAGCTTTCTTCCCAAATACTTCAGCTCCAAGTGGAGCTTCTCCAAGTTCCAGGTCCCGTCCGGCTCTCCCTGCGTGTGCGCCTTTGGGACGGAGCCCAACGCTGTCATCGGTGAGTTCAGCGTTCCTCCCTCTGCCCCCCCAAGCCCAGACCACCAAAGGCACAAACTAGGTTTTACTGATTGGAGGGGGACTCGCCGCAGGTTGTGACGTATGTCATCATTGCTATTGGTGATAGTGATATTGGACTCCCCGTAGAGTTTGTTAAGAACAGAGAAGCAAGTCCAACCGTACAGGTTGCATACAAACCCGCCAGTGAGCTCCGCTTATTCAGACGCCGTAACGTTATTACCCAATTCGATATGTTGACTCTGACTTCCTTTTGTGACGGCCGATAGTGAGTGACTCATCCTTCAGTGTCTTGATCGGTCGTCACAAAAGCCATCGGAGCGACTTCAAGAACCGTTTTGTCTATTGCTAATCCATAGATCCTGTCGTTCCCATGTTTGTGAGTCCGCCCCCACTGAGTCAACGTCAAGCCCTTCACTTGCACACAAGAACCCAACTGACTGTTTCCCCAATCTGCATTAAGCTGCTGCGTCACAAGGACAACAAGGCGCCCCGCTGTGTGCTGACCGGCCTTTATTCCCCTGTCGTTTCTCTCTGCAGCCATTTGTGCTGACGGCAGCTACTACAAGTTCCTCTTCAACCAGAAAGGGGAGTGTGCCCGGGACGTGTACGCCCAGTTCCTGGAAATGACCGACGAGAAAATCTGACCTTTGACCCACGTGGAGACTTGACACCCCTCCTTTTTTTGTGGAGGAAAGGTCCCACGCTGCATTTCTTCTTCTCGTCTTGACAGACTCTGTGAAAAGGAGCATCACGTGAGGGCAGGACGGGAAGGGAGCGAAGCACCGACCCGCACAGCGGAGGCCGGACGGGTGGAGGCACCAACAGCCGCTCTCTTCGGAGGATTGACTCGCAAACCAAGCGCTACAGAAAAGAGAAAGCGGCACGATGGCAATTTTTACGACGTCTTCTGAGGAATTTCCGAAGGAGGGTTATTTTTGAATCGCATAGATGATGCAGATGGTTAGACGGATTACATGTATTGAGATTGTTGTCGACTAACACCACCTAACCAAACTATAGGGAGTGCCTGCAGACTGGAGAGAATATGTATGTGTGCACACGTTATTGTTGTCATATATGCATTTGTGTGTTTGTGTGCATATACTCCAATGTACCATATTATCTGTTGGCAGAGTCCGAATGAGGGAACGTGTCACTGACTCTGCGTAGTGAAGCGTTAGCTTAGCGTTCTATCCACTGTATAAACACGACGCGCCGGACTGAATCTAATTCACTAGAACTGTACAGAATAATACAAATTTTTGTTTCCCTCGTGCTTTTTTAAACTTTATTTTTTCCCAATACATTGTGCAATAGGTTTTCTCTAATTTATTTTGGTTAAAAGCGTGAGAAGGTTCAGTGTTCTTTCCCTGAACAGAAGAATAGCTTCAAGAACTAGTTTGGCACTTAAAGAACTTATTACCTCTCGTGCTGTGAGTTTGATGAGAGGATCGACACGGATCTCTGCATGCTAAACACGACGCTACATGTTTAGCTTAGCATTAAGGCTGGAAGCAGCCAGTCTGACTGTCTGTTGGTGACACCTCTATTTGGCGATATACCTTCTGGGTGGTGATGTCACAGGGATTATTATCCAGGTTGTTTTGACTGGAAGTGACATCCTAAACTTGTATTGTTTGCACACTTCTTCTCACACAAACAAAGAAAATGCTCCCTAAGCAGACGGAGCCACGCTTACCTTGGGCTTCCAGCCTTCATGCTAAGCTAACAAACTGCGAGCTTTAGCTTCAGATTTACTATTATATTCAGCTTCCCATGCAACTTTTTACGAAAACGCAAACAAGCTCATTTCCCAAAAAGATTGATTGGCTGAGCTTCAAAAACCCTAATCCTCCTGTGCAAACCAGAACGCACTTACAGTACTTTTTGCTGTTTTTAAATGATTACTTTCTTGTCTCTCTAAACTCCTTCACTCCGCCCCCTAGCGGAGCGGATAAAATTAGCCATTGCTAATCAGGGACTGCTGGTTGAAGCCAGCACCCATAAATGGGAGAGGTGTTGTGTGGATCCGTGGTCACGTATGATGACATGTTCCTCTCTGTTCCCATTCGGCTCGTCGATTGACAGCACTGCCGGTGATTCGGTTCCAAACACATCCGGTTTGTGTTGCTGCGTCTGCAGGTGTCGCTCTGTTGAGCCAACACATCGCTCAGAGGCGACCGACCACGGAGGCACAAACTGAAAAGCCAACTTGTGTCTGACACACGGAGGATGATTGTAAAAACCTGTGTTTTAAATTTGTTAATAAAATGTAACATCTGCTTTTACAGTTAAACTTGTCTGCCTGGTTGTACTGAGGGAGACAAGCGTAGCCTTGTCAATGTTGCACTTTAAGGGCCCCATAAACACATTTAGAGGATCCATAAGTCCAACTCCTTTTTTGTTTTTGTTATCTGCTACAGCAACTCTGCTCTGTAAACCGATTGCATTCAAACCGCAAAATCACAAGCCTAAAGAAAATTAAATTAAAAATGAATTAATTCCTAAACGATGACCATTCATTTTGACCAGACAAAAGGATGGTCAAGTGATTTCAGGTGGACTTTAAACTAATTGCATATCTCAGCCATTTCCAACCAGTGAGCAAAATGCTACGTTTTTTTTCCCTCCTGCCGGTATGAGGTAATGAGTAACATGGATGCCACTTCAGCACCGTTCATGTGGGATTGGTTCTGCCATCTTGCTAAAAGGGCGTTGTGTGAGAAGACCAAACGAAGACATGAACCGTTCACATCGTAGATCCGGACTAAATGATGGCTAATACTAAACCTGCCCTGTTGATTTTCTTAAAGTGATTAGATTATATTGACCCTAGTGTGTGGTTTCAACTTTCCTAGTTTATAAAACTACAGAGTTAGATTTGGCCTCCTTGTCCCCCACCAGTCAGGCTTCAAGGCCATTTCAGTCTCAGAGCAACTCCACACTGCTAGAGCAGCCTCTCTCTCGTCTGTCCTCATCCTTCTGGACCTCTCTGCTGCATTTGACACAGTCAACCACCAGATCCTTATTTCCTCCCTTCAGGAACTTGGTGTCTCAGGCTCTGCTCTCTCCCTTCTCTCGTCCTACCTCGACGGCCGCACCTACCGGGTAACCTGGCGAGTGTTCTGTGTCGGAACCTTGTCCTCTTACTACTGGAGTTCCTCAGGGTTCCGTCCTGGGTCCCCTTCTCTTCTCGCTCTACACCAACTCTCTCGGCGCTGTCATTCGCTCGCATGGCTTCTCCTACCACAGCTATGCCGATGACACCCAAATAATTCTCTCCTTCCCTCACTCGGATCTCTGCCTGTCTGACTGGCATCTCTCAGTGGATCCGCCCACCATCTGAAAATCAACCCCGACAAGACTGAACTACTTCTCTTTCCGGGACAAGATTCTCTGACCCAGGACTTGAAGGTCAACTTTGGCAGCTCCGTGCTAACGCCCACTTTAACCGCTAGGAACGTCGGTGTGACACTCGATAGCCGACTCTCTCTGACTCCCAACATCACCGCGACAACATGATCCTGTAGATACACGCTTTACAACATCAGGAGAATACGTCCCCTTCTCACTCAGAAGGCAGCGCAGGTACTGATTCAGGCTCTTGTCATCTCCCTCCTGGACTACTGCAACTCTCTCCTGCAGGTCTCCTGCTACCACCATTCCACCTCTGCAGCTCATCCAGAATGCAGCAGTCCGCTGGTCTTTAACCTTCCTAAGTTCTCCCTCACTCCTCCACTCCTCCGCTCTCTTCACTGGTACCAGTGGCTCATCCAGTTCTAAACACTGGTGCTCACGTACCACGCTGTGAATGGATCCAGCTTACATCCAGGACCTGGTCCAACCCGACATCTCGACCCGCACTCTCCTCTCTGCATGTGATAAACTGCTTGTTCCTCCTCACTGAGAGCAAAACACTCGACTAGATCTCCACTCTTTGCTGTCCTGCTCCTAAATGGTGGAACGAGCTCTCTGAAGACATCAGGACCACAGAGAGCCTTCACATCTTCAGACTAAAGACACACCTTTTCAGACTCTACCTCCACTAAAAAACAAATTGTAGCGCTTAAATTGTACTTATAACATTACAGGTCATTTAGCTGACGCTTTTATCCAAAGCGACTTATGGCGCGTTTCCACCGAGCGGTACGGTACGGGTCGGGTCGTTACGGTTCGGGTCTGTTAACCATGATTTGGCGAGCGTTTCTGTCAGCCTATTGGGAATGAAGTTGTGTGTTTCTTTTAGTTTGCAGTGATTAGTGTGTTGTGTTACCTTATTTTACCTGCATGGTTTTTGTGTGAGTTGTAAAGACTGCTGTCCCTTATGTAAACTTCCTTTAGCTGACAAAATAACTCTATTGCTTCCACCTGGAAATACTTGATAATCAACTTGCGAACCAGGCGCAATGCGGAGTGTGGCTGATTAGTGGAGTTTAAAAGAGCTAACGACTGCCACTACGCGGGAGGACGAGGAGAAGCACGGACGGAACGCAGAGAGGAATACAGACGGAACAGAGGATAATCTGGATAGGTGAAACTTTGGCCACCCAGAAGATTGGATTGTCCCAGATGGATAGGTGACTGGTTAGAGGATTGTGATTTTAAGAGATAAACTGTCTCTACGATTTTAAGATATAACTTATTCCTACCTTTTATAAAAATAAAACTATTTTTATATATATTCCCTGTGGTCTCTGTCTCCTGGGCGTTCCGATATAAGAGAGGGGCCATACGGCTGACACCTCGTTTACCTCTAACCAGGCAATGAGTTACCAGTGCGACTCGCAAGGTCGACCAATCTGCTTGGATTGCAGAGAGACTGGTCATGTACAAAGGAATTGCCCCAAGCGGCAGCGGCCCTCGACGGGTTTTCAGAACCCCCCACCGCAGCGGGCCGGCCGGTGGGGGTGGTGAAGGACATCTCAACTTCCTCTCTACGGCCCGCTCTAATGGGTGAGTGTCCAGGGGTGGAGGTGGAGGTTAATGGCCAAATAATACCTTGTTTGCTCGACACTGGTTCACAGGTGACCCTGATGAGCCGGACTCTGTTTAGACAGCGCTTGGGAAATGTGGAGGTGGGAGAGGGGTCACGCTGGTTGTCATTGAAAGCTGCAAATGGTCTGCAAATCCCATATATTGGCTATGCCTTAGGTGGGTGGTGTTCAGCTGCATAATAAAGGAGTTTTTATTGTTAATGATGACTGTTTAGGTGCAGAACGGGCCATTTTGGGAATGAACATTATAACCGACTGCTGGCAAGAACTTATGCATGGCCTCCATCCGGGAGAGGCTTATTGTGGTTCCTGCAGAATCGGAACTCTTGGTGTGGGGCCGGACGAGCTAAGATTCGTCTTCCTCAGGGCGTACCCTATTAGTTGAACCATTATCCCAGCATGATGTAGAATGGCGAGTGGGGAGGGCCTTAGTCACCACGAGGGGGGGTTATGTGCCAATTCGCCTGTGTAACCCCCACCCTTATGTCGTCGGGATTTCTCCCAGGACAGTCCTTGCAGAACTCCATGGGGTGTCAGCAGAAGATGTCCAAACACAACGGGTGCTTCACCTGCACGGGGAGGAGACCGGGACTGTCGAGGTCGCCACCCCTATCAAGTAAGGGTAGTGAAGTGAAGTGAAGTGAAGTTATCCGTTCCAGATTGTGGGTATAGATTATTTGTCACTTGGGCAATCCGACGATAGCCACCCCTACATTCTGGTGATGACTGATTTATTCTCCAAATATGCTGTGGCTGTCCCTACGAAGGACCAGTCAGCCACGACTACTGATCGTGCTGTCTGGATTCATCAGGTTTTCGGCTACTCAGAACAAATCCATTCGGAGGGTGCCTTCGAATCGGCCCTCTTCACAGAGTTGTGCCAACTATACGGATGCCGAAAGAGCCGAACAACACCGTACCACCCACAGGGAAACGGGGCATGCGAACGTTTCAATCAGACCCTTTTGGGCCTGTTGGGGACTCTACTAGAAGAGGAAAGGGCACAGTGGCAAGCTAAGCTGCCAGCCTTGCTTCAGGTGTATAATAACACTACACATAGAACTACCAACATGACACCCCATTTCATGGTCTTTGGACGCCACGCACGACTGCCAATAGACTGAATTCATGGAGTAACAGTGCAGGAAGAGACCTACACTACAAATGGCTGGGTCCAACATCAACACCAGCTCCTGGGTAAGGTCTACCGCTTGGCCCAGAAGCACTCCGAGCAACAACAAGGACGGGATAAGGGACGTTATGATCGGCGGGCCCGTGCACTAGACCTCCTTCCAGGTGAGCGAGTTCTGTTGAGACACAGGGTAAGCTGACCTCCCGTTGGTTCACACCCGTGGTCATTGTAGAAAGGGTGTACCCAGACGGACCCGTGTACCTCATTAGGCCCGAGGCTGTAACTTCCTACACTGGCTTTTGTGAGGACAGCTGTGTACCGTTACAACAACGACAAACCTTGGTCCACAGTGGAACTCAGAACACTACGTCTGCAGAAGGATCGGGCATTTAGGAGTGGGGACAAAGACTTGTACACAGAGTCAAAATATAAGTTTAGCAAGGCGGTGATCGGCTGCAATCTGCCGTCCCTGCAGGACTCGCTTCTTGGACCCTGAAGCTATAAAGATGGTAGCCGACCCCTCTCACCCCGGACAAAACCTGTTTTTGCCGCTTCTATCTGGCAGGAGGCTGAGGTCCATCAGGACTAAGACCTCCCGCCACACCAACAGTTTCTTCCTGTCGGCAGTCGGGCTCATCAACAGAGCCGGTTCCCCACTGACTGACTATAACACTCCACCGGTCACTCCCCTTCATACTGCACATGTCACTTTAACTGTTATTTTTCACTTTGTCGTCACTCGTCACTTTGTCACTTGTTCGCTAGTGCACTTTATGCTTAATATTTTTTTAACTTTTTTAATATTTTAAATTCTTAACTTTAACCTTATTCTCTTGTTTTATACTAACCCATAGCCTTATTCTACTAACCCATTGCATTAGGATTTCGTTTTACTTTATTTTATTACTTGTGCACTGCTGTCTTGTTGTCTATTGTTACACTGTCTACTGTCACGCAAAGCCGCCAAGACAAATTCCTTGTATGTTTGACATATTTTGGCAATAAATGTTTCCTGATTCCTGATTCCACACGCGTCCAGCACCTCGTCACAGGAATGGTAAATGGTAAATGGCCTGTACTTGTATAGCGCTTTTCTAGCCTTCTGACCACTCAAAGCGCTTTAACACTACATGACATCATTCACCCATTCACACCCTGATGACAGGAGAACCACACACAGTGACACCTGCCATCAGTAACTAACATTCACACACTGTAGTCGCAGCTACAGGAGCAATGTTGGGTTAAGTGTCTTGCCCAAGGACACAACAACATGCGGGTTAGCCGGGCTTGGGATCGAACCGACAACCCTCTGATTGGAGGACGACCGTGCTCCCCACCCACCCACAGTCGCCACAGGAGGCCTCTGGAACTGCCAGTCAGCTACTCGCAAGGCAGTCGCTTGACTTCCTCGCTCTCACTGGATCACACTCCACGAAAAAAAAGTCCAAATTAGCTAAATCCCACTGAGCCTACAAAATCTTATTAGAAAATCAAATCCGATGATTCTGATCCCAAAAGATATGTTTTTAACAACTGCCCCCTGAGGTTGGGGTTATTTGTTTAATCTTTTTGGTATTAGTTTATTTAAAATTTCAGGACTGCGGCCAATAAAAGGTTAATGACAGTAATTGGGCAGCAGATGTCGCCACCACACAACCAGACTTTTCCAGAGGCCTTAATGGGGCTTTTCTTTCTTCATACATCAACGGCTTAATTGCTGTATCGTTTTTTTCCGAAGTAGTCTAAATAAATAAAAATATGTATGAGACAATAGGACGTTGCATTACTGCTTTCACCCAACAGACGGGTGCATTCACTTTAAAAACAATTATACATTTGAGTCCCTGCTAAACAAAAATTGTGTGAATATTGTGTGTGTCTGTCTGTGCCAATGAACCTGGTCTCAAAATGGTATGTAGATTTAATAGCAACACAATTACAAAGTTAATTGTAACTTAAATAATACGATAAAATGGGGCAATTGTACACATTTCAAAATAAAAACACATAATAATGGCGGGCAGCGCTACTTAAACGTTCCCAGATCCCACAAAATCAGGGCAATATAAACTAAAGTAAAACCCCCTATGGGGGATTCAAAACATACAAAGAGACAGATAATTCAAGTTTATAACAATCATCTATAAAAACTTTACTTTGACAGCTGCGGCCGGAAGTCACATGCACGATTCTTCTCACTTGACGCCAGCTCGTCCGCGTCGCTGCCGCCCCGCGCTCCTCCCTCAGTAACTCCGCGGTGAACGTGTGTGTGTGTGTCTGCCTCCACCTGCGGCCGCTGCCTACAACAGGTGAGAACATTCCTCTCTTTACTAAATTAACTTATTCTGAAAAGGCGCTCGCGCTCACCTCAGTGTGTGCGCGCGCGCGCGCGTCACAGGAGCGCTGGTGTTTTGGGGACTTTGCGTCGCTAACAGTAGAAATGTGACCCTCGTCTTCGGTCGCCTGGCCGAAGCATTCAAGTTTTCTAGTAAATTCGGCGTATTTGTTTCATTAAATCTCAACTTTGACCAACTGTCTCCGCCTCCTCGCCGCCGACGCTGTTTGTTTTGATGAAGATGAAGCGGTCGTGATGAAGTCCAAGTCCTCCTGAGATGCTGCTGTTTCACGCATGCAGAATTTACGAACAATAGGAAGGATTTCTTACACTTCTTTAAACTTTTTAAAACCCATGTAACACACGTTTACCTTTTCCCACCCAAACCGGGTGGGATTAAATGGTCAGAGCTAATAATGGGACTGTGTCCTCCAACCGGCCGTTGACCTGTTTGACCCTTAATGGAGACTTAAAATCAAGTTGTCACGTGCAACAAATCTACTTCCTAATGATTCATTTTCACTGATTAGCTCAGTCAGAGCAGAATATTCATCATGGCTGTATCATGGGGTCCGTCATGGCTGTGTCATGGGCTCCGTCATGGGCTCCGTCATGGCTGTATCATGGGCTCCGTCATGGGCTCCGTCATGGCTGTATCATGGGCTTCGTCATGGCTGTATCATGGGCTTCGTCATGGCTGTATCAATGTCATGGCTGTATCATGGGCTTCGTCATGGCTGTATCAATGTCATGGCTGTATCATTGTCATGGCTGTATCATGGGCTTCGTCATGGCTGTATCATGGGCTTCGTCATGGCTGTGTCATTGTCATGGCTGTGTCATGGGCTTCGTCATGGCTGTATCAATGTCATGGCTGTATCATGGGCCTCGTCATGGCTGTATCAATGTCATGGCTGTATCATGGGCTTCGTCATGGCTGTATCAATGTCATGGCTGTATCATGGGCTTCGTCATGGCTGTGTCATGGGCTTCGTCATGGCTGTGTCATGGGCTTCGTCATGGCTGTGTCATGGGCTACATGTTTGACTCCCGTCACTCAGGATTCCATTGACGTATCACCCCACTGTCACAACCCCCCCACTGACATTTCGGCTAACCGGCCCATTCTGCGCTCCTTGTTTACATGTTGGCTCGTGGCGGCGCGCTGGTTAGCTGCCTGGCAGGATGCCGGGCCACTTTTAGGTCATGTGTCAGTGCAAAGACGTGCGTTGGGATCTGCTGTCCGGCTCTGCTGCTGCGTGGTCGCCCGGCGGTGCAGAGGAGTAACTCAGCTGTTGGTCCACAAACCCCAAATTGGGAGTAACTGTTGTGTTGTTTATGACAAAAGCCCGCTGCTGACACGTATTATTTACCTTTGTGATGTCGAGGAGATTAAAGACTCCTGTGAACAAATAGCTGGTTCTAATTGTGGTGGAGGACACGTAGAGGACTGTAGGTCTGTAATTGGAGGCTTTTTGGCTCACGTCCTGTTTGAGTAGTGGCAGCGTTTAACTAGATTTCCTGTTTAGGTTTTGTCTTCCTCACTGGGGTTGAATGTCAGGCTCAGCGGTCAGCTGTACCTCACCTTCTTTCTTGGGGAACGAATCAAGGAAAAGTTCTTCAGGGAAATTCTCGATGGACCTCATCCCATCACAGGACCAGTAACGGAAGCTGCAGCCTCCCGAGGGATGAAAACACACCGGGTCACGTTTCAACTGTTTATCTGTTTATCTGTTGGTTACTTTAGAAGTCCAACAAAAGTGAATCAATGAATCGTTTGCCATTTATGTAAAAATGAGGGTTCCAGTTTTCTCAAAGTCATTGAAAATGAAAGTGAAATGCCTTCTGTGTTTTCGAGCGTGGCTGGCTTTGTCTTCGACGTTGAACATTTTGATGAGCCCTTGGAGATAATGCACGTGTGCATGGAACAACTGTGGGGTAATTTGTTGTGATTTCTTTAGCTTTCCGGGCAGAGCAGGCACAGGAAGTGCTTCTCAAACCGTTAAAATCAACAACGAATTTAGTCTTTGCAAAGAACAACGATGTCCATATTTATTAGAGCAGGGAAATGAGATGCGATCACATGGTCATTTGTTCATGTTCTATTCCTAACCCTCGACTTAAAGCCATTTCTCTGTTTCTCCAGGCTGAGCGAGACTGATTATGGGCAAACGCTCAGTCCTGCAGGCAACTGAATCTCCACCGGCCCTGCGGTGACTCCCGATCCAAGACCAGCATCAAACCAGCGGAGACGAAGCACACAGGCTCCAGCAATGGGAGGACAGAGATCTCCTGCACCACCTCACCCTAGATGCCGCCGAGCAGTCGGTCCAACGTCGTCTCGCGGCCGAGATGCCGCCGCCGCCTGCTAACTGGCCGGCAAATGTTTGTCCAAACCGTTCGCCTGAAGGAGCTTTGAAAGAAGGAAGACGTTGACTGCGAGCGCTTCACGCGGTCGGGCCTGTGGTCATGGGGAAGGAACAGGATCTGCTGGTGGCGGTGAAGACCGGAGATCTGCTGCTGGCCCACAAGCTCCTCTCCAAAGTCAAGTGCAACAAAACCAGTGAGTACGGCGCTGCCCGGGGTGAAGGGCGTTCATGGTGGGGTGGGAGTTCCCTCGTTTACATAGAACTTTTCGTCTGGACGATCTGCTGAGTGGAATCAAGCTGCGGAACAACGCATGCTAATGTGTTGAGCGCGGGTCCTTTTCCTCAGCGCTTATCGCCGTGTGCTCCGCGGGCTGTAAGCTGTACAGTAACATTGTTTGGAGGCGCCGGCGCTCTGCCAAGCGGAGGCCGGAGCGGGCCGTGAAGTCGGAGTCTCTTTGTGGCGTTATCTGTTCTGGCTTTCATCGGCACGGCTGGCGGCCCGGTGACGAGCTCGGGGGACAAAGCCGCGGCTGTCAGGGAACATTTCAAAGTGATATTATCTGCTTCTGTGCGTTGGAAACCAACGAACGGGCTCTGGCAAAATGAGGCGGGTTGAAAGTGCTCTTTTTTTTTATGCTGCCACCGAGGTGCCCTTAAGCAAGGCACCCTCATTCGTTTTGGATGAGCGGCTCGGTAGCAATACGAAAAGCCAGCTGTAGACATATAGAAATATATACAAAATAGATGTTTTAATCAATGGAAAATAAATGATACAGAGATCGTTCTTCTGTAATGAAGGAACCAGATTAATGATCAATATTCAAGCTGCTTTCAGGCCGGACACTGGCAGGAGGGGGGAGGAGGGGGGAGGAGTGTGTGTGGGGTGGAGGGGTGGAGGGGTCCACATGCATGTCTGTGCATCACATGCATCCCTCCAGTAGCTGGTGAGATCGCTCCGTGTGGATCTAAACACACCTTGTTTTTGTTTTGCACTTTGTCCCAAGAGCAACAGTGTTGCCGTGACGTTTGGTTTACTTTGGACCACGGTCGTCATGGTTCCCAGATAAAGAGCGGGGCTTTTTGCGCTCCCACAACCCCCCCCCCCCCCCCAGTGGTTCCCAAACCGTTTCTCTTGAACCCCCCCGGTGATGACATAGAAACATTGAAGATATCGACTCATGATACTTGATCATCACGTTGAATGTTTCATGGAGACTTTCATGCTTTTATGGGATAAATCGTAATATGCCAGTTTGCTCCGGTCACCCACAGGACAAACCTTACACTTTATTTCCGCCGTCAGTGAACAACAATGTTTGTTCCAACACATTTGTCATCATTTGGGAGTGTGTTCTGTGACCTCGGGCGCTCTGCAAACAAACCCAACTGGCACACAAGCGAGCGCCTCCGGGGAGGTCGCAGCGGCCGAGCCTCGGGCCGGGCTGCAGCTTCCATCCCTGTTCAGGAAGCGGGGGCGCATCTCGGGGGTCTACGAGGTACCAAGCCCGTGGTGGACGGACAAGAACGCAGGGTTGGTCCAGCTGGGTGTGTCGGCCACTTGTGTGTAGATCCAGCAGAGGAAATGATGCTTCCAGTTTGTGCTGCAAACTGCTTCTGTTCTTCTGTCCAGTGTATCAGATTAAAACATTCATCCCCGTTGGTGCGGCAGCGGCCACGAGGTCCTCTCCGTTTTGTGTTCATCTCCAGTAAGTGAAGCGTGTCGTGGTTCACTGGCTTTACACACACTCATCAGACGTCCCACTATGTTGGTCGGTCAAAGGCGCCGTTTCTCCCACACTGAGCGAGGGCCGCAGGAGGAGAGGGGCCCCGAGCCGCCGTGGGGCCAAAGCTCACTTAAGGTCCCAATATCTGATGCTTGAAGTCCGTTCTTCCAAGATGTATACGTATGTAAAGATGATCTAGAGTACTGAAAAGTCTCAATTTATTTACAGATTTGCTGATTTTCGTTGCCTCACATTATGGAGCCATTTCTCTAAAAGGACCTGTCCTCACAATAATTATGCAAAACAATCGAATTTCCTGAGTTTACTCTCTGTTCCGACCAATAATTGGTAAAGAAACTACTAATTTGTTCAAATCCGTGGTTTTCTGGCAACATGGACCCCCCATGCCCCCCCCCCCCCCCTCCCCCGCCTAAAGCCTTTTGGTATCCCGAGGGGGATTAGCCCTGACCCTTAAGCAGGTTGATGGACAGGGAGCTGAGACGGGAAGTTTTCTTCTCCCATCCCCTGAAACCACGTTTGGGGCTCATACTTTGTACGGGCTTGTCTTTATGCTCAGCCCTTACTATTGGGAGGAGTCCCCGCTGGAAGCACACTGGAGTTCCTGTCATGAAGAGCCGACATTGTGGATGGATGTGTGCCAAAAGCTGGCTCCTCGCACGCCCGGTGGACTGGGAGTGTCTCGCCTTCAAAGGCCTTCATGAGTACGATGTCTTTTGTTGCAGGTGTCTTTCATGTGGACGCACAGCCCTGTCCTCCGTCACGGTGAACGCGACGGGACAGATGGACAAACAGCCACGACAAAGCAGCGAGATCATATTTGAGCAGCCATTGTGTCGGCAACTTGATCCTTACTCACTGCGGTGCTGTGGACACCGTCTCATCATCCTTTGGTGAACCAGCCCTCCAACATTCACACTTTTTTTGTCCAACCCAAGTGTATTAGTATTAATCTTTAATGTAATAAAGTGGCTCACATTTGAGAGGGAGCTCTGGAGCAACCGATCGAGTATGGCGGTGGCCGCGGGCTGGAGGAGGGTTTGTCGTGTGCCTGTGAGGGCAGGAGCTCATTGTTCTGGGACAGCCGGTGTCTCCTCTCAAGGAGAACAATCGCATTTCTTGGGATCAGCCCGAACTGCAGTGAAACCCACTGCTTTCATCCGGCTTTCCGTTGGAATATTGCTCAAGAATTCTGCTCATTTCTCAGAAGCAGAAGTTCACAATCCCCACTGGAGGCGTTTCCTCGTTGATTAATCATTAATGGTCTTTTCTTCTGAAAACTTTGGCTTGTTCTCCTCTCACTGTCTCTATTCACATTATGTAGAATTTGATCTTCTTCCTGCCATTGTCATTGAACCCTGATGCTTTCAGATTTATTTTTGTGATGGTCACAAAATCATCCACCTTGTCAAGAAACTCGCTTAAATTAGCCTGTTGTTTTGCACTAAAAGGTCCAGACAACAACATTCTCAAAACACACACCCTTTTTAAAATGTTCTATATCCAAAGCAACCAGAGGAGCAGGAGCATCTGGCCCTGTCACTTAGTTGTGCACACACGCCGCCTCCACGACACATCGTGGATGTTCTCACCGGGCTGTCTCGCACAGGTTTGTGGACCTCTGGTTTGAAGGTCCACACTTGGTCGCTATGTCGTTGTCTTTTCCCACCAGAAGTGAGACGAGAGGGTCACCAAACGGGAACAATGGTCTCGTTCTCTGAAAATATTCCCTGATTTATGGTGCATTTTAGTTCACAAAGAAAGAACTATTACAGAAAGAATGCAGCGTCACACCAACACATCGTCACGTTAATCAGAGGAAAGTCACTTTCAAAACGCAAAGGGGCCAAACGCAATCTCACGAGAGACAAAGAAACCGTGTTGAACTTCTGGGTGCGCTTCTTTCTGCGGGTCAACAACTTAAGCCCCCCCCCACCCCCCACCCACCAATCCATTATGTTGGCCTCCTTCATCCCAATACCTCGAATTAGGGACGACTCCTGTGGACTAGTGTCGGATTAGGAGTCTGTTAGACTTAAGAGCACGTAAGAAGAGGTGCGTGTGCACGTGTTGTCTCCGTGACTAAACACACACCTTTCAACCATAGACGCACTAAATTTAGAACTCCTTTTGTTGGCCCGTCAGCCGACTGGCTAACCGCTAACCACGCTAACCGCTCTTCTGCTTGACTAACCAGACGTGTGGGCAGCGAGCAGGCTTCTGAGTTCATCTGCTCTTCTACCACACACACATTAATCCTGAGCCCTGGCCTCCCCTGACAGATGGGGTAGCTTGTCTAGGATTGCTTGGGAATTTACCAAAGGAATTAAGTGGTGTGTGTGTGTATGTGTGTGTGTGTGTGCGGTCGCAGCAGCAGTTTTTCTCACTGGCTGCAGGCAGCACGTTGTTGGGTCCAGCCAGGCCGCATCTCTTTGCCTCCTGTTACCAACAAACGAGTGCGTGAACGCAGCATCGAGGCGGCGGCGCGTCTCCGTGTTGTGTTCAGACTCGCTGAAATAAAAACACATACCTGTCTGCGGTGATTTGGGAGTTTGTACATTGACTTTTGTGCTTGTACAGTCAAGTAGGGAATGATTGTCTCCCTGCGTGTGTGTGTGTGTGCGCGGGTGAGGACAGTCTCTCCCGGATGGGAGTCGGCCTGCGTCGGCGGTAATGACAATCGGCGGGAGGCTTTGATCTTTCTACGTCGCCTCTCCATCCTGATTCCTCCCCGTCTCCGAATCGGGAGAAAGAGAAAATCCGTCTGTTCGTATCTTCCCGGCTTTGTGGTCGTTTAATATGCGACTGTGCCTTCTAGAGTATGAAAATGATTCTGGATAAGTGTGTCAGATTTAATGTAGGCCAGCGCCGACCTGTGACATGGGAGGAGCCAGAGGTCGCTTCCTTGGTTTGTTCCCATCATCTGGCGTCTCTGCAAACCGAAGCAGCTGTTAGATGACGCTTCGCTTTCCATGTTGAAGTGCAAAAACGACTTTTCCCCAAAACATGGACGTGTGAGGAATTACACAAAAACTGCTGCATTTGATAAAACGTTGTTACCCCGTTGAAGGGTAACTGCCACTGGCACAGTTTTCGATCAGAAGCGTCTATGAGCCAACACTCATTCACGTTCACAGCATTGGTCATTGCCTCTTAGGCCTAATGAGAGCGTGCATGTAGGAGTGGTTGACCTCCCACAAGCCCGACGGTTGACTAACTAGCTGGAGGGTCGCCGAGCAAAGTGGCCTCTGAAACGCATCTCATTGTTCCGTCTGTGGCCTCGGCAGCATGGCGAGCAGCGGTCAGTAGTTTCACATGGAAGTTGGTGGAAACGAGGTTCCAAGTCTGGTCCCACTCAACTGTGACTTTATTCTGTATTATATTCATCTATTTAGACTCCAGTTCAACATACGTAGTAAAGGGTTAAGCATGAATGTGTGTGTGAGGTAGGAAGAATTAGACTTGGAGTTGTTCTCCTGAGTTTGTACCCTATGGTTGAAATGCGCTTATTGTACGTCGCTTTGGATAAACGCGTCCGCTAAATGACATGTGATGTAATGTGCTGCTGTTAAGCACATTTACTTTAGTTCATCAATCGGCTTGTTAAAGAGTTCACGTTAAATCAGGCTGTTTGATATTGTGCGGCTGAATCGGACTACCTTAAGGTGGGATCAAAGCCCCCTGGTTCTCCTGGTGGAAGCAACCAACAACTCCAGACCTGCAGGTGTCTTCTCATTTCCTGTCGTGGAGGATCTGCTTCTCTCCCACTGGCCTGTTCTCCGTCGGCACGTGCCGAACGCGTCTGACCCAGTTGCCGGAGGCGCCGCGGGAGATTACTCTCTACATTTTTTAACAATGGAGCAAATGTATTGTATAATGAGGCCCGGAGATGTTTTGATGTGACAGGGTTTTATTTATGTATTTTTCTGAAGACCCAGCTAGTTAGTTCCTCCGCGCAGACGACGGCTCGACAGAGAAATGGCGGAGAAAGTGTCAGTTTGAACGCTCCCGGTCACTGTTACAGTACATGCAACAGCCATGACACACATGGATACAAGCGGTGCACAAAGGACACGCGGGGACGTTGGACGTCTCCTCGTGGGCCTCTGATGGACAGCAGGGAGGTCCGACCTGAATGCGAGATCAAACGGGACCTGAGACTTTTGAAGGAGGTCAGAGCACATGGAAGGTTTGACCGGCAGGGAGCAGGACGCCGTGTCCACATGTGTGTCTGCACCGTGTCCACATGTGTGTCTGCACCGTGTCCACATGTGTGTCTGCACAGAGACCAAATGTGTGTCTGCACCGTGTCCAAATGTGTGTCTGCACAGAGACCACATGTGTGTGTGCACAGATATATATTGGGCTTTTCAGGTTGCAGTGATGTCACCTGAGTGGGTGTGGGTGGTGGCTGATGACTACGCGCTCTGTAATGTCAATAGAAGACATGTTTTGAGGCGTTAATGCGTGTCCCCCCTTTGGGCCCAGATGACAAAATCAATTGAAGCAATCGTGGCAATTAGGCTGAGACCCAACCGGAGCTTCACAAGTTAAATCTTTCTCGTCATTTACTCAATTCCTGCATGCAGCCTCTGAAGAGAATCACTCAGCTCTGTGCTGCAGTCTCTGCTCTTTTTCTGGGGGGGGGGGGGGGGGGGCGTAGCAGCAGCTCAAGCTGCCACAGGCAATGACTGTCTGCCCCCCCTGTTCCCCTCAGCTGCACGATGGCTCCCACCCGGCAAGACTTGACACAAACACCGGCTCACCGGCTGGCCGTCCGCTCACTCCGGACCCGTTCTCCATCTGCTCACCTGCGTCCTTTAGACCCCACCGACGTGTCACCCGCTTGCAATGAACAACAACCGTGTGATGCGTGCAGGGAGGGGTTCTCCTCAAGCCGTTGGAGCCTTATTCGGAGTTCTGTGGGACAGCTGGAGAATCCCCGTCCCCCCCGTCCCCCCCCGCCCCCTCTCGGCCTGCCTTGGTATTTTGGAGTTGTTTAAATGGAAGTGTTCCTCAGACAAGTGTTTCCCTTGATGAGGTCCTGTCCTAACCACAAACCGTGTGCGTGTGTGTGTGTGTGTGTGTGTGCGTGTGTGTGCGTGCGTGCGTGTGCGTGTGCGTGCAGGGAATACTTTGCCCATGTAGAGGCGAGTACTTGAGCACAAAGCCAAAGCGTTCTCACCAGGTGATCAGTAATTACTGAAACACCAAAGTGGAGATGGTACTCTTAGACATGTGACAGCTGCTGTCAGAAGACATTGAAGAAATGCTCAGATATAAAATAAATAAAAGGGCAGATTTACGGAATTCTTGGACCCATTTGAGGTCTATCCGATATGGGTAATATGATATATGATATGGGTAACGGTCTATCCCATGTAATGTGCGTGCGACAGGGCGGTGGTTGAGACGCCGCCGTCACGCATGAAAGCAGCTCCGTGTTGGGAGGGTTTGTCGTTGAAACATTCCGTCATGCCGCTCCTTTCCCTCCGCCGTGACGTCCGGCTCGCCGCTCGCTGTCCCTGACCGCCTGCTTGGGTGAATAGAGAAGATGGAAACCCTTGAGTCTCACACATTCATACCCTGAATGGCATGTAGTGCCTTAGGAGATAAACACAACACTCTTTATCTTCGTTTTTCTCTTTTCGCGTGTGACCTGCGATCAAAGACTTTTTCAACATGAGTTTTTCAGCCGTGTGTGAAACCAGAGCAGCAGACGCACAGATGCGCTGATGCCTTTCCAGCGTGTCACTTTTGTTATTGTTTCCAGCTCTCCTCCTCCGTGTCACTTCGCTCGCCCGACGGCCTTTCTGGCCGTTTAAGTTGCATGAAAACAACGCTCACGTGGGGGTCACGTGGGGGTCACAGGAGCAGCTCTGTTTTATGTCGGATGTCAGCAGGAAGCCAGTCTGTGACTTGCCTGCTTCTGCAAGAAAACCCAGTGCTCGAGACCAGCTCCACTCTAATTGATGCTGTTGTGTGAAGGAGCCCTCTGCTACTTGTGTGTGAACGGGGGGGCAGCGAGTAGATCCAGTCAGGGGGACGAGTGGGATGGCGTGGTGGGTGTGCTATGTGAGGAATGCCGGCTCGTGTCGTAACTAGAACTCCTGAAAGGCCCTGTTCTTCCCAGACGGTTCAGGCCCCGGGGCCACGCCCCTCTGTCCGCCCCCCATCGGCGAGCCTTCCTGTGCCCCCTCCGGCTGCTGCAGGACGGCACACCACGTCCTGCAGCACGACGCAATGAACGGAACCTTTTTCTGTGGAAAAACAATGTTCTTGACTCACTGTATGTACTGTGAATACTGTGTATCTATACACACACGTGTACTGTAGTATTCAAATACTTGTTTGTTTACTTCCCAATGTCACATGTCAGCCATGATATGAGAACAAAGAGCAGATACAGACTCCCGGTGCTCTTAACCTTGTTCTTCATGCTTTTGGTTTAATTTCATTTGTTTTATTCTTCAAAAATATGTTCGATATATTTTCCCAGTCCAATACTAATGTAGATACACACTGAAGAATTACCAGCCTGTTGTGCTTTTATGTACCTGCATTGTCGTGCTATTATATATTCATTATGTTAGTGGCAAAAAATGACAATAATATTGTTCATCAAAATGATTTCCGGCCCAATTCTAAGAAGTTATTGAATTACATCTTCATCGCCGACGAGGCTGCAGCTCATTCGCTTTGACTTATCATTTGTTGTATAGAATATAGTGCGACATGTTCATTGTGATTCCCTGCAGCGTCAACGGCTTGTTCTGTCCTTCGATGATGAACGTTGAATCAATCAGCCGATCGGTGTATTGATCCGCATTAGGCTCTACTGATGCCTCGGATTCTCTTCCTGTCTCTCTCACGCACACACAGATGTGATTTCCCACAGCGGGGTGGGAGACGGGGGAGGGGGTCCCATGGATGGGAGGCCGTGGGGTCGGGCTCCTGAGTGGGTCTTGTTGGACAGCAGGTCTCCAGCACACATGAGAGGCTGGAGGTGGACGCGTGACGTTAGAAGTCTTGGAATGAGGCTCTTTGGGCCGTATTGTGTTCTCTCCTTTAGGATAGAATACATTTAGCTTCCTAATGAAAGGATTTGCATTATACGTCAGTTAAATGAACTCAGGGTTGACTTGAGCACCTTGTGGCAGCAGACTGACTGCATGATGTACGGAACGAAGTCGGTCTGTGAGCGAGTGGAAAAAGGAAAAAACACAACTTGTTCAGTCTTGCTGACTGAATTATGCTATTTTTACAACTGTGCTGCTGCCTTTAGAAAGAAGATCTGTTTGGTTTAATCCCCACATGCTGAAGCTCAACGCGTGTCGCTGTTCACCCCCCAGAGCCCCCCAGAGCCCCCCAGAGCCCCCGGGGGGGGGCGGCAGGGAAGGAAAACGAGGTGGAAAGCTTCTTTTTCCGCCCCCGGTCGGGATGATGGAAGGAAGGAAGGGAGCAGTGCAGGAGGGGGGGGGAGCACACACATACTGGGGGTCCGGCAGGATTGGAGGGATTTCTGGAGCTCTGATGAGAAGACAAATAAGTCACCAAATGCTGATAACCCCCTCCCTCACCCCTCTCCCCCCTCTCCATCTTGTTGCAGAGTTATTGGGCTCCACCAAGAGACTCAACATCAACTACCAGGACTCGGACGGGTAAGACGTGTGTGTGTGTGTGTGTGTGTGTGTGTGTGTTCACCAGCGTGTGACTCACGGACACGTGTGTCGACGTCTAGTGCCTCGTAAATATGATCACATTCATGGACAGAGAAGGAAATGACTGATTAAGTTTAGTCGTCTGTCAGACGTGTTGGAGCTCGGATGTTCTGGTCACACTTGTGTCACCGATGATCTCTGACAGACGCACAATGCAACACGCACGCTATTTAAAGCTAAATCCATATATTTTTGTGTTGACACCGTTGTATTGCTTCATTTTACTATGGGTATCATTATTATTATTTAATAAAACAAATGTAATACACTCATTTATCTACTTTTATATATTTTTTAATTCACTGATTTCCTTTGTTTTACTAAAACTGTTTAACGTTTTTTCTCCACTCATTTCTCACAGTTAAGCTCACATTTAGTTTGTCTCCTTGTGTTTCACCTCCTTTCTTTTGCTCCTTTTCACTTAGAGCACTTTGTAAACTCTATTAATACATTTAGAACCATAAACACACAACATGACGTGGTATTAAATGATTCTTCTAGTTTTAGCTCCAACAAACGAGTGCAAGTTGTGTCTACGTGACGGCCGAGGCCTGCGACGTGTGCCTGCATGCAGGGTCAGCGCAGCGCGGGGGAGGCCATGCACAATGGGAGTGTTGAAATTAAACATGTCTAATACGTGTGTGTGTGTGTGTGTGTGTGTGTGTGTGTGTGTGTGTGTGTGGAGGGGCATGAAGGACTAAGCAATCTCACTGATGAGATAAGACCCTCCTCGTCTGGAGATCCCTGTGATTTCAGCACGTTGATCCAATGCACGTGAGCAGTGGGCGTAGTCACGGTGACGTTACTGTTACGTCCTCTTGCATTAAGGCCGTCACCATAATTGCCTTTTTGCAACCGATGAACCAAAGTCGGGGTTTTTGTAGTGCGCAGGAGTGACGTGCACACATGCTGCACGCTGTACTGTAGAGGACTACGTGTTACCGTGGTTACTGAGGGCCTAATCAGGAGAGAAGTCTCAGCCCACGATACAACCAGGAAGGTCGCCCCCTGCTGCTCAGTAGACAGAATACAAGTGTCCGGCTTTACTCCGCAGAACTGGGGAGGTACTTTAACACCCAACTGTTGATACTATTCAGGTGGAAATGACACCTCAAGTTGACATGAATTGGATGTGTTTGTAAATCTGAGTGTGTTTTGGTAAAAAAAAAACTAAATCTGTATCGATTGAATTTTCTTTTCCAATGTTCAAATGTACCTTTTTTTCCCGCTCACTGCGCCCAAAGTCCACTGACAATTTATGCCTTTTAATTTCTCCCTCTGTGGAACCCCACTGCGACCTGACAGACACGAACGCACACATTTCATCCCTGCGGCTCTGAAACACACACACACACACACACACACACACACACTCCTGCAGATGTAGGAGACACACATATGAACACGCATCTTATCTTGGCCAAAAGTTCTTTTTAGCGGATGCATAGACACACACTTCCCTTTGCTTCTGTCTTTGTGAGGACACTCGTTGACCCGATGCATTCCCTCCACCCAAACCCCAACCGAACCACCACCACCCAATTCCAATAAATCCTTTCAACTGAGTCTGAAGCAGGTCCTCACTCTGCTGGTCCTCGGCTGGTCTTCAGCCTCTGAAACATGAAAACACACACGTCCTCATCTGAGGCTGCAGTTTGTAACGGGATATCACACACACACACACACACACACACACACACACACACACCTCTTTCCACAGCCCTGTGTGAAGGTTTGGGGAGCGCACACACATTATCTCAGTGTGGAGTTCTGGAAGCGGCTCACCTGCTGTAAAGTCATCAGAATGATTTATAAGCCCTCTCATCTTCTTGTCTCTTCTCCCTCTCGCTCTGCCCTAACACCCCACCCTCTATTTTCCTTCTCTCCCCCCGTCAGCTTCTCGGCGCTGCACCACGCCGCTCTGACGGGCACCACGGAGCTGCTGTGTCTGCTGCTGGAGGCCCAGGCCACGGTGGATATCAAGGACATCAATGGTAACGAGATAGCGCAGCGGCTTTAGTGGCAAAACCTGCGTCTGGTGAAAACGCGTCGGCTTCGACGGAGCCTTTCAGGACGTACTCCGTGTACGTACTCTGGCAAATTGGTTTGGACCATGTGAATAAATAAGATTCACTGTGAAGTGAGCGTACAGCGCTGCAGCGAACGTCTTCAGTCAGGGGCAGTCAGTTTTTATGGGATTTTATTTAGTGTCGATTGACAAGACGCGGATTAAAAAAGATACCGTTAGAAGAAATCAATGCTGGAACATCCCGAGCCCCTGATAGTGCTTCTTTAGATCTCGTGGGCGCCACCCCTCACCCACGTTTTGCGTCCCCAGGCATGCGGCCGCTCCACTACGCAGCCTGGCAGGGCAAAGCCGACTCCGTCTTACTGCTGCTGAGAGCCGGCGCTTCGGTCAACTCCACCTCCAACGACGGGCAGATGCCGCTGCATCTCTCTGCTCAGTACGGACACCACGAGGTGGTGAGTTCACGCGGCTGCACGGGGCGCCGCCCCTGAAATCCGACCTCGCCTGTGTCTCGGCCTGCATTGTCCGCCGAGCAAAACCGCTAACACGGTCGACGGCGCGAACGCCGCTTCTTCACAAGAGTCTTATGGCACCCAACTCACACATTCCTTTCTCCCTGCCTCATCCGCACGGCTGCTGGAATCTGCTAAAGGAGATGCACTCACACCTGGAGCTGCCACGTGTGGAGGCCTGAGCAGCAAACACAATACTGTTCTAAACAGAGCTGTCCAATGTTCCTTGACTCTGTTTGGAAACACACACACACACACACACACAGTGAATGTGTTGGGGGCGCACGAGGCGTTGAAGGTGGTGTCGCTTACGTGATCCTCTCCCCGGCAGTCTGAGATGTTGCTGCAGCACCAGTCTAATCCCTGCCTGATGAACAAGGGGAAGAAGACTCCTCTGGATCTGGCCTGCGAGTTCGGGAGGCTGAAGGTACGGCAACACTCGTGTGCCCTTTTACAAAGGTTGTCTTTCTATGACAAAATGGAATCACGGTTGGAGTCCTAATTTATATTTGCTATATACAGCTGCTCGTCGCTGCTTTTCGCTTAGTTAGAAATCACGTCTATGTTTACGTAGTTCAAGGTTATTTCACCTCTTTGCACCTCAGTGTGAGTTCTTCTTCTTCTTCCCTGAATACCTCCTTACACGGGGCACTGATGCTAAACCCACTGTGCTTCTGCACTGTAGGAACCTGTAAATTAAACTTTGTATTTTTCTTCTCTTAGAAAGAGAATTGACTTATTATGACGAGTGGACCAGATGATAAACCTTACGGTCTGGAACGTGGCCCAAAGTCACGGATCAGCGCTGAAGAAAAAAGGAAGCGACTCCTTTTTCTTTTCTTTTCTATTTGACGATCCATTGAGGATTTGTAATTGCAGATATAGATTTAGATGTTTCATATTTTGTTTAGTCTTTTTCTTCATAAAATACTATTCAAATGATAAAGAAATAAAATCATTTATTTTTATTGATTAAAACCATTCAAATAAAACATTTTATGATCTCATGTTTTCCTGAATATTGACGCATGAAGATTATTGGTTTTAATGTATTTTACACAGTGGTGATTAACATTAAACAGGCTAATCTGCGGTTCACGTGGACCATCGCACCAATAATTATGGCCCATCATCACAAATTGGCGTCAGTGGGCGCTGGATGTCCAAGTCGCACCGCGGCTTAGACGGCGTGACCCGCGGCGTTAAGTTAAGCTCGTATGAGCGAAAGGTAAAGAGGCTGCAGGTCTCTTTTTGGACTCTTAACGCTAAAGGGATTATTTGCAGTGTTTCGCTGGTTCTCTCTCACGTTGGTGGACGAGCCTAGATGCAGGGCTCTGTGACTGCCAGTCAGACTCACACACTTCCTGTGTGCATGTTCTCTCACCAGGTCTGTAGTTTAGCTGTAAAAGAATAGAAAGCTTTGGAGGGTGTGTGTGTGCAGGGGCTGGGTATATATAGACAGCTGCTGAGTAGTGGCTAAGCCTCTCGGTACTAGCTTGCCTATACATATATATATATATATATATATATATATACATATATATATATATATATATATATATATATTGTAGTCCACATATTCTCCCTGGTGTTGCATACATAGATGTGAGTAGCTGTAATTCATGAACCCGATGTTCATCTCTGCAGGTGGCTCAGCTGCTGCTCAGCAGTAACATGGTGGCAGCCCTCTTGGAGGGGGAGGGAGGGCACGACATCATGGACTCTCCGTCCACCACTCCCCTCCACCTGGCAGCCAGGAATGGACACAAAGACGTGATCAAGTGAGTTCGCGGGGTGAAGCGCGCTGCTAGAATTCCGTCACATGGTCAGTTTCAGTCCCTTTCGCACTCCCACCAGCGCCCGTCTACTGCAGCTGCTGCTAATACTATTAATACCACATCTGCATTTCTTTTACCACTATCCTAAAATAACTAGTTCCAACGCACAGAAGCGCCTGTGTTGCTACCAGTGCAGCTGCTTCCACTGTCAGTTAATTGCCGTCGTCATCACTGCGCTCCACTGGCACCTCGTGGGAAACAGCTGGAAGGTGCAAAAAGGTTCCCCTCAGGCAGCTCCTGGAGAACGCGCTCTGCTGCAAGCATGTTTAATCCCACGGACGTCCCACCGCAGTTCTGTGTGTGTGTGTGTTTGCAATGCCAGCATATCTGTGTAAATATGTATGTGCTTAGCCAAGTAACTCCACCCGGCCTCTGGAGCATGCTGACGCTTATCGGATCGCTTTGGCAATACCCTCCCTCCCTCCCTCCCTCCCCTAAACTGGGGACATTAATAGTAGACTTGAAGGTGGAAAGACGAGCTTTCAACACAAACATCTGAAAAAAAGTTTGCTGCATTAGCACGCGGGTTTATTCAGAGTTTACTCAGCAGAATATGCCAGTGATCCCTCCACTGAAGGATTTATGTCTCTTCAAAGAGTCTCTGTCTCTTCCACAGGAGACGTCTCTCTGGGTCTGGTTAGAAGCTGCAAAGATATGCAAACAGGGCAGATGTGAAGGCTTCGTTGTTGATTTTGTGGCATCAAAAACATTTTATTTACGTGAAAATGTCAAGAGATTATCAGTTAAGTAATTCAATTGTAACCCTTTGAATACCTTTATTAAGCTGGTGCAATTGGAAATTGTTATTATCATTTTAACAGAAATGGAAATAATCCGAGAGAAGTTATCCTGAGGAGAATAATCACAGCGTTAGAGGCAGAACTACTTAGTTATTAGGACCTTTTTTCTTTGTAGCAGCAGAAGAATCGTTGGTTTTGTTTACATCATAAACCCCCTCCTGCCACACCATCAGCATTCTGTGTGTGTGTGTGTGTGTGTGTGTGTGTGTGGCTTAATGACGTGCTGCAGATGTAACAGTTGAATGGATGTTTTTGAGGGAGGCCTGCAGCCTTTTCCTGAGCGTTTCCTGCTTTGACATCTCAGGTTGCTGCTCAAAGCCGGCATCGACATCAACAGAGGCACCAAAGCCGGGACGTGTCTGCACGAGGCCGCCCTCTACGGCAAAACGGAGGTGGTGCGGCTGCTGCTCGACGTAAGCGTTCCGCTTATGCATGCAAACCCCACGCTAACAATGGTCACGCTTTAATAAAGAAGTGTGTGTTTGCAGGCGGGCATCAACGTGAACGTCCGCAACACGTACAACCAGACGGCTTTGGATATGGTGAACCAGTTCACCACCTCCACGGCCAGCAGGGAGATCAAGCAGTTGCTGAGAGGTTGGTGTCACGAGGCGTAAACGCGGACAGCTTGTCGGCTGCTAAAGAGCGAGGTGTGACAGCCGTGTGTGTGTGTGTGTGTGTGTGTGTGTGTGTGTGTGTCTGCAGAGGCGTCGTGCTCGCTGCAGGTCAGAGCGGTGAAGGACTACTGGAACCTCCACGACCCCACCGCCCTCAACCTGCGGGCCGGAGACGTCGTCATGGTACTGTTGTCTAACCTTCCTCTTTGATGGCTGCCTGCGGTAAGTTAGTTACCCCCGTTTTGTTTGAGTTGGCAGTCGTGCTGTTCTGCTGCTTTATGACCAAATAACACATTCCTCCTCTCGAGCCTTTGTGCGCTCGGTTTGTGAGGTAGTTGTTCATTCACACTGGCCTCTACACACGTCTGAATGCATTACTAGCAATCAATGATTTGGCTCACTTATAGCATTTAAAAAAAAATCTTGGTCAATTTTTGTTTGTGAGAATGAAGATTTGTATTGGAGGTAAATAATATAAATAAAAATAATGTGTATGTAAAGACACAAACTTGGATCACTGTTCATCCTGATGAAAAGTAACGCTTGTCCACACAGCTGTGAGTGCTGTTCACCCCCCAGCAGGGGGGTGGCGCGTCGTGGTTGCAGGGGGAGAGCAAGGTTGGTGGTTTGAGCCCCAGCTGCCCCATGTCGAAATGTCCCTGAGCAAGACACCTAACCCCTAATTGCTCCCCGGACAAAAAAAAGGCTTTGGAAAAAAGCGTGAGCTAAATGAGTGAGCGGCATGCTGTCCTCATCCGTTAGTGTCCCGAGCAGGACTCTGCAGAGGAACAGGCACAAACTCGCTACAGCCGCTCTCTCATTAACTACTTGCTGCCCCACGCACATGCTCGCTGTTTGCACCAGCTCATGCGTGTGCGCATTCGGGTGCTGGCGTGCTCACTGCAGTGCATTTCGACGTGGTTACGCCAGTGGTCGGGACGTCCCAGACTCCTGCAGGGACTCGTACGTCTGCGTGCGCTCAGAAGGCCGAGCGCGTCTCGTTGAATCGGCGTGTGCGGCTCCAGCTCACTGCTCTCTCACTGCGCACTTCAGAGCACGCAGAGCGACGGCTTTGATCAACGTGACCGTGGACACAAAGCGCTCGGCTGAAGCGGCCTCTTGATCCGTTCTCCACAGGTCCTGGAGCAGCTCTCGGAAGGCCGCTGGAAAGGTCACATCCACGACAGCCAGCGGGGGACGGACCGGGTGGGCTTCTTCCCGCCCTCAGTGGTGGAGGTGCTGAGCAGACGAGCAGGTAGACGAACATGCAGCTCCGACAACACCTGCACAACGCACGCCGCTTGTGACTGAGTACAGGACGCTCGCGTTGGTTGAACCACCGGGGGGGGGTGGGATGCTGAGAACGTTCATTCTTGATGTGAAAAGGCGCCGATGATCATTTGCATGTTGCCGTGTGCAGCACAATCACCGATATCATCGCTCTGAATGTCCCCAGTAAATATTAGATATGTGGAACTTTTCCTCCCTTAAGAACATTTAGCCTTTGTTGGTCCCGTTTTTACTTTGTCCAGTAGCACATGTTCCGCTGCATTGTGGGGGTACTGGTTATATATCTGGGCTAAGAATATATCTCGTGACTTGTACACAAGCAGGATCCATCCTGCTGGCACGGATCATCAGGGACGGGTTCCGCGTGCTTGTAAACCATCTCATTTAATCCCTGTGAATAAGAGCAATATGATCCCCATGTTTGTAAAGCCACTGACATTCAAACAGCGGGACAAGCTCAGCGAAGGGGTCCAATAACAGCTACAGACACACACATATATATATATACGGTATATATATATGTATATATATATATATATATATATATGTATATATATATATGTATATATATATATATATATATATATATATATATATATGTTCACACACACACTGCTAACATTACATTTCATCTCAACAAACCAGGAAATACACACAAATGTAGATATTCACACATGGAGAAACACATTAATAGGATTACTATGACCAGATTGCAAAGTGTCAGCTCAGTGCTAAAGCCCTGTGTGTGTGTGTGTGTGTGTGTGTGTGTGTGTGTGTGTGTGTGTGTGTGTGTGTGTGTGTGTGTGTGTGTGTGTGTGTGTGTGTGTGTGTGTGTGTGTGTTGCGCCTCATGCTAGAGGAAGAACAGACAAGAGAAAGAGTTTGACTTTAAGTCGGTGACAGGCTCTTTGCTTATGAGGGTGTGTGTGTGTGTGTGTGTGTGTGTGTGCGCCTCTGATAATGTCAATGGTGTCAGCAACTATAGACCAACAACACACAAAGGAAGCGTGAGCCCTGTGAGCGTTGCTGACTCTCTTATGTAACACCAGAGGGGATTTACGTAGAAGCTGCTCTTTCTTAGCAGTTTTTCCAAATAATGAACTGCAACATAACGTGCGAACTCTACTTCAAAGGTCCCATAAGCGTGTGCGCCCAAACACGTATGTACACCAGTTCTTTCCCTCACTCACGCCACCCTGAACCCAGACCTGTCTCCCTGACATCAGGGGCCACTCTCTGCCGGCAGGCGTCAGGGCCCCGCCAGCCACCACACCTGACCTCCAGGCCTCCGCCCTGCAGCCGTGGCTCCACCCCCCAGACTGATGACTCATTCAGTCTGGCTTGTGATCCCGCAGGTACACACACACACACACACAACCACAACGCGACGCAACACAACCACAACGCGACGCAACACGACCACAATGACACGCAACACGACCACAATGACACGCAACACGACCACAATGACACGCAACACGACCACAATGACACGCAACGCGACCACAATGACACGCAACGCGACCACAATGACACGCAACGCGACCACAATGACACGCAACGCGACCACAATGACACGCAACGCGACCACAATGACACGCAACGCGACCACAATGACACGCAACGCGACCACAATGACACGCAACACGACCACAATGACACGCAACACGACCTCAATGACACGCAACACGACCTCAATGACACGCAACACGACCTCAATGACACGCAACACGACCACAATGACACGCAACACGACCACAATGACACGCAACACGACCACAATGACACGCAACACGACCACAATGACACGCAACACGACCACAATGCGATATAACACAACCACAGTGAGATGCAACCAGGACAATGAGGCGTAATTGATGCAGTCGTGACGGTGAGTTAGTAAATAGTTTGTTTACTGGGTGAGTTAGTAAATAGTTTGTTTACTGGGTGAGTTAGTAAATAGTTTGTTTACTGGGTGAGTTAGTAAATAGTTTGTTTACTGGGTGAGTTAGTAAATAGTTTGTTTACTGGGTGAGTTAGCAAATAGTTTGTTTACTGGGTGAGTTAGTAAATAGTTTGTTTACTGGGTGGGTTAGTAAATAGTTTGTTTACTGGGTGAGTTAGCAAATAGTTTGTTTACTGGGTGAGTTAGTAAATAGTTTGTTTACTGGGTGAGTTAGCAAATAGTTTGTTTACTGGGTGAGTTAGTAAATAGTTTGTTTACTGGGTGGGTTAGTAAATAGTTTGTTTACTGGGTGAGTTAGCAAATAGTTTGTTTACTGGGTGAGTTAGCAAATAGTTTGTTTACTGGGTGAGTTAGCAAATAGTTTGTTTACTGGGTGGGTTAGTAAATAGTTTGTTTACTGGGTGAGTTAGTAAATAGTTTGTTTACTGGGTGAGTTAGCAAATAGTTTGTTTACTGGGTGAGTTAGTAAATAGTTTGTTTACTGGGTGAGTTAGTAAATAGTTTGTTTACTGGGTGAGTTAGTAAATAGTTTGTTTACTGGGTGAGTTAGCAAATAGTTTGTTTACTGGGTGAGTTAGTAAATAGTTTGTTTACTGGGTGAGTTAGCAAATAGTTTGTTTACTGGGTGAGTTAGTAAATAGTTTGTTTACTGGGTGAGTTAGCAAATAGTTTGTTTACTGGGTGAGTTAGCAAATAGTTTGTTTACTGAGTGAGTTAGCAAATAGTTTGTTTACTGGGTGAGTTAGCAAATAGTTTGTTTACTGGGTGAGTTAGTAAATAGTTTGTTTACTGGGTGAGTTAGCAAATAGTTTGTTTACTGGGTGAGTTAGCAAATAGTTTGTTTACTGGGTGAGTTAGTAAATAGTTCGTTTGATGGGTGAGTTAGTAAATAGTTTGTATACTGAGTGAGTTTACATTGGAGCCGTTTGTGTTTTAAATCAGTCCTCGCCCTTTTCAGTCACTTATGAGACTGATCATTCCCGAGCGTCTGGTTTGATAAGAACATCGTTTGATTTTTCCCCGAAACATTTAGCCCGATAAATAATTCACATTGTTCAAAAGACACCATAACTATATTCCAGGTTATTAAAAAAAGAATCAGCAATTAGACTGAATAAATACAGACACATACAGTGACTAAATGAGTGGACACGGATCCTGTCCCTCTAATGGGGATGCAGTACAGTAAAATGCTTTTATTCAGGTGCAGGTGTTTGTTTGACGGCTACTCAGATAACTGTGGGCCTTTTGTTAGTGTTGGTACTGTTCACATGTGTGCGGATGCAAACTGCAAAGCAGCTCTTATAGTCCACTGACCCGTGATCCATCCGGGAGCTGCTGCCGCCATTAAAACCGGCGTTGCTACTCACCATGCGTCAAATGACAGAAGGGACGTATTCCTTTAACTGTCTATTATCTGCCGAATAGTGCCCTGCGTCCCCAGGGGGGGACTTGTACTCGAGCGTGGCATCTATGTTGTCCTAAACCTTCACTGCTCAGGCTTGACCTCCAGTTCTGAAAAGTGAGGTTATTGTGGGAGTGCGTTCGTCTTGCATTCCTTCTAATCGCCATCACAGGGTCACTCCTCTACTTGCAAAAATGAGTCGATTGCATAGAAGAAGGATTTATTCCCTCAGTAAATGTTGTAAACACGTCTAATGGTCCCACGTCTCTTCAAATGACAACAGCAAAATGCTCCACATGTTCCTCCCAAGCAGCCCCCTGACCCCAGCCTCCTCTCCATCGGGCCCCTGTCGCTCAGCGGCAGCTTCCTGCAGTAGGTCCACTCCCAGCTACAGTGTGTGTGTGTCTAAAGTGTGTGTGTTTGTTAGGTGCTCCACCTGACAGTCAGCTGTCTGCCCCAGCTAGTCCTGCTAGCCCTGCTCAGGACATTTGGGTCCTCAGGAGCCGTCCCTGCGGTAAGGGTGTGGTCCCAAACCCCTGCCCTGTGTGAACCAGTTAACTAGACCCCATCAACTGCTTATTGCCATCTCTACCCACCACCCACCCCCAATAACCCAGTGACCTCTGACCTCTCTCCCAGCAGGCTAAATGCTGCTCCGCCCTCCTTAGAGCCTCTTCTTCTTCTTCTCTGTTAATCTCAACGTTTTTTTTGCAGCTTCCCGCACAGAAAAATAGGAAAAAATATTATTTAACCATTTCACCCATTTATTAATTTCACTTTTGTTTTCATTAAGCAAATATATGACGGCAGCAGAACACCAGATAACTGCTGAAGTTGACATTATTTGAAAGAATGAATAGATTTTCTTGTGATTGGCATAAGAGGAGTCACGTTGATTAGCTTAGCTTAAAAGCTGACTAATAACATGTATCTTGTTTGTTTAGTTCAGTAAGATGTAAATCGGATGTTTGGATTCTATGGATGGATAAAGTGTTCATGTCTTTAAACTCCCTCTGAAGTAACACATCCTGAATGGCGGTAGAAATGACGTTGATGTTGTGAACTGTGGACAGACCGGCTTTCCGCTCTTTAGCTTAGCTTAGCTTAGCTTAGCTTAATCACCGTTCGTGTCTACAGAAATGAGATCTTCTAGATGTTATTATTTAAAGGTGCAGCATGTAGGATTCGGTGGCCTCTCTGTTGGAGCCTGAAAAGGCCTCTTTGACTCCTTTACCTTTCTGAGGGGGGGGCGTGCGTACCATAATAACCATCGGACCCAATGACGCCGTTACCATCAGCTCCTGCACACTGAGCCTTTTTAACTGTGTCTACCGTAAAATAGTAACCTACTTTCTTTAACATGGCTGAACAGAAATGTATTGATGCTTTTGTATCTGCCTTTCCTCCCGAGCCTGATCGCACGCTGCGATGCGTCTCTGTCTCGTTTCCTTCCCAGGTGACAGAAACAGCGTGGGCAGCGGCGGCAGCGTGGGCAGCAGCCGCAGCGCCGGCAGCGGCCAGAGCTCGGAGAGCGGCCACAGGCAGAACGGGATTCAAACCCGCCACACCGCTGACGCCAGCAAGGTCAGGTCGGCTCCTCTCTCTCCCAGTGCCTCCTCGCGCGGCGCACGGGCCGTCTGCAGGTCACAGCAGCCGCCCGGGAGACGCCTGCTGGCGTTTGTCGCGTCTTCTTTCTTTAGCTGAAGTCTTTCTCCGTGTGCAGCCGCCTCCCTCTGCTGGTGAATCGGGAGAACTGCGCCTCAACGCCGGCGCCGAGCACCACCGACCGGCGGAGCGCTACACAGGTTGGTCCGCCAATCACGCACACGGTCTCCTCCCCGTGTTTGATAACTAGTACGATTTGTCCCTGTCCGCTCCTTTAAATGAACACGTGCTGGAAGCTGTGATCACTTTGTGGTGCCGTGAACCAGCTTCTCCCACAATGGAAGCACTGTGCACATCGTGTCTGTTCTGTTACTTCTCATCGTCCAAATCAAAAATTACCTGTTTACTCATCTGATTATTTATTACTTTTTTGTGAATTATTATCATTGTTTGACTTATATAAGAATATTGTGTAGCTTTGGTTGTGCAGCTTGAGCTGTTGTTGCGGTGAGTCGAAAGGAAATGAGATGTGGGGGGGGGTGGTTACCTCACCACAGAAACCAGTAAAACCACTGCCCATAAAAGCTTCCAATCACGCAGGAAACACTGCAGGCCAGCGCTGTGTGTGTGTCTGTGTGTGTGTGTGTCTGTGTGTGCGCTGATCTGTACCACAGGTGCGAATCATAGAAAATCGTGCCGTGATGCTCTGCACGTGCGTAGAAGGGGTCTGTGAGTGAGGAGCCGGATGAAGAGGAGGCTCTCTGTTGACCTCGGGCTGAAGACGAAGGAGGCTTAAAGAGGAGGAGGAGGGACACGAGCAGTTGAAGGGGGCTGAAGACGAAGGAGAACGCGAGCGGCTCGGGGGGCTGCAGGTCTGCGTGACGGAGGCCGAGGGGAGGATGAGGAGCCAAACGCGCTCCTTCCTCCCCACGGGGAAGAATTCATGTTCAGACGTTTAACGTCTGTCGCTCCCCTCGCTAGGAAAGGACCCTGCTCACATTCATAATTCTAGGCCTTGATGAAATGCAACCGCATTTCCCCGTCGTCTTCCCCTGACGGCTGATTCCCACTTTTAAAACAACCTGAGCTTCAACGTGTCGGTAAAAAGGTCACTGTGGCCAGAACACGGTTAGTGTGCTTGGTGTGAAACACGCTGAGGATGAGAACACGCGCTAAAGAAGCGTTCCTCACACATCTGTGCTGATGTGTCGTGAGCGTGTTGGGTGGGATCACATCTGGATGACGCAGCAGCAGCAGCCACGACGCAGCGTGACCCGAGAGCTGCCACGCGACGCAGCCGCAACACGTTGTCATTGTGTGTCACTGTGCGTCATTGTGTGTCACTGTGCGTCACTGTGTGTCACTGTGTGTGTTTTCCAGGTGGTTCTTGTCGGCAGGTGAACGGCACTCCTCAGAAAGGCTTCGTGAGGCCGCAGGAGCTTCTGGAGGGCAAGGTGAGTCAAGGAGAGCACCCGACGCGTCTCCACCCGAGCTGCTGCGTGTCCAGAACCGGCGTCTTCTTCACGCATTCATTCGGCCTTCTAGTCCCCTTTGTCTTTTGTCCAAGCGGCAGTATGAGACACGGACGTTACTAATCGCGCTGCGTGTGCGTTGGCAGGACGCTGAGGCCATCTACCAGTGGCTGGATGGGTTCCAGCTGCAGCAGTACACATCCAACTTCATCCATGCAGGATATGACGTGCCCACCATCAGCAGGATGACCCCCGAGGTCTGTGTGTGTCTGTGTGTTGAATTGATTATTCAAATGTACCCCCATTATTTCTGTTGAATCTGTGTCTCTTCTTTTACTGGACTCACATTTTGTTTTCTCATCGCGTCGCGCTCATCCGTCAGGACCTGACGGCCATCGGAGTGACCAAACCAGGCCACAGGAAGAAGATCTCCATGGAGATCGGCAAGCTGAGCATCCCCGAGTGGCTCCCTGCTTTCACCCCTGTGAGGGGCGGCGCCGCACGTTTGCACACCGCTTGTTGTCATAATTGTACCACTAACCCAGGGTGGTGTTTGTTGGTTCCCCTCAGGCGGACCTGGGCGAGTGGCTCGCTGCGATTGGACTTTCTCAATACCAGAAGAGGTTGTGTGAAAACGGCTACGACTCCATTACTATCGTCAGGGACGTGACGTGGGAGGACCTGCAGGAGATCGGCATCACCAAACTGGGTGAGGAATCTCCCCCCGAAGGCTGCGGGCCCCCCGACATCATCTGTGCGTGTGCGTGTGTGCGTGTGTGCGTGCGTGCGTGCGTGCGTGCGTGCGTGCGTGTGTGTGTGTGTGTCTGTAGACACGTTTTGACGTACTTTGCGGTGAGGAACTCAACAGAAGCAGCTGGTCAGTGACCATGTGACTCTTTCTTTCAGGCCATCAGAAGAAGCTGATGTTGGCGGTAAAGAGACTCTGCGACCTGCAGCGCTCCCGTAACCAGGCCGACCCGGCTGGAGGCGGGACTCTCCGACGGAACCGCCCCGCCGCCCTGGAAACGGTGTCCATCGAGCACACGGCAACACACAATATGACTGCTGACGACCGCCGCCCCTCCCCTCGCACCCCCAGGGCGCTCCTCTCCTTCCAGGACAGCCAGTTGAGCGCCGAGCTTCAGAGCGCCATGATGGGCAGGGCGGGGGCAGGGGCCGGCGAGGCGTTCGCCATCAGGGGCGGGGCTCTCTGCGGCGGCCATGTCAGTCAGCCAGGAGAGCATTAGCGTGCGCTCACGCGGCTCGGGGAACTCTGGGAACTCTCAGGATCAGCACGCGCCTTCCGCCGGGATGTGCAGCCGCTCGGAGGAGAGTCTGGGCAGCGGAGCGGCGGAGGAGCCCGGACGGAGCCGCCCGCAGCCCCCCGAGATGTGGGAGCACCGCTGCGCCACCGCCAACGGGCTCCCCTGCCCCCCCCTGACGCCGCCGCTGACCCCGAGCAACACGCCTCGCTTCGCCTACCCGGCCGTCCCGGCCAAGGTGAAGCCGTTCCAGTCCCCTCAGCGACTCCGCCAGGCGCCGCACCAGCCGGCCTGCTCCGCCCCCTCTCCGTCCCCACTGCCCTCCCCCGCGCAGCAGGCCTTCAGCTACCTCCACGGCCGGGCGGGGGGCGTCCTCGCCAGGCCCCTGCCCGGCCCACACAAGAAGCGCGCGCAGAGCCTGACGCGCTGCGCTCTGTCCGACGGCGAGCCGGACGAAGGAGACGACCTCGCTGCCGGCTCCGGCCCCGCCCCCTCTGCGGCCGTGCCCTCCTACGCCACCCTGTCGCGCAGGCCGGGACGCGGCCACGCGGGCGCCTCGGGGGCCCAGCGGCACGTCAACCGCAGCCACTCGTTCGCCGCGCGGTCCCGACGCAAAGGCCCGCCCCCGGCTCCGCCCAAAAGGATGAGTTCGGTGAGCGGCAGCCCGGTACGCCACCCGGGAAACGGGGAGGCGGAGGGGGCGCGGCTGGAGCAAGGGGCGGAGCCAGAGGGCGCAGGCAGCGTGAGGAGCATCGCGGCCCGGCTAGAGGGGGGCAGCGGGATGGACATGGCGCCGGCTCACGTGCAGCTCTCGCCCATTTTCACCCCCGTCTCCTGTCCCGGTCCTCACGTCCTGCAGCACCACAAACCCGTCCCCGCTCTGGGCCTGGGGGGCCTCAGGAGGACCGGCAGCGAGAGGACGGAAGCAGAAGCTGCCAGACTAAGAGGCCCAGAGGGAGCGAAAGACGACCCCAGGAACCGTGACGGAACGTCAAAGAGCGCCACGGCGGCGTCCCCGAGGCACGACCCCGGGGGCCGCCTCCCCTTCGCCGAAGACGGCAACCTCACCATCAAGCAGCGGCCTGCCGCGGTCAAGACCCCGAGCAGCCTGGAGCTCCCCGAGTTCAACCTGAAGGAGTCGGACACCGTGAAGCGGCGGCACAAACCCAAAGACTCGCTGACGCCCGAGGAGGCCGCCTCCCCCAGCGCAGAGGACACGCCCCCGCCGAGCGACGCGGCCCAGAGGCCGGGCAACGTGTTCCGCAGAGCGGGCTCCCTCGGGAAAGGGCCCAAGCCCCCGGTGTCCTCCAAGCCGTCCAGTCCTCTCAAACAGGCGTCTCCCAGCGGGCGAGCCGGGGGACACGCCCCCATTCCTCAGCTGACCAGCATCCAGGTTCACAAAGTCTCCCCCCAGCTGGCCGGCCTCATACACGCACAGACGTGTGCGGCCGCCAACCCGCAGCCGGCGAGGGCCAAACCAGAGAGTCCACAGAAAGCGTCCGGCTCGTCCGGCAAGGCGCCAGCGTCTGCAGCAGGTAGCTCCGCCCCCCCACCAACCAGAGCCGCCGCATCCGTCAATCCACAAACGAATGAGTCCCTCACTTGTCGTCCCTCAGGTCTGAACCTCATTTTGGTCCAGAGTGTCGCGTTCGCCGCTCCGTGCTCCCAGGCTCCGCCCCCTTCGCACAGCGCATCGGCCCCGGCGGGGAGAGCGGCGGCGGCGACGTCGCCGGCCGGCGTGGCCGGTCTGGAGGTGCTGGCTCAGAAGAGGCTGGAGCAAACCAGTACGTCGCTGGAGGCGGCTCTCAAGGTGGTGGAGAGCGAACTGGCCCAGGGGGGCGGCGCCGACAGGTGAGAGCAACCGGGGGGGGCGCCGCACTCGCACCACGTCAACCAGACATGTTTGTATTATGTGTTGGGACCCTGATGACCTCACGAAAGAGGTAGTGCGGTAATGTGTGCGGCGTCTAACGGCCCCCTCCCCCCTCCCACAGCGGCAGCGGCTCGGTGAAGGCAGCGGGAAACATCCTGGACGACATCGGCAACATGTTCGACGACCTCGCCGACCAGCTGGACGCCATGTGGGAGTGAGCGTCCTCCTCGCCGCTTCACCACTGGAAGACACTTTAGACTGAGGAGCACTTCACCGTGTGTGTGTGTGTGTGTGTGTGTGTGTGTGTGTGTGTGTGTGTGTGTGTGTGTGTGTGTGTGTGTGTGTGTGTGTGTGTGTGTGTGTGTGTGTGTGTGCGTGAGACTGTGTGTGTGTGTGTGTGTGTGTGTAACGAGGGTCCTCTGTATTCACGCTATGTGTAGATAATGTGTACGTGTGTAGCCTCATATCTTTATACTGAGTATATTTATACGTCTGTTTGTTTTCTAACACATTGAGTTCAGCGTCTCAATCCCCTCCAGTGTAAATTAGCATCACTCATGTATATATTTTTCTGTTTGTTGTCTCTAAAGCAGCAGATTCCTGTATTGAATTGATGTTATTTTTTTGCTCAAAATGAGGGAGGCTTGTTGGTTGGAGGCGTTCGGGTCGGGTGGAGCGGGTGGAGCCCGGCTGCTTCCACGTGGAGTCACTGTAGGCTCAAGCACAGGACGTAAGAAGGAGACGCTTTCAAAGCGCCTCCTGAATTCAAACAGCATTTTAGGAGCGTTCTAAAACGCTGAGCATGCTGGGTACTTTGTTCACTTTGTACTACTGAACAAGGCGTGTAACTACAACACTGCTGGAGCAGCTGTCTGTAAGTCGAGGACAGATTGTCATTCAACATCTGTGTCGAGGCCTCGCGGTGTCTGCTGGGGGATCGGGGCTCCAGCGGGTTGTGAGATCAGTTATTCCGAGTCATTAAAGTTGATTCCCTGCTGACGTCTCCGACGTCGTACTCGAGCTTCAGTTTCGTCTGCTGATACATTATGAACTCGTCAGCTCGCGGAGCCGATGCTCCACTTCCTGTCTGTGGGCAGGTAAAAGTCACCTCCCCAAAGCGCTGCAGGCGGAACTTCTGGTAAGCGCTCGAAATACTGACATGTAACGTTGTCAAAACCGGTTTTAGTCCGTTTTGATTGTTTTATTTTGATGTATAAATGTTCCCGGCAACGTTTCCATCGAATTCTGTTTAATCCTGTAAATCATTAAAAGACCAATTTCTAGTGAGGAAAAGTTTGTTGTGACGTCCACATCGAGCTGTGAGCCAATAGTTCATTTAAGTAGTGAAGCTAAAGATTAAGACGCTTACGATTTGAAGACTTTACTGCAATTACTCTAAAGCAGACGACGATGTCACCGCGGTCACGAGGCACACAACTGTCATATTTAGGTGTTGATATTTATCTGATGAGAGATTATTAAAGGCTCTGCAAAACACGTTGAATTTCTTTATCAAAATATTGTATAAAAAAGTGTGAAGCGCACCTTTTCTCTCAGTTCAAACCAGATATTTCTAGATAGTAGTGAAATACTACTTCCAGCGTCACAAGCGGTGACGGTTTGGAAGCGATTGTGGTGTAAACATTTTAAATAATTGAGAATTGTTTTTCCAGAAATGCCGAGAGATCTCAATAAAATCTCCTCCTGGCTGCACTCGTGGATCCGTTCTGTCCGTGGATCACTGAACTACAACCAACTCATCACATCAATCCCCCAAATTCAACATTTAGTTTGGTGATGAATGTTTCTGAAGCTTTATAAATATAACGGACTGACCAAGCTTTATAATATAAAGTCCGTCACAGGAAGGAACAGCGAACACAGCGTGTCAAAAGTCACTGACGTTTCACAGCAGCCAAATAAGGTCCAAAATAGTTCAAGGGTTATTTCCCAAAAGTCGGTATAGTATGTTGAAAGTCAGTGTGTTGTCAGCGTTGGTCCGTAGTTGTAACGTGCGGATGAAAGCGGCAAAAGGTCACAGTGACACGTGAGGAGCAGATCGGACCGTCGGGGGTCATGTGACGGTGCCTCAAGAAAAAAAATGGTATTCTTTGGCCTTTTAACAGTATATATCTTCAAAAAATGTATTAATGGTCAAAAAGTTAGTCACAGAATGTAAATACAATTTTCATAATTTCTATCTAAACAATTAAAATTACGGTACGTAAAAATAAGTGTTAACAAAACTGGTCTGTGGAATATTGGTAAACAACACAAAATGAATCGTATGTCAAAAGGTTTATTTGTCACTGCTCATAAATTGCTTTTATAGTTTCACGTAGTAAAAGTATCATTTTATAATCACCGAGGAGCTGTGAAATCATTTAATCATATGTACAATTAAGAGCAGAGGGAGTGATTTTCCCCACGACGCAGACCAGACAAGAACACTCACTTTTCATTGTAGGTGCTGATTGCAGGCAAAAAGAATTTAAATCAGAAATTTATTGAAACTAGATTTAAAAATGTAATTTAAACTCAGCAAACAACATTTCCCCCCCAAGCATTATTGAAACTGTACATAACTATTTTCTCTACTACATTCTCCATAATATATATTAACATTCGTTCCTCATGTTTGGAAAGACGTCGAGTGGCAAAAGTAAATCACAACAGATAATCATCATAATACTGTAGAACACCAGATTAAAATGTTCTGAATGAACACTGTCAGGTGAAAAGTCCCCGGAGCGTCAGGAGGGACGATGTGCTGCTGCTGATGATGATTACAAGTTGCCGAACAGTTCGTTCCTCTTGCTCCAGTCCATGGACGGCGCCTTCTTGGCCGCTCGTTTCTGCCGCGCTCGTTCTTTGGCCTCGGCCAGCGACATGCTGAGACCCAACCCGTCTGCTGGAGCCGCCTGGACACACATTTCACCAGCGTTTATCTTCTCTACCGTCATAGAATTGCCTCTGATTTGAACTTTGCTGCATGAATGGAGCCGCCTCCCCTGAGGTTAAACGTGTGTGTGCGTGTGTGTGTGTGTGTGTTGTGTACCTGTGCGGCGGGCGGCTCCCTGGTGGCGGCGGGCAGCGAGGCGGTGGAGGAGGCGCTGGACGCCGACGAGCTCACCGACACTTTGGCCCTCCTCTCTGGTGCCGCCTGCCGCGCAGGAAACATTAAACGTTGATATGAAAAGTCAATCACAGAACATCTGGTCTCAGGTGACGCGTAAGCTGCACCGGCTGGTCGCGACGACGTTGGAAAGAAATCGTACACAGAAGCTCCTCTGAAATGGTTCAACTCACTCGACTGATCTACACATTGTTTTTTGAAACATTTCATTTGAATAATCGAGAAAGAAAAATTCTTCAAATAGTGAAGAAGCTTTAGAATGACGCGGTTCTGAATTCTTTGGCCGCTGATCCTCATGTAGACGGGTCAGTAATCGATGACGCTCACATGGGAGAGACTCAGCGGCTGAGGGCGTTCATGGCCGTGATGCAGCGCTTGTCCAGCAGGAGGCGGCACTCGGTGGTCCTGACACGCTGCGGGCCGCATTGAGATTTGCAGAACGATCAATAAAAAGGGGCTTAATAGATTTAACAATATTTAAAACCACTAATTTAATAATGCTTTAGCCATACTTGGAACAAGGGAGAATGCTGTACACTTAAGTTAAGACTATAAAGGATATAAAAGTGCACAGGCAAACAGACAGCAGTACTATTGAGAAGGGTCCCTCACTGGGGGGCCGGCGCTGTTAATGAGCCTGACAGCCGATGTTTTTATCATTTATTAAACCAGCATCAAGTAAACGACTTATTGGAACAGATTCATTTGGTTTTAGCGTCAAAGGGTTTTATACCAACAGTTGGGCCTCAACCGCCATCCTTCACGTGTGAAATTGCTGCTTTAATTGTGGGTTAAATCGGTAAACACACGCACACTTGAGGTCGTCCATACAGCGCGGTGTGTGTGTGTGTGTGTGTGTGTGTGTGTGTGTGTGTGGCTCTGAGCAGAAGTTCTTAATCCCAAACTCGCCCAGAGTTAATGCCACTTCAATCCCATGATCCTCCAGGACACAGAGGGGAGGGACGGAGACTCACACTGATGAGCTCTGGTTGCCACGGTGAAGCCACAATGTCACCAGAGCGGCCAATACGCTTGTCCCGTGTGTGTGTGTGTGTGTGTGTGTGTGTGTGTGTGTGTGTGTGTGTGTGTGTGTGTGATACTTTTGTTAAACTCGCCCTGCGTCACACGCTGCTTAATTAAAGCGCCGTCCTCTGACGAGGAGGGCTGCCACTCCTAACGTCCAGTGGTGGCCAGATGTTTTGAGGAACTGCTGGTATTTTGGTGCATTTGTCTGGAGTAAAACTTTGGACACCATCACAGGTCATTTAGCTGACGCTTTTATCTAAAGCTACTTTTTAACCCGCGGCTTTCAACATGGGACATCGAGCAGCCGGGAGTCAAACCACCAACCTTGCGGTTGCCAGCGCACCCGCTGCACCCCGGCGCCACGACAAGTCCTTGTGTCGTTGGGCCGGAGTGCTGATTGTTACACAGACGAGAACATTTGATTGGTATTAAAGGAGCCGCACTCAGCCGGTTTATCGGATCGATCCCGGTTTGCGTTTGTAAACGATGAAACCTCTTTGACTACTATCGTTGGTCACGGCGTTCCACAGGGTTCTGTGCGTGAACCTTATACAGCTCTGGAGAAAACGGAGAGACCGCTTTCTTAAATCAGTGTGTGACAGCCGCCTCATTCAACTCCATTACGGAAACAGCTGATCTGCTTATCGAGGTGATCGCCTGAAGCAAATCCTATTTATCAAAGAAAAGCATTAAAATAAACCGTGCTGTGGTCGTCACTACGGCACCAGAACATGAGCTGCATCGCGTGGAAAGTGTACGATCCAGTATTATAGTCAGGATCATTAAACCAGACCCCAGACGTTATGGACGTGTAGCACTTTACTGCTACAACCCCCTCCATGTAAAACTGATGGGGTCCCCCAAGGCTTCATCCTGGGCCCCCTCCTCTTTCTCTCATCCACCCACACGGCTTCTCCTTCCTCATCCGTGCTGAGGACACACGGTCAAACGTACGTCCCTCACTCTGCTTGTTGCTCCCTCACAGAGAGCCAAACACTCAACGCCCCCCGTTTCATGTCCTGACTCCTAAACGGTGTCATGAGCTCCCCAATTGTGGTCTGAACCCTCTTGGTATAACGCACTAAATGGAAGTCGCTTTGGATAAAAGCTTCTGCTAAATGAGCTGCAGGTTTCTTCATTCCCGTCTCAATATGCAGGATGGATGTGAGATGATAACAAACAGAAGGGACATGAAGACCAGAGTGCTACACAACGCAGAACTAATCTGCTACCAGGAACATCCAGAGAGGATCAGTGGGGCTCCAGACTCCATCTGTGTGTACTAACCTCCTCCTGATGCTCCTCCTCCTGTGATGCTCTCTCTGACGCCGGCTCAGGAAGAGGTCCTACCGGGTAAGAGAAGACACTTCATCTGTATGTACTTCCATGAGTAACGTGTGCGTGCGTGCGTGTGCGTGTGCCATACCGGTGACGTGCTCCTCGGTGGGCACCACGTTGCATCTATTGAAGAAGTCCTCGGCCTCAGCGTCCACCAGCAGCAGCGTGGTCTCGTCTCCTCCCGCCTTGATGGCCGCGACCACCTCCGAGTGCTGCATGCCGATCACAGACATGCGGTTGACCTGGGGGGGGGGGGGGGGGGACACGAGGACGGACAGGACACACGTTTACTGTCCCACTCTTCTGTGTGTTGTGTTCGGAGTGTTCACTGGCATGAATGACACCAACCAGCAGTTTAGAACCAATGACACGATCCTGAGCACAACCTGTAATTAAGAAGCCGTTGAGGAGCCTGAGGGGGGGAGGGGGGGGCAGCAGAGCGATGGTTCCTGTGCCGGAGACGGCTGGTAACTGGTATTGCAGCGCACGGTGAGCTAATCAGATAAGACACGGAGGCATTCCTGTGGGAGGAGGGTCCGGGTGGGGCCCCCCCTCTGCAACCACACTGTGGGTGTGAACGTCGAGCAGGTGGTACGGCTACATTCCATCCTGTGACCCCCCCACAAAGATTCCCTGAATGCCGAGCAGTCCCACACTTCCCGTTTAAAGCCCCCATCTGACCGGGTGACTGCGTGTAGAAGCAACCAATGTCAAAACAACCACATGTTTTATAATATGTCACACACTTAAATCACCCCAAAACTCCTGTTTATTCAACCTGTGAGTATTTGGGGGAGGGGGGGGGCGTACCTGGACCAGCTTGTCCCCGCGGCCCTCACGCCGGCTCTCTGTGCTGGGGAGTCCTGGTCCACGGCTCTGATGAAACTGGCCCGGTTTGGTCTTCTCGCTGTGCAGGTTGAAGCCGTAGCCGCCGGCTCCCTTCTTCACGTGGCAGAGCCGAGGGCGGGGGCCGCCTCGCTCCTCCTGCGGGGGACCAGGGTGGGGGGGGCACAAGGTTCACTGAGAGGCTCCGTCAGGGACCTCCAGCACCGTACGGGTGGAGTAATCACACTAATCTGTGACGAGTGAGGAAGACGCTCGTGTTGCATTTTCCGCCCAACAGGTTATGAAGCACGAGGCCCCAAACAGAATGAAGAGATAATTAGTGGGTCAAACTTATTTTTATATCTCAACATTCTCGGCTTACAGGGTTTGTAATGGAGGACAGAATGAGACACGGCCCACAAGGACCTGCATCCTGCTACTTAATGGACACTTCCCTCCATTTTAATTCAATTCATCTTAGATTTAATCTTCTATTTGTTTTACTTCAACTCCCGGCGACGCCCACTACCCCCGTATGATGCCACGTGTTGACAGACGGTAATGAGTCAGACCTAAAAAGAAACACCTCGATGAGGTCATGACGGAGTGAATCAGCAGCCCGTCGGTTTGCATGCTTCAGTGAGTTTAACCTTTGACCTCTCAGCACTGACGCATGACTTCCGTATTTCACCACAAAGGGCGGCCTGATGGGTTCCTGTTCCAGGAGGAAGGCGTGGTCATTTTAAAGCGCCTCATATATACTGAACAATGAGAACAGAAACATTAAAATGGGACAACGCGTCTTATAGGTCGGGATAATTAGCCAAACATTTCACTTCTGTTCTCAGTAACTAATGAGAAGTCGCCGACACACGGCGTGCAGATGGAGTAAAGGCACAGCCCTGTAGATGATTCCTGTGCTCAGCAGCTCAGGGCGGACTGAGGGTCCGAGGGTGGAGGCGGAGGCGTTGATGATTGCTGAAGCACTGGAGGTGAGTCAGCGTGATCTGGGAGGACCTTTGGATGCATTAATTAGATAAGGAGGGGACAGGTGAGGTGCAAAGTGTCCTTTACTTCATGCACTACCTTTCAGAGCTCCACCCAAAGTGCAAGATGTGCTTCAACCGATTGTGGAAACGTTTCGTTCATTTATGGTAAATGGTTAAGGGGGAAAAATGGAACGTTGCCTCTCAGGAATTTGTTTTTGCTTACAGATTTTTATAAAAGCCTGGAGTCAACACACACACACACACACACACACACACACACACACACACACACACACACGATGCATTGATGCTTGTATATAAGGTCATTGTACTCTGTAAAGTAGTATAATGTAGTAGTACACTGGAGTGCATTACGTGACTCCTTTGAAGCACAGAGTTGTGCCTCCATCACGTTGTTGTTGGCTCATTATTCAGACCTTCATGCCACTGATTAGATGGTGGGAGGAGGACTGGGTGCGGCTCTACAGGCCTCGTGGCTGCGCGTGCTGCACTCGTCAGAGCCGCTAATTCATCTGCGGTGGAACGTTTACAACGAGGCGCCGATAAAGAATTAGTCCCACGCAGCATCTGGCAAAGCTCATGAAGCCTCTGCCGACTCAGCAAACAGACTTTAAGGGACGTAACGTTTGACGCACGTCAGTGCACATCTGTGGGATTAATGGTTCTTGATTAAATGATCACCTTTAATGAGTATTAAGGAGGGTTCTTCCCACACAGGGGACACTTTTAATGACCCACTGACCCTAAACACTTCCCCCGCTACACAAATAGGGATCCAATATCGGCGTCTGCAGCGTGCTGAGTCAGCACAACGCTCAGGCCGTCCACATTCCACCTGGGATTTGGTCGGGAGCTCGTCTCCGGCCTCTCACAGGCATCTTGTGTTCGCAGCTTATGTGCCATTGGTGACCTCTGACCCCTGTGATCGCTCACAGTTCATCTTTGACCCGCCCCGAGTTCACTCATGGAGTCAATGATTCCCTGATCCACGTGTCCCAATCTGAGCCAATAGCAACATCTCCCCATCGCGGAGAGGCTTTGAGTCACCTGGGAGCGTTGACGCGCTCAGTAACACCAGCGACATGTCTGACATGTGACCGCAGCCCCCCTCTTCCTAACGCCTCAAGCCGTGACGTCATCACGCCAGTGTGCACGCGACACGCGCGTCCTGCTCACCGACCTCCACACATTCAACACGGAGGAGAACCAGTTTCACAACATGCACAGGAAAACCACATTGTCAGCTAAACGGTTTCAGGGACGCCGCCGCCGGGCCTCCAACACGCCACCAGCAGCGCGTCACGCTCAGAGAAATACGCACTTGATTCGACTGCGTATGAAGAGTGAAAACTAACATCCTCTGTGGGGCGGATCGCCGTGACAACATCTCCATGTGGACGTCTGACAGAACACAACGGCACGTCATTTGTTGCTAACATCGAGCCGCTAGCTTTCCAAACCAAACACCAGATTTGTCAGCACTTAAAGAATGTTTCACTGTATTTGTCGACAATAAGAAAACAAACAGCCAGCTTTGCTGCTTGAGTAGCAGAGACATTAGTATTTCAGCAGCAGTCATCTACAACAGGAGCCACCACCCATTTCACACCACTGTCTGCACAAAGGTTAAAGGTCAACCGGAGACATCAGCGTGAGGGGCGGCCATGTGCCAGCATATGGAGGAGCATGAGGTCAAAGGTTTTACAGCTGGCTGTGGTTAAACATCAGACCAGGTGTCACGTAACCAGGACTTTGAACAGGGTCAAACACTAAGCGGTGGGCCATTAGAAACCTTTATGGTGAATCCTGGACCCGATCCCACAGGGGCACATGGCTACGCCGCTAAAGGTGTGGGAGGACTGATCCACTTCTGTAGAGGCCTCCATACAAGCTACATAGCTACTATCCAACAGCCAGGGCAAGAGCTAGAGAAGCCAAGTCCCGCCCCTCTCACACAGACTGGCCAATCAGAGTGCAGCTCTCAGTCCTTAGCTAGTGGAAGGAGAGATTCATACTAGGGCTGCAACAACCACTCCATAAACATCTACTACTAAAAGAGTTTGAGGACTCTCACCGGGTGAGAATCTGGTCATTTTTCAAGCTAAACATACACAGAACTGCCCACGGAATTTAGCAGTATGGTTACAAACTGTCTGAGACATAAACCAAACATCTGTAACGGAGCAACCCGCTACGAGGCAGGAAGTGGTTTCCTCATCGTTTCCACCCGAACTGACAATCTTATTTACTTACATAATGTGTGCATGAAGACGGTATCAGGAGTGAAGAAATCGGAAATATTTGCCCTCACGCTCTATTAAACATGAGTGCTGGTGAGAAAAAAGAAGTGCATGAACAACATGAGCAGAATCCTGAGGAAGCTCAGCCTCGTTTCGTCATTGACATGTTTTGTTGGCGCATTGGTGACATTAATGCATCATACATGTGAGAGGTTATTGAGAAGCACCCAGCTGCTGTGGTTCGAGCTGCTGTGTTGAGGTTTAGCAGACCTGCATGGTGGCACATTAACCGACTGTCTGAACATCTACTGCTGCCGGTCTCCTCGCAGACAGGAAGCCAGCGTGAACAATACTGAGCAGGAAGAGCAGCAGACTGCAGACTGCTTTATTGGCTGATTGTTTCCACTTCTCCAATGTTTCTTCCAATTCGTGCAAAATACATTTAGCAAAGACTTTGGATATTTTGGGGGGTTTGTGGCGTTGCGATTGTACTATACAGCAAAGGAATAAATCAACGAATGCTTGAGTTCTATTTACTTTCAGTCTTCATTGTGTTTTTCTCCATGTACAGTAAAAAAGTTATTGAAAAACTGATGTAATCTTTCATGGATTAAAATGCGACAGGCGCACAGAAGAGGCCCTGAAACTATTTGAGCCTTTTCTTTCCCACACACCTCCCCCTGGTCTATGTGAACACGCTGAACTCCCCATGAGGAGCTGCTGGCTGAGGAGAGCAGCAGGAAGACTTTCAGGATGAGAGACAGACTGACGGGATCTGGCTGAATCTGCAGGCTGCTCACTGGACAGCTCCAACGTCCCGGCCGATCCCAAGGCTTCTTCCCCCACTGCAGAGAGGACAATGACTGGAGGGGAAGCGAGCGGTTCAGACTTTGGCACTGAGGAAACGGCGAGGACCCCAGCGGGATCACGTCCAGCGGCGCTTTCATGGGCTTTGCTTTGGATAAAGAACCAGCGGGCAGCGCCTCCTCCCAGACGGAAGACGACCAAGAACATGAGACACGTCCGTTCATTAGAAATATCACACGCACAGTTGGATTTGGGGAATCTAAAAAAGAATGTCGCTGCAAATGATTGAAACTGAGTAGAAAAGACGCTTGAACAAACGGCATCACCTCTTAACGCGTTGAAACAAAAGCCGTAGTGACGCTGCGCTCACGTCTCCCTCCTCCGTTCTCACTAAGAACTTAATCTGCCTCTATTTGTACGTAGTGTTTATTAATTGAACCATGTTGATTTCACGCGTTTGTCACGCTTGTATCTGTGCGGCTGCCTCTTGGCCAGGTCATCATTGCATCAACTGATTTTACCCGGTTAAATAAAAAGAAATAAAATGACCCTTGTAGGTTTCTATGGGGCACATCATCAATGCTAATAACTGACGGCCAGGTACTGAGTGGCTTGTGACCGAGGAATGGTGCTTTTGTATTAATTCTATTTTAGTGTAAAAATCAAACCATATCCTCAAACAGAGACACTAAGGCAATAAAGCAGAACCAGCCTGACTTTGGAGAAGCTGGAACATGCACACGTTTGTGTGATACTTGACTCAAAGCATCACAGTCCGTCTATAATGGAACACTGACATGTTTATCTTCATCGGTAAAGTAATCTGCTAATAATTATGTCTAACAGGAAGAAACTAAATATTAATATCTGCACGGTTTCCCTGAGTGACACGATAACAGTCTGCAGCGATCAGCCGCCTCGGAGGTTCTGAGGAGGACTTCAGCTCGCACGGGAGGGAGACGAGGGCGCCGCGTTCAAAGCCGTATTCAACGGGGAGTGAGGGCGCGGTGAACTCCAGTACGATGACTTGGCTGTGAAATGGCATTTAAAAAAACCTCATTAAAATAAATCGCACTTCAAAACACATTTTATTTATATATTATATTTATTTATGATCAACCTCATTCTGTTGACACTTTTGACAGCTTTACATCTGCAAGTGCAGAACTGTGGTTTAATCTGGTGACCAGCGCACGCACACACACACACACGCACACGCACACACACACACACACACACACGCACACACACACACACACACACACACACACACACACACACACACGAGTGAAGCGATGAGTGTGTGTGTACCGCGCAGGTATTTCAGGGTCAGCGCGGCCTCCTTGTCGAGGCGTGAGAGTCCTCTCTCCTTCCCCCCCGGCCTGCAGGCCTTTCTCCCCATGCAAACACGGCGGACAAAGCCTCTTTCTGCTGCCCGGGTCTCTATGGCGACCGGAGGAAGGCCCTCGGTGTGCTGAGGCCAGGACGTTACCATAACATGATGACATCCTTATTCAGGTCATGCGTCCTATCAAAAACAATCCTTGTGGAATTTTAAATGAAAGTCTTTGACTACGACGATTCCTTAAATAAGAAAACAAAACGGTGACTGCAATACCACGTCCCACCAACAGGTAGTCACGTGAAAGGGGCTATTGTCTGAGGCGTAGGCGGGGGGCTGCTCCGGGTTGGCGGCCCACCGGAGTGTGTCCCACTGAGAGGCCCGGTGTCACAGGCCAGTGGAAGACCCGACAGCCGCTGCCAACGTGCCCATCAGGGAGGAATGTGGCTGGAGGCTCGCAGCGCGGCAGCCAGCCTGGGACCGGCCCATTACCGGAGGTGGGGGGGGGATTAGTGGCGGGGCGCAGAATGAGACAGAGATCCAACCCCAGAACGGGGGGCCAGATTTAGGAGATCCGTGGACCATCAATGGGGATTGAATTGTTGGCCTTGAAGCGTTGGTTTCATATCTGAACGGGACAACGGGACGCTGGTCGCCTCGAGTCCCTGATGCAGTTCCTTAGGGACTGGAGACTAAATATGAGCTGGTACAAATGTCTCTGGGTTCCCATGTTTGGGAAGGTCCACATTTATAAACACGAGACCGCCAATCAACGTACAGTGGAGACGAACCACACGTGGCCAGCGTGCCTGTCAAACCTATAGAGATCCATCAATGAGAAACAGGGATCCAATAACCAATCGTGAACAGGGTACAATGCAACCCATGAAAGACGAGTTTCCCTTCCCCCCCCCCACAAAAGTCACTAGATTAAATTTTCTAAATGCCACCAGATTTTATGTAAAGTTACCTTTCCTATTAGACCAGGGGCCTGTTTCAGAAAGGAGGTTAAGTGAAAACTCTGAGTATGTTAACCCTGAAATGAGGGAAACTCTGAGTTTTCTGTTTCAGAATGGGAGGTATGTTAAACCTGAGAAAGCAGAGTAAGTCAAGCCTGTTTCAGAAAGAGAGGTAACTTATACTCAGAGTCAGTTACCATGGCAACTTACTCTGTGAACCTAACCTGGTCGGGAGCAGGTTTTCTTCGGGAAACCCAGAGTTTATTTCGTCTCCTCCCCTTTTTTAAAGAGGAAGTGGTATTTAATCACCTCATTCATTCTTTCGGTATTCATTCATTGCGCACATTTCAGTCACGCAGAGCGCATCAAATCGACACTGGATGCTATTTAGTTATTTATATGTCAAATGTTTGTAAAGTCAGGTAGACTACAACCATGATATGTTCAAGCCTTACCTGATTGAATTATGTTTTTATATTTCATTTTCAGCTGCTGCCACGTTCTTTTAATGCCTGCAGGATTGCACCTACATGAAAATTAAAATTAGGTTGAATAACACACTGTTCTTCCAGTTTCACTTCTGATATTATAACAGTTGGGCAAGTCACTTATATTACTAACTACAACTGGCTTCTTCAACAGTGTAATTAGATTAATGTAATAATGACTATCTCTAGAAAGTATTGGTCTACTTATTACTAATTACTTTCTAAATCCCATATCAACCTCAACCACTTGAACAATACAAGGAGAGACAAGAAACTGCACTTTTAATGCTTTCAAATAAACATTATACAATTGCATGAATTATTCTTGAAAAAATATATCTTTTAAAATTTGATGTTAAATCCACTATTGTTTTATACAGAATTGCTTTATAGTTTATGCAGCATTTAATGCAATTACATCAGATTTTACTTTAAATTACGGAAACAGTTTTTAGATTACATAGAAATTAATTACACACAACACTGTATAACAGTAATTCAAATGTAAACTTATGCATTGACTCGAGCAGCTATTTTCTCCCAAGCTAACTCTCTGTCCTTCGCCGCTGCAGCCGTGTTGCTTTTTTTTTAAAATATATGTTCGTACTCTCCATATGCTTGCATAAGCACATCCAGTTCTGCTGGTGAAAAATATGAAGACCTCTTTTTGTCTGGCGCTGTTGCCATGGTGACTCGTAATATCTGCGCTCCATTGATAATGGCTTTTTATAGTTGTGGTGCACGCGCTTAACTCAGAGTAGGTCAACTCAGAGTTGATTGAACTAACTCATTTCAGCTGTTCTGTAACCGAAAACTCAGAGTTTCCCATCTCAGGGTAAGTCAACTCACAGTTCAAGTTTTAACTCAGAGTTGGTTGAACCTCCTTATTGAAACAGGCCCCAGGTCCACAACTTGTTCGTCCATCTAACAACACAAGAAGCCGTACGGTATTTATCTTATTTACACAACGTTTCTGCTTGGTAGCATAGTTACAATTCTGCTCTCTGCAGGAGTTTCACCCCGACACACACACACACACACACACGCGCACACACACACACACGCACACGCACACGCACACGCACACGGAAAATGTGTCCATCCGCTCAACCTGTAAGCGTAGGTGAAACACTGAAGACACTGAATCCCTACCAGAACCCTCACTCGACCACTCGGACCCCCCTCTGGGTTCGGCGCGCATGTGAAGGGCAGATTATTAGTTTAACGTTTTCCATCATCAAGATAAAGTGAATCTTTATCTTCCAATAGATAGTAAAGTACGAGATCAGCATCAATCAGATCTGATAACGTTACAATCTAAATAACCCATCTGTGTCTAACTGACAGGCCAGTAGCAGCACCGCTAACCGCTAACCGCTACATTGTGAGGCGTTCAGGCTCTGTTCAGTGAAAAGGAGTATTCCTGTACATTGTAGCGTTACATGTGAGTTTTGTGTGTATGCGTGTTCATAAAAAGCGTTGGTGAGAAATAGAAAAACTGTTGTTTTAAGGAGAATGATCACAGGTGCAAGGTTGGTGGTTTGAGTCCCGGCTGCCCCATGTCAAAGTGTCCCTGAGCAAGACACCTAACCCCTAACTGCTTGTATAAAGCTGTGGTTTAAAGATGTAATGTAAGTTGCTTTGGATAAAAGCGTCAGCTAAATGACCTGTAATGTAATGAAAAGATTGGTTTTAATCCAGAACATCAGCAGCAGGGAACGGGATGTGGGATTTCTAAACGTTATATTGGCTTCCTTTTTTTTCTTTTATGATGATCTGATCCTTGACGCGGAGCCGGGCGAGTTTTACGATCCGCTCCGCCGCGGGCCTTCGCCTCCTTTAGGACCTCATCCGCGCTCCTTCCTACTGCAGGGAGCCCGATCCCACCATAAACTAGTGTCCGATTACTTGTGGAAGCCCTAAATAAACCCAATGGCGTCTCAACACCGACGAAAAGCCCCAGAACAGAGACATGTTCTATCGCGCTGCACCACGCGGAGAAGCAGGGCCCAGACTTTGCCCCGGCAGGTAGAAGGGCGACTAGATGGTGTTACGACCATAACGTGAGGCCCCGTGAGGACCTTCTGCATCGCTGCTATCCAGCTGTTTGAGTGCGATCAACAAAGCTCAGAAGAGAAGACGATGGTCTGGTACGAACCACAAGCAGAACCTGCCGGGGAATTTAAGAGTGGAACAGAGGCTGTGTCACCTCTCTGAGGGGGGTAAATGACACGCCACACGCGTGTGAGTAGAGCTCCTTTACAGCCACACGGAAGGAGGCTTGTGTAAACATGTAGTGAGGAGATCTACATTTATTAAAGGTCAGAGGCCAACGCCGTCACCATGGCATCCATTATTTATTACACTGCAAATTCATCATTTCTAATACTCTAATAAATTGTTTTTTGGCATTAATGGCATAGAGGACCGTCATCTATAAAGGGCCTTACTCGTTGAATTGGTTTAAAACTATTGGTTTAGTTTTCTCATCGATACAAACGGTTTTAAAAGCCTACGAACTGATCGTGGATTAGAATCATTACGCAACAAGTCGGTGGACTTTGTTTGGCAACACTGATCCAAAGGCCGAGGATCCGTTTCATTTGTAGAATCTCTCAATCGATGAGAGAAGTGATATTAGATCGTATCGGGTTAAAGACGAGGTCAACGCGGTCAACGGATGCGGGTTTCATGTGATTCTACCGTCACGCGATGGCCGCGGGCGCTCGGTACCTTGGCGCTGGAGCTGACGCTCAGCCGCTCGGACCGCTCCGAGGCGGCGTCCCCGTTCTCACTCGGGGCGGCCGGCGGCTCCGCGGACGTCCCGTTGCTCCGCGCGTCCACGCGGTCGGAGTCGCCGTCCCGTCCGGGCAGCGGGATCCCCTCGGTGACGAACTCCCTCCGGCACCGCAGGTCGAGTTTCTCCAGGAGTTCGGCGGTCGCGACGTCGACGACGACGAGCTCCAGCGGGCCGGCGGTGGCCCGTATCCGGGCGACCACCTGCTGGTGGCTCTCGCCCTCCACGCTCTCCCCGTTCACGAAGGCCAGGCGGTCGCCCGCGAGGAGTCCGGCCTCGGAGGCGGGAGTGTCCGCCTCCACGAGCCGGATGAACTGGCCGGTCTTGCCCTTCTCCCCGTGCAGGTGGAACCCGTAGCCGCCGGCTCCCTTCTCCAGCACGCACAGTTTGGGGCGCAGGTTCGACATCTCGTCGCTTCTCTCGCGGGCGGAAACTTTCGCCGCACTTCTCCGAAACCGCGTTCGAGTCGCAGAAGAGCGGACACCTGCTGCGGCAAACTTCGCTCGAGCTGCACTTCCGCGGGACGGGCCGTCGGTGAACTTTCCGCTGCGCGGAGCCTCCCCTTTGAACCGCGGTGTCGCAATCGGGTTTTTCCAGCGCCAATCCGACGCGGTCTCGCGCGCGCGTTAAACCACGCAATGAGATTAGCGCGCGTCACCGGCTTTTCAAAATAAGAGCCATTTCAGGACCGTGTCACAACTTTTAAAACGTTGAACTTCAGTGCACGATTCAATCATTGCCGAGGGGTGTTTTAACAGCTGCAATATCCGATAAAAAAATATATCAAAAATAGAGCAAAATGTGTACCACGTAGGCCGTAATTCTACTTTATATGGCTTCAATTCACCTTGTTGATCAAGTTATATTATATTATATATATTACCCTTGATGGTAATCAATTTACTTTTAGTATAATCATAGACCTGTCTAAAGCCTTTAATACAGTGAATCATAATACATTGCAAATATAACCAAATCTGATTTGGTTGTTTTCACTGGCAAAACAATCATATCATCATGATTATACATACATATAGAACTTATTTTTAGCCTCCGATTTTTTAAAAGGTTTACTGGCTTGGATATCAAAGCAAACATTTTTTGAGCAAAGTTACAACAACCATCAAACTGCATATTTGGTCAGTGATAGTCAGCTTGAAGCAGTGTGAATAGCACGTGGTAAAATAAGGACAGGATATATATATATATATATATATATATATATATATATATATATATATATATGTTACAATGCAGAACAATGAATGCATAATTAAAAGATTAAATTTGCTGTATTTTATTTAGATTTTTTTTGTGTTCCTATAGGATTTTCGTAATATTGACATATACTTTATATTGCTTTATGGGTGCACCATAAAACCCAGCAAAAATATCTCAAATTTGGTTCCTTGATCTCTCTGACGCACACACACTCTCACACACACACACACCAGACAGATAGGCAGACACGCAGACACACAAACATCCCATTGTAGCTACAGTTTGCAAGAAGGTGACGTCTCAGTGGATAATCGCTCACATCAAGCATGCTCACTTAAAAATAGTTTATTTGATATTCAGCATACAACAGATCAAAGACGACTTTTGGCAGCGTGGTCCGACCAGAAGCAACTGGTAAATGTGTACAAGATCAGAAGGCAATAATCAAATTTGTTTTCTTAGGGATTATGAACAGACTTGAGCATCCTCACAACAACTTGCCAATAAGAAACATTTTGAGAAGAGCACTGCATGCCGCAAACTAAATATAAGACACTTGCTTGTGTCGAAGTAAACACATGAACTTAGAGCTGTTGTTTTGACATCATTAGTTTCTCCAAGCGGCACTGTTAGCTGATTTTATGTTACCAATTGATCAACGTCTGAAAGTTACGACCTTGGGGGAATTATGAACCAACTCCTTGTTCCCCTCAGCTCATGTAGCTTTTCAGCGTCGTCATAAGAAGTAATCGGTTTGGACGGCTGGCGTTATTGCCTAAAACCCCCATACTGTTGGTGTTTTTCAAAAGGACTGGCAGATAGAGTAGCTGCTGAACACAGAGCAGCATTGAGCAGCTCAAGAGCCAGACGTTCTGCTCGAGACTCGGTGGAGACCAAAACCGAGCAAAGACACTCACCTCTAAATGAATGTAGCAATAAGTGGCCAAGAAAACTTCATCCATCAATGCAGCTTTTAAGGTGTTGATGATGGGAATTTATATACTAGATATATTTTAAATCAAAATTCAACCCTGAGTTTAAATGAGAGCAAAAATGCTCATTATTTGTCTATGATTTTTGTTCGTCCTTATTCAAATATAAAACAGATCTGGTATACCATGTACCATGTATACATGCAATACAGTAAACATTCAACTCAAGTTTAAAATCCACAGTCAAGCCATAAAAATAGATACAAATTACGTACTTGACTCATAGGTAAATTATGTACATAGACATTTCCTATATGATGGACCAAATTAAGAATCTGATAATTGTCAAACAGCTCATGTGTGACATTTGGTCTTCTGCGAGGATGATCTTCCAGAGACATTTGGTGACCAAAACATTTGCATTCCTCCGCATGTTCATAAATAGAGTTGTGATAACAGTCCTCACGTTGGATGCCCAGCTGTGTCCCGGAGCTTCTGGTGAGTCAGCGAGGCGTTGGCGACAGCCGGCAGTCACTTCAGCCCGTCTGACCGGGTTACGAACAGACGGGCTTTTGTCCGTAGGCTTGTCTTTGAATGGCATCCACGACACAGCGCGCGGCCCTCGTCTGGATCTCAGAGGCTTAGGTTGTAACAACGTGAGGATTTGTTGCAGAAGTATGTCCGCTCTGACGGCGTGCCGTCGTCTTGCTCGTGACAGCGGTGGGAGGGTGTATGGCGTTAAGTTTATTAGCAGAACAAAAATCCTTTGTCATAGTCAGAGTCTGACGAGGAAAATACTAATTATTCAAACAAGGAATGATAGAATTAGTTAGATGAGAAGATTGATATCAATCTCAAGTTACGTTAGTAAAATTGATTGACTATTGAATGGATTGCAATGAAATCTGACCTGGTAAAGAAGTTCACGTTTCACTTTGGAGGAGCTAAAATAACTTTGTTGATGATAAGTCGGGGCTTCCAAATTGTAAGTTAGAAAATAATTGGTTTATGAACTATTACCACAATAATAATACAACATGGTATTCCAACTAGCCGCACCTGTTTGTATTTATTGCTAAGTAGCTAATGTTAGCATGCGCAGCGGACACAATCAAGTAGCAGCGCAAAAAATAAAATATGTAAAAAAAAAAACACACATAGTTTGTGTTTTGAAAGGTTTACAAGTAATGTAACTTATTATTACAAATTATGATCATCTGCATTAAGTGCTCGGTCAGTCGTTATGGCAGAAAAAACAGACGGACAGAGCTAGGCTAGCGGTTTCCTTTAGCATTTATGCTAACCGGCTAACCAGGTCCGACAGAACACAAGAATGGTTTGATTTTATCCAACTCTCACAGCAGAAGGCATTCGGCTTTACTTTACTCTCAAACAATTAAAACACTTTGATTAAATGTCTATGGCAAATATGTAGTGTGTGTGTTAACATCGTAGAGGGCCAAATAAAAACCTTGCTTTTTGTGGTAGCTTGGTTGGTTCTTCTGGCTTTAAATAAATGGCAGCATCGTGTTCTGGGAGCAGCATTGAGTTAATAGGGCTTCGGCTCAGCAGAGGAGACTAAAAGTAGCTGCAGCAGCCCGACTTCTCCTTTTGTGCTTCGATGTATTGGTGAATGTGGAACTTGGGCTCGTTGGGATGCTGGACGGCTCGGTGCTTCAGCTCCCTGAAGAACGGAACCAGACATCAGAGTTTAGAACACAACAAAGAGGCATTTTCTTTTTTATGTGAATGTCATCAGGTGTGTGAACAATGTAAAGAGATTTGAATCACTATTTAAATGGTGTCATCTTGTTTTCATAACATTTTAATTAATACTCCTGTGTTGATCAAAATAATCATATTAGTCATACTTAAACTCGATTAGTTAATAAACTAGTATTAATAAATAACTATAACATAACTACTGCAACTTTTTTGAAACTATATTGTAAAAATTAACCATATAAATAAGTAGTTGTTCATTGTTGGAATTGCACTTTCAAATATGGTTCTGAAATTTTTCAACGGGTAAGTTAATGGAATTAACATTTTAAATCTTAATTTTCTTATATTTTTAGATATTTTTATAATGTTTTTGTTATCTATTGTATTCGATTGATACGTGAATTAAATAAATTCATAGTGATTTTAAGAAATTAATTATTGGAGGATATGGCAATATTTAGTGAGTTGTAAAGGAGTCTTATTATTTAAAAGCCCTCTACTATCCAGTTAAATACTTCAAATGCTATATAACAGCCTTCTAAAGTGAATATTTAGTGTTTAGAACACAAACAAACTTTTAATCAGGATTAATGAATTTCAAAATGTGCAATTCATTTAATTTTATTTATTGACTGCCCTACCATATAATAATAATCACTATACAGACTATTTTGACCTTATTTGAATATTCTGTTATTGAATTAAATGGCATGCTAAGTGGGTTGATTTAGTAATACTTGATCATTTCTAACGTTTGAGTTTGTATCCCTATGGTTGAATGCACAACGTCGCTTTGGATGAAAGCGTAATGTAAATGTAATGTAAAGTACTTATTTCATCAGTAGTAACGTGTAATATGCTGTAGATTTATATGTTTTAACACAGTGTAAACCCTTGAGGGTTTTTCCCAATAGACTGTTCATCAGCTGAGAGGAGTGACCAGCACACTGTGTGAGGCCGTTTCATACTTGGAAACAGCGGTGAAGGCCAGCTCTACGTTCACCCCCGTCTTGGCACTGGTCTCCATGAAGGGAACCGAGTACTCCTGAAGGAAAGGAGAAGGAGCAGAGCCTTGGGTGAACGGAGGCGGCGAAGGCGACGGCTGTGCGGCGGTTAGCGGTTACTCACTCGGGCCAGCCGCTCTCCTTCGTCTCTCCTGATGGCCCGGTCACTGTTCATGTCCGTCTGATGGACAGATGCAGTGGAGTTTGGTTAGAACACGATGACACACACACACACACACACACACAGGCTAGACTTTGAGAAATACGGCCTCAGTTTGTGTTTCTTGCCTTGTTTAAGTTGTTTTTTCATTGAACAGTAACGCTCCCTGTGGAGCTCATCATCATTCCCGTAGTACACCGGGAGACGGGTTAGCATGCGGCTTCCCCAACAGCGGCGAATAGACTAAGAGGATAATGTAGCTGATATGCACATGCTAACTTTAGCTAGCGTTAGCATAACATCTGGGGTCTATAATATTAGGTTCTGTAGACCATTTTGGATTTTTGTAAAATTCTAACAAGGATCTTGGCCATGAGGTTGTAAACTACACACAGACCAAGTAGGCCTCATAAGGGAAGGTCGTCCACTAGACCTGTTAGACCTCACACAATAGAGTGAGGAGGAAACCATGAACATAGCCGCCTTCTCTTTGGATGCTCAAAAGGCACGTGACAGAGCAGAATGGGGCTTTTTGGGGTTTGGCGAAGCTTTCATTAAATGGAAGGGATACCAGCAGCACCATCCCTGTATCCTCGGTATCTCATTACAAACAGGACTACTCCTCATTGTGGAATAATCCCGTCATCTGTATAGGCAAAAAGACAATTCCATGGGACACATGGCTGGCAAACGGGATACATGCTGTCTAAGATATATGTGAAGACGAGGTATTCAGACCATTTGAGAACCTTAAAGACAACGTGAGTTACAGGAGAACGGGGATTTTACAGCTGAGGAGCAGCATAGGCAAGATGTTTGGACTGAAAGGAGCAGAGAAGGAAAATAAACAGGATTGAAGAATTTCTCAGTGCTTCAAGCTCTTCACACGCTGCCTCAATATACAAGAAAATATCAAATATTCAAACTAGAATGTGACAGACTAAAGTGGCAAAGGGATCTTGATTAGGGAAAATGCATGGCAGGAGATCCTACCGAGAACATAGGCCGGGCTACAAGGGTTCATCCATAGGTATCACTTCACACCTCAGAACATGCATAAAATGGGATAAATACAGGATAACAAATGTTGGAAATGTAATAAAGAAATTGGTACTTTTCTACATGCTATGTGGGAATGTTCTACGGTGGCGCCTTTCTGGATAGCGGTTCTGAAGTATTTAGCAAGGTGGCTCAAGCGGCCTTTTCCAAGGCTTAGTTTACTGGGAGATAAATCGCTGATGCCACCAGGACCAACAAAAACAGATCAGGCTTCCGTGTACAAGTTTCATTGTGAAACGGGAAGAGCCTGCACGCACCTACGTGCAAAGAATGGATCAAACTCGTGACGGAGACAGCAGCATTGGAAAATACGATAGCCAGATTAAAGAATACCTCGACCAGAAACCCATTCATAGACTGATGACAGGAGAACCACACACAGTGACACCTGCCCGTCAGTCACTAACATCCACACACTGTAGTCGCAGCTACAGGAGCCATGTAGGGTTAAGTGTCTTGCCCAAGGACACATCGACATGCGGGTTAGCAGAGCCTGGGATCGAACCGACAACCCTCTGATTGGAGGACGACCTGCTCCCCGCCCACCCACAGTCGTCCTACTCGCATAGAGGGATGATGGAACTATTCATTTTGTTCATGGTTGGTTGATTTTTAATGCATAACCGAAAATCACAAAAAAAAAAGAAAATAGCAAAAGGTGGTGCTTTCTACTTAAAAGAAAAGTTTCCCCACAATGCACTGAGAGAGACAGATTTAGTGGATAGAGGGATCTATTTTAGTCACTTAGTTATAAGGCTGCAGGCCTTGCTCATGCTCATTTTAAGACTCACACACGTTCACAAGCTTTGATGTTAGAAAAGCACATGATTCTTCTCGTATTGTCTGTGTGATTATTCCCCGTATTCACCTTCTGCCTGAAACGTTCGGTTCCACCGGCTGTTTCTTTAAGGCTACATTCTCACTCTCACCAGCTAATTATGAACCGTGTCCGTGTTGGACGTGACGTGTACGAACGGGTAGTATACACATTACCAGTCGGGCCTCACTCAGGATCACATCCCTCTCTATGTTCTCAAGACTCTCCTCACCTTGTTGCCCAGCAACATGATGACTACATCGCTCTGTGCGTACTCGTGGATCTCTGTTAACCAGGCCTGAAACAAGAGGGACAAACAGTCACGTGTCAGTCCACGTAAAGCGTCTCTGCCATTTGGAAGCCAAAGTTAACCACAATAACGCACATGCATGCACATGAGGACTCGTGCTATTTGAAAGTTGATCTTTCTAAGGAGTTATTTTTACACTACTGTTTGCTCTCAGGAGCTTTAATGTCATTTGTCACAGGCTGTTTCCCACATGCTGCCAGGCGGCAGGCGCTTCCCATACTGACCCTTATGTTGTCGAAGGAGGTTTTGCTGGTGATGTCGTACAGGAGGAGCAAAGCTTTGCAGAAAGAACAAAAACATATTGATATATTGCGGCCCATCTCTACTACGGTGGGTATAAAAGCAGTGGAGAGACATTTATTTGCCTCACCGTGTGCGTCTCTGTAATACGCATGCGTCACACTCCTGAACCTTTCCTGCCCTGCTGTGTCCCAGATCTGAAACAGAAAGGGAAACACAGCGCTTAGTCTCATTTGAAGTGCCGACACTGGTTTCCCAAGAAGAAACCTGTTTGGGCTCTAAAAATAGGAGGCCATCGTGGAAGCACATGGAGTCTTCAGCGTCCGGAAGTGATTTACTCACTGACCTGTAGTCGGACCTTCACGTCGTCAACAGTCACCACTTTATTCTGGGGAGAGAAGAGAGATTTTAAACCTGGTACAAAATAAGTCTTATACTGAAAAAATGTTTTATGCACCAATATAATGAACAGCAGTAAATGTTTGAAGAATCAGTATCTCGACCATATAGGATCTCATCCCTGGTCTTCCTAGCTGTACAGTACGTTTCTATATTTACAGTAACTTCACGCGGAAGGTTTGCGTCAACATTGTAAAATGTTTTTGTTTGAGGCTCCAACTCGCGGTTAAAGATGTGAAGCGGCTCCGTTTGAGTTAACGATGCCCACGCTGCTTTTAAACCAAGCAAGTCATGGCGATCTACCCGGGCCAACGGGTGGCGGCGGTGACCTAATGGAACGACCGCGCTGCACCGAGAGCGCTATGCGAGCCTTTTGTCTGTCAGCAGGGAGTGAACCGCCACAAGCGTTCCACACATTCCTGGTCACTGCGTTACCCGGATGACACGCTGATTGGAGTCAGCCTGGGTTTCTCTTCAATGAAGTCAAAGGTGTCCGTTGGTCAGTATTGCTCACTAACAGAGCCATGTGACCCTGGTGTCTGGAGCAGAGTGCGCGCTGGGAACTGCAGGTTCAAACCCCAGCTGCTCAATGTCCCGGAGCAAGACACCCAACAACTGATAGGTCAGGGTTTAAAAGAAACCGTGTTACATAACGTTGGGAAAGAGAAAATAGCCAGACTTTTAATTTTGCATAAATGCTGACTTGTGTTTGTGTTTGTTTGACTACCTCTGTTGATTTGACTGTCAAATGATGACTCGGATGGGTTTACACTGGAATTCGGCAAGTGTCTCATAGAGACACTAAAGTTCAACAGAACCAGAAATCTAAATCCTTCCACGCTTTTTGCGTCCGTCTTGGAGACACAGCGGATCTCGCTGTCGCCAGCAGCCAGTCCGGCCTCAGAGAGGAAGCAGAGAGGGGAGAGCAGCGACGAGGATCAAAGCTTCTGTCACGGCGGCCGGGAGCAGGTTTTAACAACAAAAGGTACTTTTAATAATTTAAAAAAATCAAAAAATTCCAAGGGGACAAACGCAGACAAGACGGTGACCAGGAAGTGAACCCAGAGGCATGAAACTACAAAATAAACCGTGACAGCTTCAGATGAGGAGGAATATGAAAATAGGATGGATCCATTTGAAGATATTTAAGTGTATTTACAAAAACAATGTTCTGTAATATTACAGTAATAGTGCATAAGCTGTCAGTTTGTATGTTAGTATATATAGTTAGTATGTATTAACAAACTGTTTTAATGATAATTTTTCTTTTTCAAATATAAAACATGCACATTGTGTAAACAATGGTCTTTATTTATATATTTGTATTTATAGTAAATATTTGGTTTGGGGATTAACAGTTTTAATGTCAATCAATTGTTGTAAATTATAATAAAAGTAGTTTTATGGAAAGACTGTAGATAGAGAACAGGCGGCTCAGGTGTCTCTACTAGAATCATAAAACTGATTTACAGCAGCTGAATGTGGCCGTTAAAGGAAAAGTGGCTCCGCAAATTCAGCGTGACAGCTTATCGATGGGTGTCAAGCGCAGCTGTCATGACTCCTGACGGACGCCTGAGTGACGACTGTAACTGGGCTTCCCACTGAACTCCCACTGAACTCCCACTGAGGTCCCACTGAGGTCCCACTGAGGTCCCACTGAACTCCCACTGAGGTCCCACCGAACTCCCACTGAGCTCCCACTGAGGTGCCACTGAGGTCCCACTGAACTCGCACTGAAGTCCCACTGAGGTCCCACTGAACTCCCACTGAAGTCCCACTGAGGTCCCACTGAATTCCCACTGAGGTCCCACTGAAATCCCACTGAACTCCCACTGAACTCCCACTGAACTCCCACTGAACTCCCACTGAAATCCCACTGAACTCCCACTGAACTCCGACTGAGGTGCCACAGTCCCGACGACTGATTGACGTCTGACTGGCGACCGCCCTCAGGCGCAGACTTGTCATTGGGCGCCAGTCGCACATGAAGATCTCCGTGCTGCCGTCCTGATGGTGCTGATGTTATGGTCTGTATGTAAAGAGCCAATAACATCCAATAGGACATACGATGTCTAATAATGTACAAAAGCCCTCTTTTTCTTCTGTGTGAGACACAGGCGACTTAAATAGTCCCATTGTAAACCCATGTGCCATCAGCTGGAACACCTAACACCTAAGGACAAAGCACTGGGTGGAAGTAAAGGTCAAATCCATCACAGACACAACAAACCACTGTTCGAGTCCAGTGTAAATCCAAGCTCAAATTGAATTATCTAGCTTACTTTTGTTACATAACGCTCGAAGCCACTCCAAGACGGCAGGCTAAGGACCAATGGGGGATGTTGGTGACTAGATCCACTTTTATAGGGATCATTTTGCTGTGTCCATTACATTTACCTCCCATGTGTAGCAGTGGAAGCAGAATATATCACAGTAACGTCGCCAAAACTGGGCCAATTTAACCCAAACTGCCAGCATGACTTTTATTGTGATTTGGTTGAACTGACAGTCCAATGTATATGACGTTTGGGACAAAACACATACCGTGAATCCAATGCCCACTGTAGCAGAGAAGGAGCCGGGGATGAACTTCCCCTGATCGAACTGCACCAACAGTGATGTCTTTCCAACTCCACTGTCCCCAACCAAGATTGTCTGCAGGACAAAAGTGAAAAAATGAGTCAGCATTTGCGTCACGGCGGACAAATAAAACAATCTTTTCTGAGCTTGGCAGTGTGGCAGTGTGACTCACAAACCGAGGCATCCAAGTTAGTCACTAGCAGTCAGTCATTTCATTTTTGGCCTTCTTAGAAAAGTCACGCTGAGGTACCCACCTCCACAAACACACACACACACACACACACACACACACACACACACACACACACACACACACACACACACACACACACACACACACACACACACACACACAGTGGCCTCTACTGTGACAAATATAGTAAACGAGACACGGCCAGGCTGTCACTGTCTTTCCAAGACACATTTGGGATATTTTGATGATAAAAATGCAACATGAGCGTCTTCACTGTTGGATCTGGTGGATAATTTTTTCCCCCCGCAGTTAATGTACGCTGATGTCAAGACGTCAAGTATTGAGTTATGAATGTTCAACCCGAATGACAGAAAATAACACTGCTTCATTCATATAGCAACGTGCATCTGGACAGGGACCTTGTGCATGTCATTTCCTCCTCGCACTGCCTTCATTTCCTGTTATCTCTCAACCACTGGCTGCAAATGATGCAACACTAATGCTGCACTAAAACATGCCTGGCTGTCTGACCCTGTTGTGACCATGTGAATGGACAGGATGGATGTCCGCAATCTGGTCAAACTGGAAATAGAAACAAGCAATAGAAGGGCTGAAATGTGAAGCGAACCAGTTTGTGGTGGATATTAAACTTGGTCTTGAGGCTTGAGAATGGTATTGGCTGAAAGGATTAGAGTTGAGAAGCTGGAGAGGCTTTTCTCAACCACCAGGATAGCCTTCCTTTGATGTCAGCATTTAGAGGGATTTAAAAGTGTGTCACTGCTGAGTTGTGGATAAAGTACTGCAGCTTTATCCACAATAAGGCATCCTCAGATTTTTCAAATCAAATGTAATCAGGTATTGTTGCTGACGTCAGTTCTCTCTGTTCAGGCTGTGGCATTTGAAAGAAGGCACATGTCTAAGGTAGACAAAAACACAATGGCCTGTTAGCGTAGCCACTGAAAAAAATATGGCAAAACTTAGGTGGGTTTATGGAGCTTGATTAGTACCTCGCACCTGCTGACAATCTAGCAACAAAAATTTGTGAGAAAATTTGGGGCGTTCGCAAATTCTAAGCTGAAGGGTAAAAGCAGCACAGGGAACTTAGCAGGTAGTTAATGCATATCTTGCTAGTGATGCAGCCGTTGCCAGTGATATGACATGGACTTTAAACGCTGATAACCAGTGACCCTCCACTCAGCTTATCTACTTTCCATGTTCAGTGATAATTAGCACGCTAGCACTTGGCAAACATCTGTCAAGCTTTCCATCCCAGAACTCCACGTGTGGAAATTAAAATGATAGCACATCCATCATCTACATTCAGAGGTTTTAACCAACCGCCCGTTGTTTTCATCCAGAGGTGGACCAACGAGGTATTTTATTTGTAGCCAGCCACTAGTAAATGTCAACTGCATGTAGCTAATTGAGCTAACCTGGTACACACCTACTGAGTGCATTGCAACACCGTGGCCTGCAGATTGATTTTGGCAATGGAGATATGAGATTTGGGACTTTGCGAGTAAGGAATCAAGTATAACAGCTTTGTTTCAGAAAATAAGTAGAATATCAGCATTATTATTTTTACAATACCTATCAGTGTTTCACAGATATTGTTTACGGACACAGAGCTCCCAGCTAAGACAATCGTGGACAAAACCAGAACGTCCAACCACTGTGGTGTCAACATCTCCAATGAGAGCTAGACAGAGCTACTACCGTTAGCCTACATTTGAATAGCAAGACTGGGACACAGCACTGAGAAGAGAGCCTGACAAACCGCACAAAATGATGCACTTCTGGATTGGTCTTTATATTTTTATGGGACACTCAGTTAGGTTACTGTCAGGCAGGCTAGCCAAACGAGCTAATGGTTACAGCCCAACTTCAGAGCGATTTAATCCGTTTGGTTTTTGTTGGGATCTCATTTCTTGGTACGGCCTCGCAGCAACCTCCTCTCCTGTCGTGTGAAGCCAATGTGTTATAAAACGTACATTCCCTGTATTGACTCTTCCAGTTGTTATAAGTCCAATTGTAAAGAAGTATATAAGACAATTACTTGATTTATTCCCTTAGTAAAAATTGTAAACATTAGCGGTCTCAAACTTTCTTCTATTCTTCAAACGAGCGTGAAGTTCATTCAGTAAGTGATGGTTCCTTTTAGAGAAAGTATGTCTTATGTCTTTGTCTATCCAAGTGCCACTCCTACTGCAGCCCTGGAAATCTTGTCATGGTGTAAATCCATTTTGAAGCTCTTCAAAATGGATCAGAGAGCTTATCACAGAGCGGGCGAATAACATGCAGAGCGTGACACAAACCAGCAGTGACTTATTATTCATCGGCTCCTCCTGAGACTTAATGGCATCTGTTTCCTGTTTACTGGGCGTCACTGAAAGCATGTAACATAATGCCTGCATGTGCGCATGGACAGGCCCAGTAGAGAAAAAAACCAAACAAACGCATTATGTGATGACGATGAGTGCCTTTGTGGCGGGGGTGGAGGGTTACGACGCTGTTTCCATGGTAACAGAGGTTAGCTGCCAAGTGAGCCTGTCTCATAAAATCCTCACTGGAGACTGGAGGCAATTAGGTGATGGCACCGCAGATGTTCGGGAATTATACGTGGATGATATGAACAGTATTAGAAGCCTCTCTAAGGACCTCCATGGTAAATATATAACAAAGATGGGGAATTCCTTCTGCTCTATGGGAAGACTGAGAGATAAAGGGAAGAGGATTTGGAGAAGTTATGCCAATCGTCTCTGCCTAAGCAATGGGTAAAAAAGCCTTTATCTTCCTGGAGAGTATTAAGTCTGTGGTACGAAGCCGAAAATGACATTTAGCTTGACAGTTTTCATTTTGGCTCGAATTTAAACTGTTTTATATGCTGCACAGCTGCAAATGTAATCCACAAAACAGCCACGTATTACAGCTTCCAGTATTAAAGGTCTGAATTCATGCTATTGGCGATACACTTATGATCTCTACCCAAGCAATTGCTCTAATTAACTTTCATGAAATGAAACCACACAGTGGAACAGACCTGTCAATCACAAGGTAGCCCCGCCCTCAAACATACGTTCATCCTGTACTGAAGAAGATTTGCAACTGGAGATTAAGAACAAAAACTCATGTTTACAATGTTGTAAATATATGTTGTAAATACTCTGACATTGTTATGTTGTCGTGATAAATTTGCATTTGGTTATTTAAAGTGCGTTAGCAAATGACTGCCTACAACTGAACAGAGGTCCAGCAGACAAGAGGAACGTTATCATTCATTGGTTAGTCGTGCTTTCCAACATTCAGCCTCTTTTATCTCTGCATTGGGCTCCATAGTTCCAGAGGGAAATACAATTTAGGACAAATGCTCCTGTATTTACATTATTGCCCTGCTTGGTGGGGGGAAGGTAACAGGTACACAGTTTTTAACCAAACCAAAACATCAATATTGCAGACGCGCTAATCAAAAGAATAAATTGAAAGATGCCAACACTCCTGTCTAACCTTGTTTGGCCTCTATCACACAGTCTTCATCCAGCTAATGCAATGGTCCCAGTATCACGTAAAAAGTAAGTCACAGGGGGAGTTTTGGATATGAGCAGCCTTCATCTACAGCCACACAAGGCGTCTCCTGGGGGACGCTTGAGTACTCGCTAGAAGAGTGTAGATCATCTTGGTCTGGAGTTGTGACCGTTTGCCTGGACTATCTGGACCCGCCGCCAGGTTCCTGACGTTGAGAGCCAAGGATTTCATTGTATTAAATAAACCAGTCTAATCATATAACCGTAAAACACAGCTAAGGTTGTGTTACTGCCAGATTTTATGCTTGTTTTATTTATTTTTTACGGTTGATTGTACTGTGATTATCTTAAGGAACTTTTCCAAAACTGAAGAGCCATTCTGTCCCTTTGCTTGAAAGTTGTTTCTGTAAAGGATTATTTTAATGGTAATGATACAATTATTATGTTAATAAGAATAATAAAATACAGAAACCCAATGTCTTCCTGGAGAGCATTCTTTTGAGGACCCATTCCAATCCGAAGCATGCGCTGACGGTTCAGCAGACGACCATCGGCGACGATCAGCACCATGGAGAGCGCACTCCCCCCGCGAGGCGAGCCCCCGCCCGGGGGACCTTTTGGGGTTCACGGGCATTTCATAAATAAATAGGCAGGTCGGAGAAGAGACTCTTAAAGGCTGCCAAAGTGAAACACGTCGGTTGGTGGCACGTATTCCCCTTCATTGTGGACATGTAGACATACCTTGTGTACGAAGTCTTCGTCGTACATCGGCGCCGGGGGAGACTTCGCCTGGCCGTCGGCGGTCTCTTTGGATTCGTACCCGCTGTCGGGTTGGATCTCCGGGTACGCCGTGGTGTAGTGCGCCGAGATCGGCTCCATGGACTCCATCCGCTCCATCCTTCCGTCCTCCATGCGCGCTTTATTGTGACAACGGAGGAGCCCGGTGAGGAGAATGAGGGCTGACAAAACACGCAGCTCCGTCTCTCTCCTTCTCCCTCCCCATGCAGCCTTCTCCTCTTTACTTTAAAAGGCTTGTCGTGATCGCACGTAGCCGAATAAGATACAGGCGGGAGGGGGTGAGGCTACTGGGAGTGGGCGAGGAGGACGGAGGCAGGGAGGATGTAGCCATGGGAGAGGTGAAGCTGATGAGGGGGTAAACAATACGTATCCTTGTACATTTAGTACTTTATTGAACAGGCTCGCGCTATCAGTTCAATTCTTTCAACTTTTAATTCTAATGAACACTTCCAGTTAGAAAAACTACTGCTGCAAATCGGAAAACTCTTCTTTAGAGGCAGAAATAAAGTACAATATAATTAATTGTAAGAAATAAAACTGCAACTTAGTCTATTTATATTTAACGTGATTTCTTCCCAACTTTGTATGTATATTTACACTGTAACAAATTGTTGTAAATTTACGGTGCATTTCTAACGGTATCTTACAGTATGGCATAATAACTGTAACATAGTTAATTTTCCATCCCTTGCTTGTAAATTAACAGTCAATGTCATGAATAAAGTTAAATCTGTCAATTTACAATAATAGCAGACTACCGTAATTCAACTGCATGTTACATATATTTTATGACGTGGTGGAAATACACATACAAGTGCAGTGAATCACAATCCATCTACATCTTTTGTAGGTTAATGTATGGAAGCCCATGTCAGCCACTGAAAAACAGGTCCTGTGAGTCATCATAATGAGGTAGTATCTCATGAGATACGATGATGACTTTGACTTACAGGACATTACTATACATGCAGCTTCACTTTTATCCAAAACGCCCATGGTTTGACATCATTTTATGTGGAATAATAGGTGGTTAGGTGTCTTGCTCAGGGACACCGAGACTTGGCACAGGGAGCAGCCAGGATTCGAACCGCTAACCTTGTGCTGCACAGCACACCCTCCCTATCCCATGCGCCGCCTTCGCTGTAGTTTCAGTGGCCGGAATGTAAAGATGATAAATATTTGTATTATTCAAAGTGTTAATGGCCTAAAAGTGATTTGAGTGTTAATCGTGACCGACTGCTCCTGAACGTGACGTCAGACGTGTGATCTCAGTTCATCCAGAACACCTGAGCAGTTTAACATCGGAGGAGTTTCTCATTGCCTCGTACCTCCAAGTAATGTTGGTAAGTGTTATTTGCCTGGCACCTTTAACATTCTCTTTCCTTACATCTTGTTGTCTTCCTCATCTTTGTAATTTTAATATTTTACCAATGACAGTGTTTCTAAATTTTTTATTTTGGTTTGTTTTACAGAGTCACTGGATTAAGGACGCCAGCCGTTTGCTGCGGTCAATTGAAAGTGTTCCATAGCGTATTATTGCAGTTAGTTTACCTTGTTCCCAATGATTTTATGATTCATTTTTTTATTATTGTATACATGCGGCATATTTTATGTTTTGTTCTTGGTTACAAATGTCGAACATTTTTGTCTTAAAGGCATCTAATAAACTCCAACCACTATGATCGAAATGAGTTTGGTTGTCTTTCTTTAATTTGTGGGGAATTAAATGCAAAAGTATACGGTTATAAGTAAACAGTAACATTCTGGTATTTATAACACAAAAACAGCAAACTTATGGTAAAAAACTGTAATCCAATATACAACATACCGTAAATTACGGTAGTAATTTGCAGTTAAATTAGTAAATTGCAGTTAATTCACAGTAAAATTCGTTCAAGTTTACGGTAACATACAGTAATCCATTTGATGGTAACATTGTGTAAAAAACATTTACGGTATTATACCGTAAAATAACACTAAATTCCTGGCGTCCTTGCTGCCAGTAAAATACCGTTAATTCACGGTGATATTTTTTAGAGTGTATGTATATATATACTGTATATACACGTGAAGTGCAACTGACTGAAAATGGCCGGAAAAGATCAAGAATGTGGCTAAATAGTTTTAAAATCCATCCATCACAACATCTCATGTCATACAGACATAAATGAGATCGATCCCACCTCAGACCACCGAGCTGAGTTTTCAGTTTGTCTGGATTTTTACCGCGTGATGTCATTTCGTTTTAAAATTATTAGCAGTCCGAAATTCTGCCCAAAGGATCCAGACATGCAAACAGATGTGACACTTAGAGGCGTCTTCCAAACTAAATCCGACTCTGTGATGTACCTGCGGGTCAGCATCAGCACAAAGGGGGGGGGCAGTGACACACATCCTCCATGAAGCTGACATGCGCAGTGCTTCACTTTCCCCACATCGTGTTACAGCCTAATTCCAAAATCCATTCAATTCATCCTTTTCTACTTCAAAGGTTTACACAAAACACCCCATAATGACTAATTTATTTATTTAAACCAAAGAACGAAAGTATAACATGTACAAACGTTTTCACAGCATTTGCTCAATACTTTAGCAGCAGCCTCGAGTCTTCTTGACGCTACAAGCTTGGCACACGTTATTTCTCCCATTCTTCTTTACAGAACCTCTCAAGCACCATCAGGATCGGGAGATGTTCCATCGGGTTTAAATCAGGACTCTGGCTGGGACACTCGGGGACATTCAGACATCTACTCCGTTGTTGTCCCCGTGGAAGATGAGCTGTGTCCACAGTCTGAGGTCCAGACCGCGGTGGAGCAGGTTCCCCTCCAGGATGTCTGTGTACGTTGCTGCATTCGCCTTCCCCTCCATCCTGACTCGTCTCTCAGTTCCTCCCGCTGAAGAACATCCCACAGCGTGATGCTGCACTGTAGGGACGCTGCTGGCCAGCTGATGAGCTGTGGCTGCTCTCCTGACGTGGCGCTTGGCCTTTTCTGGTCAAATCAGAGTTTTGCTTCTGGTGCTCCGAGATGCCTTCAGGTGCTTTGTACCGAGGAGTGGCCTCCGTCGGCCCCCTCCACCATGCAGGCCTGATTTGTGCAGTGCTGCACAGACGGTTCTCCATCTGGAAGCTTCTCCTCCCTCCACAGTGACTCTAGGAAGAGTCCTGCTGATTCCAAACCCCGGTTCCATTTCTGGATGCTGGAGGCCGCTGTGCTCGTTGGGACCTTCAATGCTGCAGAAATGTTTCTGTATCCGTCTTCAGATCTGTGGCTCGAGACAATTCTGCCTCAGAGGTCTACGGACAATTCCACGGGCCCTGATGTAGACAGATGTGTGTCTTTCTAACTCATGTCCAATCACCTGAACACAGCAGGTGGACTCCAGCCAAGATGTAGAAACATCTCCAGGATGATCCGTGGAAACAGGAGGCTGTGAATACTTATGTTATAATGTAGTTATTTTGAATAGATTTGCAAAAATTTCCCAGTTTCTTTTTCACTTTATGTGTAGTATCTATAGGAAAATATAACAATTGAGTCTATTTTGGTATACGGGTGTAACATAAAGACAGCGCTGTGAATACTTTCCAGATGGCACAAGGCCACGACGCCACCAAAGGCAGCGATCAAACCGACCACGGCCAGGAGGCACGAGGGTGAAGTGGACTCCATCCGGTTGTTTGTGCGTCTGAAGGCGACCTGCAACAACCAACAACTGCTGATGTCGCCCAACAGCCGGTGGCTATTCGGTAACTCTCGTGACTCATTTGGTTCGTTGGGAAAAAAAACGTGCAGTGCTGCAAATGTCCCAACGTTGTCTCTCACCCTCACGCTTCATGGGAGTCTTGCTCAGTTTCCTTTTGGTATGCAGTCCGATTAGACAGCGGCGCCCCCGCCGACACGTCTGCTGACTCCTCTGATTCATGGCCGGCGTACCAGTCAGCCCACTCCCACCTGCATTCCACCGGCCGCTGACCTCCAACAGCTCCTCATTCCTTTTGGAAGCCCGTTCACATGAATACGTACAAAAGACGTTTGTGAATGTCGACCATGGAATGTTGTTTTATTACTGAGGTCATTGAGTGATCACAACCCTGAAGTCTCATACTGAAATGTACCAATTTCCTCCTTGTGCCTTTCTCCACAATAAGAAACACAACAGCCATGTGAGTGTGGACTTTATCCTGATGAATCCAGCCCAACATCAGTGATAAAGTATTGTACGACATCTTGAGGTCAGATTTGGTACTGCAAACTGCCCCCCAATAGTCCACCATCTGATCCTCAGGGATAAACTGTGAACAGCTTAAAACAAAATGTGCTTCAGAAGGATTGTGTGGACAGTGGAACGTCCAGACAGCCGACTCACCACATCACATCACCCTGGTTACTACCCACCGAGCTGACAGGAGTCTTCAGCCGTTCGTCGATCGCGTGTGGAACACGATGAGGGTCAGGATGTTGTCTTCTGCCCCCCCATATGCATTAAGTGTAAATTATGGGGGATTTATTGATTTGTCTGTATTTTAAAAGAACGTCAACAAATAACTAAAAAGCACATCTCAGTGAGTACAAATATAAGCAAAGACTTTTACATATAAAACTTTAATATAGTTCAGTATTACAGCACCAGTGAACGGCGACTATCAAATGGCACCACCCAGTTTTACCCAAAGCTAAACACCCATATGATGAACTAGATTGGGATAATATCAGATACAGTAAATCACATTATTGACTCCAATAAAACTAAATCTGTCAAATGTTCACTGGAAGTGTTTCTCTTTATACTTTTGAGTAATTTAAATGAAAATGGATGGAACAGTGAGTTTAACTCCTTTTTGTAGGTAGAAGTCGAGGGAGGAAGCCGAGCGGGTGCAGATGTCCTCACTGCTCCCAGCGTTTGGCTTGACAGTACGCTCCTCACTCCGTGTCCACAAATCAGGAAAAGTGTCAAAGTTAAGTCCTTATTGATCGAAGGTCCCCGGGGGAAAGCAACGTCCGTCTCTTTCAGACCATGTCCACCAGTTTAAACCTCCCCTCCTGTTTGACCGGCAGGACGTTAACGAAGGTCTTGTAGAGCACGGCTCCTTTAGGCAGCTTGGTGATGACCTGGGTGGACTCGAGGCTGCGGGGGGGCGGGACGTAGACCTCCTTGGTGAACCTGACGTAGCCGTCCTCCAGAGCAAAGAGCGTCTTGTTGGTTCCCATGCCCACCTGCGGGACACCAGGAGTGACGATAAAGTGGACATTTTCACAGCACCGGCTCCACGTTCGACGTGACACAGAAGGGGTTTGCTTACATGAGCTCCGGGGTGAAACCTCATCAGCCGCTGCGTAGCAAGGATGTTGCCCGCGTGGACAAAATTACCTTATGACCAGATGAACAAGGATGTTAGAGGCCGCTGGGTTCGAGGAGAAACTGCTGTGGGACAATCTGCTTCACTGACAAACCAACGCCAACTGGACATGAGCGTCATTCAGGGGCACAATTACAATCTAAAACCGAAGAATACATTTTATAAATATATACACATTTATAGTTAGTATCTTATAAGAATCGTGTATTTAATTGCCAGCCTTTAACCACCCGGTGCATTAACTCGTCTAGTACACAGCAGTCTGAGTACTAATACTTTGCGGTTGAAAGAGCCGTGTTGTTACCGTCTTGCTTCTTGAAGCCGTGCCTGCGACCGGGGCTCTTTCCGCCGAGGTTCTTGCTGCTGCCGCCGGCCTTCTTGGACGCAGACCTCACGGAGTCCAGGAGAGCCGCCTGTCCGGGTCCCAGCAGACCTGAGACCAGCAGCACCGACCCGTTCACGTGAGTGTGTCACGTGCAGCGAGTGACGCAACCGCAGGGACTTAACTGCATGCGCACGTTCAGAGTCGTTTCTGTGACATTCAGTGCCAATGTAACTTACGCTGAGCTAACGTTAGCTCTGCTAGTTAGCCTCGTTATGTTAGCATGTAACTGAATTCATACGTTGGAAAATGTTTACAGAAAACCCGCAGCTGCTGAGAATAAATACGCGTATTTATGGCGTCGGCACGAGCAACTTTTAAAGCTTGTGAGAACGTATAGAATACAAACTTAGATACCTGCTCTGGACTTCAGCATCAAGGACGCCAGCGCCGCCATCTTGACCGATGACACTCACGTCGTCTGCACGTATTACGTCACATCCGGATTACTTTCTTTGTTGCGTTCAAAATCCCCATGAAAAATGCCTGACTTTTAGAAACGCTAACCCTCTTTAGTTTACAAGTCGCACAACACTAATTTAATTAATGATGCCTCAAGGAAAACGTTAATTTTAGGTTTTAGCAAACAACTAAAACGGGTCTTAGAAAACGAGTTTACGTTGAAAGCGAAGGGTAAAAGAGAGACGGCGGCGCTGAACGGAAGTTTAGTTTTGCCCCATAAACATGAATGCAACATCACCACGTAACGTTCACCCGGGAAAAAAGCGCTCCTTTACAAAACTACGCGAAACCAAGTTTCCACGCTGCCGGATCTAAAGTTAGTACCTTTATCTTCTCAAATAGACCGCATCGGTGAGGAGGATAAACACACATTACTGTGCTACGTGTCTTTATTTTGTGACGTCGGCTTGTGCCAGCGGCTTCCATGTAAAGTCCTGTGAAATGGGATCGTCTCACCCAAAGCCAGTAATGTTTCCAGTGGCATCTGTGACTGGTGATCCTTATTCTGTAACTTCGAAACACTGTGTGGGCTTTAACCAGCAGTGTGCATATATATATATATATATATATATATATATATATATATATATATATATATATATTTAAAAGTAAAATGTCTTTCTCTTATCCCGTACGCAGGACCTGTTAGTTGCACGTGAAGGACCATGGGCAGCTACAGTGACTCCACCAGCGACCTGGATGAGGAGCTGCCTGTGTTCGACTTCCTCCACCGGGCCTCCCAGAGCCGACGCGGGAGACCGGATGCGGACGCCGCGGCCTCTGCGGCGAAGGGCCAGGCGGGCGCTCGCCCGAGGGCCGCTGGCGTGATGACGATCAGCAGCGATTCCGATGACGATCCTTACGTCCCTTTGGCGCAGAGACTCCAGCAGAGGCGAGACGACGCGATCGGCGCCGCCTCCTCCGCCGTCAGCAACGGGGAAGATGCTGAGCGCCGCTCGCCATCCGATCCGGTCCGCGCGCAGCTCCTCCGCCAGAACGGCAATCCACAGCCAGAGCGCCCGCCCGGCCTCCGTGGGGAGAGCGCGGTGAGTCACAGCGGCTCATCTGGCGACCCGGATGGGGCGGATCTCCCCCGGCGACGGCAGCATCCCGACGCCTCTCCTGCCAGGAGGAAACCCTCCACGCGGACGGAGGAGGAGGAGGAGGTGCAGGCCTCTCGGGAGGAGGCGCAGCGCAGGAGGCAGGCCGGGGAGGGGCAGCAGAGGGGCAAGGAGGCCCTGAGGCAGGAACAAGAGCGACAGAAAGCCGAGAGGAAAGCTCTGGCGGCGGCGGCCAAGGCCCTGAGGCCCGAGGAGTGCATCAAGCACATGGTGGTGGCCGTGGACCCGGGTCTGCACATTAACTGCACATTGCTTTGTTCAAGCGGTTTCCTGGGTTTGTGGGATGATTTATTTGTGTGTGTGTGTGTGCAGCCCTCTTACAGCTGGAGGGAGGCGGCACTCTGCTGGCGGCGCTGCAGGCCCTCGGCTGCAGCTGCGCCGTCGAGAAACAAGCCGTCCCGCGCAGCGTCAGCTGGATGAGGAGGGCCCCCTGTGCACAGGTGATCACACACACACACACACACACACACACACTCTGAGAGTGCTGCGCTGCATTTAGGGTGACGCTTGAATATGTGCATATGTGCCTCCAGCCAGGCGGCGGCGGCGGGGGGGCAGCAGCGTGCGTGCCGGAGGCCCACGTGGTGATGCAGATCACGGTTGACGACTTCATCACTCTGGTCCACGGCTACGTTCAGGTCGGTGCTGGCGGGTGGACTGCAGTAATGATCAAGTCACTTTATGGACCATATAGTTAAGCAGAAGGTCTCGTTACGCAGAGTGTCGTTTGCTCGTCGCACCGAGCGAAAAGCACCACCTGATGGAACGGAATAATGTGTTTTTACATGCGGCGCTCTTACTGTGAAAGGGCGTCCTAGTGTCCGCGTACAGCAGCGGGTGGTGATGTGGGCGTGTCTCATGCAGGAGGAGGGGCGTGGCCTCTGCGGCTCCGGCCCCACCCTGACGTCCTGGGTGCAGCAGCAGCAGAGGCGCCACGTCGGTAAGCTCCTCAGCCTGGCCGTCGTCGAGCTGGAGAACCACTTCAGGTAAGAAGGACAGACGCTCCTTCGACTCGGCCCGTCGGCGGCCGGAAGTCAGGAACGTCGGTTTCTGGTGCGTCTGCAGGTCCCAGAAGTCTCGGAGCCAGAAGCGCCTCCGGCAGGCGCTCGGCGGCGAGGAGCGAGGGGCGGGGAAAGGGAGGAAGAGGAAGAAGAGCGGCGGGGACGAGACGCGACCAGAGGTGTCGCGGGTGGATGTGGAGGAGGTAGGAAACCACAAGCATCCTTCATCGCTTTGCTACAAAACGGTTCCTATTCACTTATCGGTCACTGACGACGTTCTCGGCCTCGCCGAGGGAAAAGGAGTGAAGGAAATGTGTGCAGGCTTTTTAAAGTGGGGGAAAAACCCTGGAAACGAGCTAATAAAGTCTTCTTATCTGTAATGTCCTTTGCATACTAAAGGAATCTTTAGCCACATTACACCTGTCCAGTGAAAGCTCCCTAAGGGGACATTTAGTGTCACGTGACCCGTGGATCCTTCTTGAGGAGTTCACCTTTGAAAACAAAAAAAATCAATGGAATTTTCGCCCCAGTCAGGGGGGGGGGCATTTCCAGGTGCACACGGGGGTAGCCATCCGATTCCTGCCCACTGGGAAGAACTTCGGCCATCACATCGCCATAAGGACAAGAGCGGTGGCGGAAGCCCCTTTAAAGTGAGGGACCACACGCCTCCTCTTTACAACACCCCCCCCCCCCCTTTCACCCCCCGCCCAGGGTCAAACCATTGGTTCCTCCGTGTGTGTTGGCAGGCGAGAGAGGGAGAAGACAGGCTTCTCGTTCCACCTGGACGGCGAGTGGGCGGGGGGGCAGCGGTCGGACAAAGCCGGGAAGGGACTCCTGCAGGTGTGGAAGAGACAGATCCAGCAGCTGAACAGGGTCAGTCCGGACATGGCCGAGGCCGTCCTGGCAGCGTACCCCTCCCCCCAGCTGCTCGCCCAGGTACACGCCCACCCCTCCCCCACCCCTCCCCCCAGCTGCTCGCCCAGGTACACGCCCACCGCTCCCCCACCCTCCCCCTAGCTGCTCACCCAGGTACACGCCCACCGCTCCCCCACCCTCCCCCTAGCTGCTCGCCCAGGTACACGCCCACCGCTCCCCCACCCTCCCCCTAGCTGCTCGCCCAGGTACACGCCCACCCCTCCCCCCAGCTGCTCGCCCAGGTACACGCCCACCTCTCCCCCTAGCTGCTCGCCCAGGTACACGCCCACCAGCTCCCCCACCCTCCCCCTAGCTGCTCGCCCAGGTACACGCCCACCCCTCCCCCCCAGCTGCTCGCCCAGGTACACGCCCACCTCTCCCCCACCCCTCCCCCTAGCTGCTCGCCCAGGTACACGCCCACCGCTCCCCCACCCCTCCCCCCAGGTGCTCACCCAGGTACACGCCCACCCCTCCCCCCGGCTGCTCGCCCAGGTACACGCCCACATGTCAGGCTTCATTCAGTGATGGAAAGTTTTGAGTACCGACATTGAGCTCTGAGCGAGCTGTGCTGTGAAAACGGAAACAATCAAAGCAGTGCATGAAGCTGTTGTGGCCGATGTAACACAGATGAACAATACTCAACACTCTCAAAGTGAATATATTACGATACTCGCGGCTCCAATTTCTTATGTTGGTCTTTTTGCAAAGGAAATGAATAACACAGAGTTTACAGACGATTAGAATCCCTCCTCGGCACACCGTGGAGTTTCGGTTTATGGCTTTTGGCTGATTGAAGTACAGGTTTTTATTGTTGTTATTATTGGTTATTGCAATTTCATTTAGAAGAGAAAAGTCCACATTATATTTAGAATTTCGCAGAACGAATAAAGGGGAAGTTTATTCCTTTCTTTTGTCTGTGGATTAAATGTTGCTTTTCCCTTTTTATGAGCATCACGCAAGCTGCTTCAATGCTCATCCACGTGCAAACGTTCACATTTTGTAACTTTCTGTGCTCACAAAGTATTTCCCCGTCGTCTTGCAGGCCTACAATCTATGCGAGAGCGACGGCGAGCGTCTCGCCCTGCTGTCCGACCTGGTGATCCGCCGAGGAGAGGGCGTCACGTCGACGACTCGCCGCGTGGGCCCCGAGCTCTCCAAGCGCCTCTTCCTGCTCATGAGCTCCCGCGAGCCTCAGCGGACGCTGGACTCCGTCTGACCTCACGCCATGGCGCAGTTTTAAACTATGTAATTAGAGTCTCAGGTCTACATCAGGTCTCCATATGTATGAATATTAAACAGCTTTATTTTAACGCTGAAATGAAGCATTTATTTCCGCTCTGCCGGGGCCGGGGGGACTGAGCCTGCGCGGTGCAGAGAGTCTGTCCAACGACGCCACGGCCGCTGTGCGTTTAAACTGCTGTCCAATTGAATTAGGCGGCTGACCTCTGAGCTTCCTGTGTCATCGGCCGTGTGTGTGTGTGTGTGTGTGTGTGTGTGTTTTCGTGCTGTGCAGTGGTGAAATGCCACCTTGAATCTGCTCCGCCGCGCTGTGCGATGCCCGCGGCTCTTTTCCAGCACATTAACAAAAGTGGAACATGACCGAGAAGAGATGAGTGGCGCGAGAGGGACAAACGGGTAACGAGCTGTTAAATGGGCTTCAGAGACGAGCAGCAGGAAAAGGCTCACTGGGAGATGCAGTGAAGGAGCATTGACCAGTTTTCCTCATCACGGCCCCGAGTAGCACACGGAACCACGGCTCGCTACGGGTTCTCTGGCCTGCAGGGTACGTTTCCCTTTCTGAGTCCGAAGGAGTCCCAGGACGACAGGAAGTCAGCGGTCGATGATGGAACTGTCAATAACAATATAAGACATGTACAAGTGTCTAATTATATGCGGTCGAATATGAGCATCCAGTCAAAAAGTAAGATGAGGAAACGTTTGTCCTTGTTGCTGGTTTAGCAGAGGGACCACGGCAGAGCTCACAGCATCCGTGTGGCTCCTCAATGTGCAGTCGGGCATCACTCAGGCGTAAGCCGTGTCAGTTTTACAAGGTCATAATATGAAGAGCGTGTGCAATTATCAGCTTATGGCCTCCGGGCTCCACGTAGCCATAAAAATAACAACATAAAAAACAGCTTGAAACCGTAATACAAAGAAAATGGTGTGTATTCAATTTGGAGAGAAAACGATTCCATTCAACCAGGCTTTTTTTTTTTCATTGCAATTTGTTCAAAAGACACCTGTTTTTTTCATCTTGAAGACCCCTCGTACCCCCACACGTGAGGCTGGAGAGGACATAACTCCACCGTGCACGGCTACTGAGCGTCGATAATTGGTTCTGCCATCATGACCCCCGAGCTGCTGTCACCTGGCAGGATGCGGTAGCTTTTAGTCCAGGTAGGAGGAGCCGCACGCTTCCCTCAGACGCCCTGACATCAGGTCACAGGACTTGGCAATTACAGTGAGAGATACGCAGCTTTGCTCTAGTGCTGTCGGGCCTCCCCTCCACATCCCGCCCGCTTTGAGGTGGGCGGGGGAGCAAAAAAAGAGTGCGTTGTGTGTAAATGTCTCATCGGTGGATGTTCCACCTCCTCGGTTTGACCTCAACTCAAAAAGGAAGAACGGTTTTCATCTCAGAAAAAGGAGAAAACACTTCATGCAACCTTGTTGTTATCGGAGACGGGCACATCCACACTGCACACGGATTCCGTTGGACGCACACAAAAACCTTTAAGCGGGACATTGATGTACGGCAACACCGACTGCACGTTTAAGATGCTGCTTTAACACTTATTTCATACTGCCATGATTTCTGTGAGGAGCCTCTTAAATAACAATATATGCTTGTTTTCTTTTCCCTCTTGGAAGGGTTTTTTTATGTTTTGGGGAGTTTTTCCTGTGCCGATGGGGGGTTTCGGGACAGAGGATGTCGTATGTGTACAGACTAAAACCCTCTGAGGCAAATTTGTAATTTGCGATTTTGGGCTATACAAAATAAAATGAATTGAATTGAATTATTTCTCCCATTTGATGTTTTTATTTCACTAGGCCCAAAAGTCCAACCTGAATGCTATCAAATGCTTAAATGCACAGAGACAAATAAATATCATTGCTAATCCCCATGAAATACTGGGAATGAGAAGCTTCTTGGGATGAATCAATGAGCAGCGAAGAACCAAGTAGTAAGAGTTGTGACTGCATCGCATGTGCTGTCAGCAGAACATTATCAAAATAAGTTCAAGTCCATCACAGAGAGAACTGACAGACCCGTGAGGATCCTGATGCACCGCTGCCCCCTCTGGCACGGCGGGGGAATCGCGCCACAGACTGATGGATGGACGCCAGGACTCGTTCCCTCCTTTAAATGATTCTAATAACCAATGGAGCTAAACCAGGGACACCAGGGACACGTGGGCGCCCCAAGCAGGAAGGTCCTGGGTTAGAACCACCACCACTTCCTCCCGCAGTCCAAGACACGCTGTTGGTGACTCTATAGTTCACGTTTCCTGTTGGATTTGCATCTGAAGATGTCCTTGTTTTTGCAAAACCTCGAGCACATAGATGAAGCCTGTCACGTTGTGTATTGTTTGTGGTAACAAATATGTAGGATTGTGTTCATTGTAATATGATACATAATATAGACTGAGTGTTTGCAAATGTATTTCCAATTGAGCAAATGACTGCAAACTGATTGGCATAAACCTGGAGCCCTCGGGGCCCCTGAGGGCCTCTGCTTCCTGCTGCAGCTCCTCGCTTTTCCCTCGTTGTAAAATCCAGCTGCGTTGACGATGTTTAATTAGAAGGAGATGTAAAGTGTAAAATGTCATCGCGCGTCACCACGCTGCCGCTGAATCGTGAATTTATCGTCTGTTCTTTCTGTCACAACAGCTTTCTGACACTGTTTCACGTCCCGGAACATAAAAAACAAAAACACGAGCAGCTATGAGCCGAAAGTGCAGGTTAATGTAACGATCGTTCAGAGCTGTGGGGAGGAGGCCTCTCACAGCCATGGTGGGCTCCCGTCACCGGAGGGCACACTTGCACCACGTCCGCGGCTCAGAATGGAGCCAGATGGGGAGATGCAAAAACATCAGCATGTGTCAGGATTCTGGGGGCTGGATGAATGATCAGGCGAGCAGAAAATGTATCGTGTAAACTAACGGACGGGTAGAGATAAATACGTCCCGAGAAAACCACAGACGAGTTTGATAAATGGCTGAGATAAGTTATGGAGGACTCGGTGTGCTGAGATAAGGTTTCAAAGTGAAGGGCGTGTCAGCGGGGGCTTTATTCCCCACGTTGGACGGCGGGTATCTCAGGGCCCCGCTGCTGTCCCCCCCCCCCCCGAAGAGAGACTCATCCGAGGGGAGTGTCAGCCTGCATTAAAGTGAAGCAGGTCCTTCAACCCGCCGTCTGGCCCGTTAAGATGTGTGATCATGAAGTGCGATGCGGTGCCACACTATTGGTGCATTTACTGCGCCCTAGACAGCAAAGACGTGCACCACCTTCATCCTAACAACTTCCTGCGTTCAACTCGGCAACGCTCGGGTCCATTGTTTCGCAGCATGTACGTTGCCATTGACAACCCGAGCAATGTGCCAGTTGTGACGTCGCTGTCGGCTGACATGCGGCGTGCTTGACATTTTAACAAGAGGTGCACATTTAATCTCTTCTTCCTTATGAAAGAACCGCTTTAATCCAAACCTTAACTACTCCCCTTCACTCCCCTTTATTTCCTTTTGACAATTATTCCAGTGCATTAAATATTTATTACGAAAGGTAACTTTTTACTGCCAAACTTTTTTTTTATGATCTTATCCCCTCTTATTGGATCACATGCTTCTCCCATTAACACACTAGACCGACCTCTTAACTCAGCAGGAGGTCAGGAATTATTTTCTTACATGTTTGACCAGGCTGTGTACACTGAGGCACTGAAACAGGAAATGGCCTTTTGGTCACAATATCTCTGTTTAGCTACTTCAACTTTAACATGTCCCTTATTTGGAAGACATGTGCCATAATAAAACAGACTCTATCAGGTTTTGTTTAAAATTGTAAATCACACGTTTTATTTGGTTTGAATTAACACTTATTTCAAAATGTTCTCTAGCAGAGTGGATTAAGTACGAGGATCAGTGAAGCGACTCCTCCATTCATGAAGTTTGGATTCATGGAAAATGTCAGCAAACTGAAAAATCCATCGATCCAAAGCAGAGACACACAATGAAAAAACATTTTGAAAGTTTGCATTGAGAAATGAAGGTGAAAAACCAGTGTCCATATTTGCGTGTCAATATTTCAACTGTATCACAATCTGTCGTCCTTCATTCTTTCTTCCCCTTTGAGGCTCAAGGTGTCACAACTGGGGTGTAAAGCAAAGCTATAAAACTCCACGTCCAGGACTATTGGAACGCCTTATCAGAGATGAGCTGATGCTCGGGGGAAGGGTTGGGGATGGCGTGGAACTTAAATTTGCCCTCTGAACGCAACGAGGCGGCCTGCCTGCCCTCAGCGACCGGCAGCTACAAACTACACCCATCAAAATCCTCATTGATTTCCTGTCCCGCACATCAGGTGGTTCTCATTGTTCCCCGGCCTGCTGTCGGCCCCTCGGCTGCTTGTTTCTTCATCCAGAGCTTCAGACATCATGTGAGTCAAAGACAGAACTTTGGAGCTCTTTAAAGATGAGCTTCTCAGGTGCGGGCGTTTTCTTTATTTTTAGGTGCTGTCATGGTGACGTATTTACACCACTTCAAGCCCTCGCAGACTCCAAACCACGTTTGAGGTTTAAGGGGGGGCATTGGGATTGGGCCGAAGAATGAAGCGGGACAACCTCAGAAACCCGATCCGACACTCGATCCGAACAACACCGTCTGCAGCGCCTCAGTATTGAATCCAGGCGCCTAATGGCAGCCGACAGCAGCGCTCCGCAGGGCGTTTCTCTCCCCAAATTAACATTCTACTCGGCAGCCGTCGCGCTTGCTTGATCCGCAGAAACAAATTGGGAATAGTCTTTGATACAGGAGTTGAAAACACTGCCGGGGAGTTCACTGACTCGCCAGGAGCGTGGCTACCTAAGCGCACACGCGATCCGAAACCATTCCGACCATGTAACATGCAATTGACATGCCTGCATCCCTGCCATGTGATTCTGTGGCAGCCGATCACCTGGCTCGCATTCAGCAGAGCAGCGTGCCGTCCAGAGAGCGCCATTCAAGTCAAACACCACCACTCCTGGGACATGAAGTGTCGGGGGGGGGGGCGCCTTTTTTCTATCCGGCTGCTGGCAGGCATCGATGTTTGGACCGCGTCCTC